CTCCGGTTTGATCTTTCGTTGTCACAAGCTAGCTAGCTGTGCCGTACTCCACGCACGGGGTACCAGCTTGGAATGAATATTACGAGCTTTCGTGACCTCTTCCTATCCCTCACGGTTCTTATTCGATATTGCCTTTCTATCCAACAGGCCGAGCGAGATGAAAGGAGGAAAGCAAGTGGCCGGGGTCTGCCAACACCCTTGTCACTTTGTGGCGCTTGCAGGCGCCCAGTGCGACTCAAGCCTCACATGGCCCTGACGACGTGGACGATAGCACCTGAAAGAGAGGACCGGGCCGCGCTGAACAAGATATCACGATGGAGTTTGTCTGCAGCGACATCTGAGTTGCAGTTAAAACATTGTCGCCGCGCGGAGTAGTATGAGCTTTCGGGACAAACATACCGATGGTACACATACTGCTACAAGAATCATGGCCAATTGTCTATGAAATAATGCATATGTTATTTCTGGTGTACAATTCAGTGAGATCCCTTTGAAGAAATCGGCCAAGACGGCAGAGCGGAGTGCCGCCGACAACTCGAGTGACGGTCGATGACAAGTGGCTTTGGCGCCCGTACGCGTCTTACACCTGTTCTTGGCCAGAGACCACGATGATCCCGACGCCAGACCTCTCACATCTGACCACTGCGGACTATGAGCACGTTTACAAGCCTGCGGGTGTGTCTTGAACCTCACCCACGTCTCTGAATGACTAGATCTTGCCTTCGCCAGAGGACACATTTATCCTGCTTGACGCGCTTGAGCAGGACGCGGACGAGCTTCGCGAAACAAAGCCTCTGGTGTGCCTGGAGATAGGGTGCGTCTCGCGTCTCTCACTGAGATTCACATATAACGTAAATCGCACAGGTCTGGTTCAGGCTGCGTCTCCAGCTTCGTCGGGGCCATCCTCGGGCACTCGTGTCGTCAGTCGCCTCTTCAATATCGTCTCCGCTTTGGAACTGACTTGCACCACAGTGTACCTTTCTACGGACATCAATCCTCATGCCGCCTCATGCACACTGCGAACTGCGCGTCAGAACAAGGTGCCCCTCCCTTCCCCCCTCTCCGGTCCTCTCAAGCCCTGACACGGACGCCGTGTAGTAGACGGCCGTAGACCCCATCGTCGCAAGCCTGGCAGGCCCGGTGCGGACGCGTCTGCACCGCAGCATCGATCTCCTCATATTCAACCCTCCCTACGTTCCGACTTTCGATGAAGAAGCGTACGGTGCGCAGAGCACCGCCGGGATTGCGGGCGCGTGGGCAGGCGGGAGGGATGGCATGCAGGTCACGGACGCGCTGCTGGACGACCTGGACGTACGTTGTGTGCTCTTTTTGAGTGGGTGAATGAGATAGCTGATCGCTGTGCAGAATCTGCTGTCTCCGACAGGCCTGTTCTACCTGGTAGCAGTCAAGCAGAACGACGTGCCCGGAATTCGAAGTCGGATGGAGCAGGAGTCCGGATTTCGGAGCGAGGCGAGTGACAATCTCTACGATAGCGTGCTGAGCCTGACATTACGCCTGAAAAGGTGGTGTTGCAACGAAGAGCAGGTCGGGAACATCTCTTCGTAGTACGGTTCACGCGCTAGCATGCTCACCTCCTAACGAACCCTCACGCGTCTCCGGTACATTATCATCTGAATGATCATACACAGGCCACAGAGATAAAGTACATCCATTTTTACACCGGTTTCCTTTTAGCAATGTACGCGAACCGGTCCGTTTTTCAGCATGTCCTGGTATGTACCTGAGCTTAGTTGAGCTTGAGGTCGGGGTTGGCGGGAATGGGCCTCTCCGCTTGGGGTGTGATGCGAATGCCGTGGCGCACGGCACCCTCTTCGGTGAAGTCGAGGATGGCAGACTGCAGAGGGTGAACGTCAGGAGAAGCCAGCGAAGAGCGCATGAAGCGCCACTCACGTGTGCGGTGACACGGTTGTCCCAGAGGACGACGGTGTAGGGCTCCCAATGAGTGCGCACCTGGCTGTCGATGCTGCGGTCGATGTGGTCGTACAGGAAGTTGAGGATGGCGTCTGGCGCGAAACGGTCAGCCTTTGCCCCTCCCCTCGCGCAGGGTCGCGCCCAGGCACTCACCCGACTCCTCCTTCTTGAAGCCGACGATGCGCCGGGTGAACTGCCGGTTGACGTAGAGCGCCTCTTCGCCGGTGACGGGGTGCCTGCGGATGACGGGGTGCTCGTGGACGACGGGCTCGCGGCGGACGACGCCGCCGCGGTTGCCGGCGCGCGAGAACTCGGCCTGCTCGTGCGCCGAGTGCGTCGCGCGGAGGGTGCGGAGGAAGGCGACAAAGTCGGGCGAGAGCCGCCGCAGCGTCGTCACCTGCGACGTGAAGACCGTGTCCCCGCCCGTCTCGGGCGCGGCGACGAGGAAGAGCGTCGTCAGCCCCGGCGGCTGCCGCTCGTAGCTCACGTCCGAGTGCCAGCTCGTCGCGATCGTCCGGTCGCTATGCTCGTAGTTGAACGTCGAGTGCTTGTCGCGGTACACGAGGTGCAGGTGCGGGTAGCCGTCGGGGTGTCCTGAGGTCGGGTGGATGTGCAGGCGGCCGAAGTGGCGGCCTTCATAGGATGTAGCAGTGAGCTCAGATGTGGTGGCCATTCAGTGCCAAGTTACTAACCCCACTCAAGCCAGAAGTCAGGTCCACGCTCGATGAAGTCTTGCTGATCTCTGAGAACCAGGACCTTGCGCTTCGCGACCTAAGGTGAAGACATGCATTAGAACAAACATAAGGAATAGAGTAGTTTCCACACGGACCTCCAGGGCCAGCTCGTCCCTCTCATCGTTTGTGAGAGTAGCCAAGTTCACACCACGGATCTCCTCTCCGGCAGGGGGCGTGAGCTGCGAGACCTTGGCATTCTCGAGGAACTGCCGCGGGTTGGGGTGCTGCAGCGCGCGATGGCCAGGGTCGACGTGCTCGAAGGGCTCGAGCGGGGGGTAGTGCTCGTCCTTCGGGAAGGTGGGGAGCAGGTGAGCGTACTTGTACTCGGTCTGCTCCTGCTTCTCCTCGGCCTTGACCTTGATCGACCCGGAGGTCTCGTGAGCGGTCACAGTAGAAGTGGTAGACATCCTGGACGAGGTGCGGCAACGGTTGAGCAGGCTTCTGTCGCTTGCGCAGAGGGTGTGTTAAGTATGGGTCCAGTGTGGGCTTCGCCATAGGTTCAAGCGAATGCGCCATCGTTAGTCAGCTATGATGTCTGCACGCTACTCATGACCGGCCGTTCCGGCAGGGGACTCCCCGCAATTCGCAAGTATTGCAGTATCATATTCCGACATTCCGAGACCCGAATGCGGCTGAGAGTCTGAGGGTGTATATAGCAATGCGTAGCGTGGGGCAGGGTTGCGCAATATGCCGCGGAGATGAGACGAGGATAAGGGTGTCTGAGGAGTGCAGTGGGCCGTCGCCAGCCTGGAAGGGGGCCGCGGGGTGCCGGTGCATGTGCTCGCCCAGCCGACTCTTATATATTTGGGGCGGATAGCGTGCTCCAGGCCCTGGGAGCGGTGCGGACGGGCGTCTGCGAACGACAGCGCCTTCCTGGAACGGACGGGCCAGCGAGAAGCGCTGCTTTATCGGCCACGTGGAGGCGCGATCAAAGCCGTCTTGCGGTGGGACTTCCTTTCTGGGCCGTTGTTATTGTGTTTGGCAGCGCCCGCGCTGGGCCAGGATCCGAAGCGATGCAAGGCCAACACAATAAGGATGTGATCTGGTCGATGCGCAAGGCCCCTTTGGGTCCTCTCGAGCCGCAATGAATCCCAAGGCTCGCACAGGCCGTGTTCTCCCTGCACTCGACATGTCGTCAGCTGGGCTACCGGACACTATCCACACAACCGTGGGCATCCTGTCCTCCTACTTCGCCATTGACTCGGTCTGCACGATGTGAGTTCATCCAGCGGCGCTCCCTCCTAATTGTCAACAACTTACCTTCCGTCTCTAAGCTCGCGCTTTGACCTATTGTGCGGACGTATGGTCCGCTCGATCCCTGTCTGATCGTCCTCGATACCCTACACAATTGCAGGTGCTCCGCAAGGCACGACACGTCTACCGAGCCCAGTCAAAAGGAGAGCACTCTCGGGATGTCCTCCAGGCATCCCCGTTTCGCTCTTCTCTTCTTCTTGCTGCCCATCTTCTCGCTCCATCGCTGCTTGGTGGGCTCACAGCGCGGGACACATCATGTCGACAGCTCTTGCTTCTTCCCTCGCGGCCTTACGCCGCACTGTTCCCGATGTCCCCGAAGACATCGACGATGTTCTCGAGCACCTCAACGATCCCAACTGGGACTACCGCCCTCCTTCTCCCACCCTGTCCACAGAGTCCATCGACCTCGACCCCAAGGAGAAGGGTTTCATCTCGAGCAGGCACTCGGGCTCTGATTACGAGACAGAGTCAAACGCCGAGTCCACCTACGGCAAGACCGCAGTCACTTCGACCTACGGTAAGACCGAACAGTCCCACTCTCACCTCTGGTCCTCTGCGGCCAGCGACCTCGACGAGTACGTGGTTTCCTGCTCTTCTCTCAGACAGCTGCTCATTCGTCTTCCCCAGCGACTCGCCATATCCCGAGGTCCGAGCAGCCGTCTCAAATGTGGACGATCCGTCCATGCCCGTGAACACCTTCAGAGCGTAAGTAGCTCGCCTTGCATATGTTCTCGTCAGTCTAACGACCCCCTGTTCAGTTGGTTCTTGGGATTGGTGTTCGCGATTGCTGCTACAAGTCTCAACACGTTCATGTCCCTGAGAGGTACACGGTCCACCACTCCTTTGTCGTAAACGCGTTCTGACCCATTACTGTAGCCCAGATCTGGACATTCAGCCCTCTCGTCGCCCAGATTCTCGTCATGCCCTTCGGCAAGTTCCTCGCCTGGGCACTTCCCACCACTCAATACCGCACCTTTGGCTACACATGGTCGCTCAACCCTGGACCCTTCAACGTCAAGGAGCACACCCTCATCGTCGCCATGGTCTCCATGTGCTGGCAGACCGTCTACATGTCCTCGGTCTACATCACCCAGGAGGTCAACTACGGCCAGGAGCTCTCGTACTCGTACAAAATCCTCACCGCCCTCTCCAACCAGCTGATCGGCATGGGCATCGGCGGCATGTTCCGGTCCTTCCTCGTCTGGCCGTCGAGCATGATCTACCCCGGCACACTGGTCAGCTGCAGCCTGATGAACACGCTGCACCGCACCTGGGGCAAGCGCGAGCGGAAGCACATCTCGCGCCACAAGCTGTTCGCCATCGTCTGCGTCGCCTCGGCGCTGTGGTACCTCATCCCCGGCTTCGTCTTCACCGGTGTCAGCATCTTCTCGTGGGCGTGCTGGATTGCGCCGACGAACCCGACGGTCAACGTCGTCTTCGGATCGCTCAGCGGCATGGGCATGGGCCTGCTCACCTTCGACTGGTCGATGATCATCTTGCCGTCTGGCGCGAACTCGCTGGTCTCTCCGTGGTGGGCGCAGATTAACGTCTACGTCACCTTTGTGATTGTGTGCTGGATCATCGCCCCCATCCTGTACTGTGAGTGGCGTGCTTTCTCCTCTCGAGTGTTGATTCTGATGGTATTGCACAGTCAAGAACGTCGTGTTTGCTCAGTACATGCCGATCTCCATCGTCACGCCGTTCGACAACACCGGCATGCCATACGACGTCACACAAGTCATGAACAATGGCACCTTCGACGCCGACCTGTACCATGCGTACTCCCCGCTGTTCTTGAGCTCGACGAACGTGCTTGCCTACACCATGTGCTTCGCCATCTTCCCGGCCACCATTGTCCACACCATCCGTACGTACACACACTTCAAAGTACTCCTGCTCGTCCTAACAGCTCGTTTGCTTTTTAGTCTGGTACAGCCGCGACATCCGGCGCCAGTTCAGCAGCTCGCTGTCCGACAACCGCGACGTCCACTCCCGGCTGATGCTCGCGTACCCAGAGGTGCCAATGTGGTGGTACGGCCTCCTGTTCGCGCTCTGCTTCGTGGCCGGCTGCATCGGCATCGAGATCTTCCCGACCGAGTTCCCCATCTGGGCCCTCGTCGTCTCGCTCCTGATCACCACGGCGCTCGTCATCCCGCTCGGCATCATCCGCGCCGTCACCAACCAGTGGCTCGCGATGACCTACCTCGCCGAGATCCTGGGCGGCTACGTGACGCCGGGCAAGCCGGTCGCGTTCATGCTGTTCAAGTCGTACCTCGGCGCGGCCCAGGAGATCTCGTCGACGTACCTCACGGTCCTCAAGCTCGGGCACTACATGAAGGTCCCGCCGCGGACGATGTTCGCCGGCACGCTCGCGTCGGTGTTCGTCACGACGTTCATCTCCCAGGGCATCGTCGACGCCGTGCTCAACAACAACGTCGACGCGTGCACGCCGCTGTCGCCCAACGGCTTCACGTGTGCGGACAACCAGGACTTTGTCTCGTCCGCCGTCATCTGGGGCGCCATCGGCAGCAAGCGCATCTTCGGTCCAGGCGGGCTGTACGTCGTTTTTCACACCAGTTTTTCGTGCCGTCATCTAATTCCTTTTTCCCCTTTGCAGCTACCGCAGCTTCCTGTGGATAATCCTCGTCTGCTCGCTGCTACCGGTACCTTTCTACCTGCTCGCCCGGCGGTACCCGTACTCGCGCTGGCGGTACGTGAACATCCCCGCGGCCCTCAGCGCGGCGATGTTCTTCCCGCCATGCACCGGCATGCAGTTCACCAGCTGGTTCGTCATCGGCGGCGTCTTCCAGGGATTCCTGCGCCGCCGCCACTTCCGCTGGTGGATGCGCTACAACTACGTGCTCGCGGCCGCGCTCGACGCCGGGCTCGCGTTCGGCTCGCTCCTCGTCTTCGTCTGCTTCTTCGTCCCCAAGGGCGGCAACCTCACGTTCGACTGGTGGGGCAACACCGTGTGGCAGAACACGAACGACGCCATGGGCGCGCCGTTCAAGATGCCGCCCGTCAACCAGACGTTCGGGCCCACGACGTGGGCGTGAACGGTGCCTCTCCTGTTGTACACGCATCGCATATTCGCACGGACTTTGTGCTTGTCTCTGTATCATTATTTGTTATTGTTGTACTGGTATGGTAGCATCCCCATCCCCATCACCATCCCCATCCCCCGCATATACTCTCTTTCGCGCGACCACAGATACCTTTTTTTTCGCAGACCTCAAAACACTTTCTCTCTGTACTCCTGCAGCTTCGTTCGGTATTGATTGTGTAGTCTGACTGGGTCTGTGACATTAGTGTACTACACTCTGGATGTACCCGTAGCAGAAGGCACAATAGACCTTCATGACTCTCGAACATCGTCGTCGTCGATTTGTGTAATGTCCTGGCTGGTCGGGGCAGGCTCTCCACAGGACGACGGAGTCACTGAGAGCAATCTGGAAAATAGAGATGATTCAGAATGTCACAAGGCAGAACTTTCCATTCCCAAGTTATACTCACATTAACAGTCACCAGAGAGATGGGGATACAACCTAGAGGCTCGTTGCTAACCACTGGCCAGTTGGTTGCAGAAGCGGGACAACTGCCGATATTTCCACTATGATATTCTCCTGTCGTCAGCTCTTGCATACATTGCGAGACGATGGCCAGCTGCGACATCGAGAAGGAGGCGCTGACAAGAGCGGCTCGCATTGCCAGAGCGAAGTGTGTGGCCGCCATGGCGTACATAATCACACATATGAGCGCCACAAAGATGCGAGATGTCTGCTTGAAGCCATTACGTCTAATGAAATAGTTAGCAGGAGACTTGGAGGCAGTTGCATGTCACTTACAGGAGGATGAACGTAGACGGGATAACTAGGAGTGAGAAAACACCTGTGAAGTGGTATTAGCTGACGAGCAAGGTAAGCACTGGATACACTCACCAAACACTATCGCCTCAGATAAGATGCGTTGTAGTGTGCTAGGATTGCCTGGGGTGATGAAGATAATCTGTTCGAGCGCATCCGACAAATTATGTAGCTGATCCATATCCAAACTGCCAGGACCGGTCGAGACATTTGCTGGTACCGACTGTGCCATGAAATGCTGATAGCGCAAACAATCGATAGCACAAGAGTAGTACGGTGCATCGGGGTACAAGTGGTGGCTTATATGTGCAAGCCCATCTGGATGAACGTCGAGGCCATCATCGAGGCTATGGTCTCCGTGCGTTCGTGACCTGTCAAGTGCCGCATATGACAGGGAATATCTCCGTCCAAAACGCATTGGTGCTTACCTCCTGCACGTCTGTTGGGGTTTCTACGACCTAGTACCGCCTTCGCGACAAAGACGAACAGATCGCAGCTGGCTTCGGCGCGCCTTGATCACGGCCAAATCACACATCTCTTAAGTGGCCTTGTATCAGATAGGGAAGCTGCGGTATTTAGGGCAGCGTTTTGATACTGACAACCGAGGTACTTATTGACACACGTCGGAAAGGTTTGGTTTGATCAGGGCGCACGGTTTTCCGCCCACTGCGCCACATTGCTCCAAGATGCGACACACGACGTGAATGAACTCCGTTGAAAGCGTGAGACTCACAAGATACGCGTCGCTCCGATAACTCATTTCCTTTGCTGATGGCCGTGTTTTGCCTTGCACGGGTTGAGTTTGTCCGACACCACAGGACGCTTATTCGAGTTGCAAGAGTGAGCGGTAGCGATACCACAAAGTAGCACTTGCACGAACATACGCAGCGCACCACGATTGAGCTCTATGCATGCGGCTCCCTATATCCTCGCATCCCCGACCCGTCCGCTCACACCCCAGATCTACTTGCCGCCTGCGCCGAGCTGGTGGACGCCGCGACCTTGGGTTTGCACAGATTCCAGACCTCCCAGCTCTTGTGCGAGGACGCGGACACCCTCGCCGCCCGCGGGCAGCACCAAGCAGATGTGCGCTGCCACTAGATGTACACGACCTTGTGGGTCTCGAATTCCCTCGCTGAGCTGGATGGACGTCGCAATCTCCTACGGAGCGCCTATGTACACGCACGCGTACCCTTACCAACCTTGATTAAGCTTGATTAGGAAGTTGTCGTTGGCAGAAAGTGTGCGCACCGGCGCTACGCGCGTACGCGCATGAACGCGAGCAAGGTCGAAGTGAATTGAAAGACGACGCCAACAGTCCTTCGCCTGTATAGGTACGAGTGGCGCCTGCTGCTGTATATTTATTATCGACCAGAGGCTTCGCCGGGGACCGCCAGTCTTCGGCTGGTTCCCGGGCTTGGTGTTCGCGATTGCTGCTTCAAAGCTCCAAGTCTCAACACGTTCATGTCCCTGCGAGGTACATAGTTCGTTACTTCTTTGCCGTGAACGTGTTTTGATCTATTGCTGTAGCCCAGAGTGGCATCACTGGGTGTTGGAGGCGTCTTGGATTAGATGGCGTGCCTTAGTCTACCTTAGGCGTTGTTGGGACCTGTCTTGGAGGTGTTACCCAACATTATCAAGGCGCCCAAGCCATGTCGGTCCGATCCCAAGACGCACAAACGATGTCAAGACGTTTGAACATTTTCCTGATGCCCGATCTGGACGTCGCCTTGATTCTCGTCATGCCCTTTGGCAAGTTCGTCTGGGCACTCCCCATCACTCAATACCGCACCTTCGGCTACACATGGTCGCTCAATCCCGGACCCTTCAACTTCAAATAACACACCCTCATCGTCGCCATGGTCTCCATGTGCTGGCAGACCGTCTACATGTCCTCAGTCTACATCACCCAGGAGGTCAACCACGGCCAGGAGCTCTCGTACTCGTACAAAATCCTCACCGCCCTGTCTAACCAGCTGATCGGCATGGTAATCTGTGGCATGTTCTGCTCATTCCTTGTCTGGCCCTTGAGCATGATCTACCCCGGCACGCTGGTCAGCTGCAGCCTGATGAACACGCTGCATCGCACCTGGGGCAAGCACGAGCGGGAGCACATCTCCCGACACAAGCTGTTCGCCATCGTCTGCGTCGCCTCGGCGCTGTGGTACCTCATCGGCCTCATCCCCGGCTTCGTCTTCACCGGCGTCAGCATCTTCTCGTGGGCGTGCTTTCTCCTTTCGAGTGCCGATTCTGATGGTATTGCACAGTCAAAAACGTCGTATTTGCTCAGCACATGCCCATCTCCATCGTCACGTCGTTCGACAACACCGGCATGCCGTATGACGTCACACAAGTCATGAACAACGGCACCTTTGACGCAGACCTGTACTATGCGTACTCCCCGCTGTTCTTGAGCTGGACCAACACCATGTGCTTCGCCATCTTCCCTGCGATCATCGTCCACACCATCCGTGCGTATACCTTTTTTTTTTTTTTTTGAAGTGCTCCTACTCGTGCTAACAGCTCGTTTCCCCCCCAGTCTGGTACAGCCGCGACATTCGGCGCCAGTTCAGCAGCTCGCTGTCCGACAACCGCGACGTCGACCCCCGGCTGATGCTGGGGTACCCAGAGGTGCCAATGTGATGGTACGGCCTCCTGTTCGCGCTGTATTTCATGGCCGGCTGCATCGATATCGAGATCTTCCCGACTGAGTTCCCCATCTGGGCCCTCGTCGACGTACCTCACGGTCCCCAAGCTCGGGCACTACACGAAGGTCTCACCGCGCACGATGTTCGCCACGACATTCATCTCCCGGCGCATCGTTGACGCATGCACGCCACTGTCGCCCAACGGCTTCACGTGCACGGACAACCAGGTCTTCGTCTCGTCCGCCGTCATCTAGGGCGCCACCGGCAGCAAGCACATCTTCGGGCCAGGCGGGCTGTACGTCCTTTTTTCCCCATCGTTTCGTGCCATCTCCTGACATCCTCTTGTCTGCGCAGCTATTGCAGCTTCCTGTGGATCATCCTCGTCTGCGCACTGCTGCCAATGCCCTTCTATCCGCTCGCCCGGCGGTACGTGAACATCCCCGCGGCGCTCAGCGCAGCGACGTCCTTCCCGCCGTGCACCGGCATGCAGTTCACCAGCTGGTTCGTCATCGGCGGCGTCTTCCAGGGATTCCTGCGCCGCCGCCACTTCCGCTGGTGGATGCGCTACAACTACGTGCTCGCGGCCGCGCTCGACGCCGGGCTCGCGTTCGGCTCGCTCCTCGTCTTCGTCTGCTTCTTCGTCCCCAAGGGCGGCAACCTCACATTCGACTGGTGGGGCAACACCGTGTGGCAGAACACGAACGACGCCATGGGCGCGCCGTTCAAGATGCCGCCTGTGAATCAGACGTTCGGGCTCACGACGTGGGCGTGAACGGCGCCTCTCCTGTTGTACACGCATCGCATATTCGCACGGACTTTGTGCTTGTCTCTGTATCATTATTTGTTATTGTTGTACTGATATGGTAGCATCCCCATCCCCGTCCCATCCCCCGCATATACTCTTTCGCGCGACCACACATATCTTTGTTTTTCGCAGTCTCAGAGCACTTTCTCTCTGTACTCCTGCAACTTCGTTCGGCATTGATTGTGTAGTCTGACTGGGTCTGTGACATTAGTGTACTACACTCTGGATGTACTCGTAGCAGAAGGCACAATAGACCTTCGTCGGAACATCATCGTCGATTTGAGTAATATTCTGACTGGGACAGGTCTAGACATTCGCTGGTACAGACTGCAACAGATAATGTGGCGATGCGGCAGCAGTGCTCAAAATAAGTCACCCCTCTGCCCTCCTGTGGCCTCGGAAGGAAGGCATTGCTAGCACCGGCCCTGTGGCGTGGTACAAGGTCACAGTACGAGTGTGCACAGATAGAACTCATGGCTTTGTTTTTCTGTTACATAGACCTATCTGTAATACATCTCCTGACATGTACTGTATCATATGGGTAGCTTAAATAAGGACTATAGACGAAGGCAATCGTCGTACTAGGAGCAGCGAAAATTTGGCTGAGAGGGCATTGAGGAATATTTATTTGTCCGTTACATAGACCTATCTACAGTACATCTCCTGACATGTACTGTATCATATGGACAGCTTAAATAAGGACTATAGACGAAGGCAATCGTCATACTAGGAGCAGCGAGAACTTGACTGAGGGCATTGGCGGATATGTCGAGACTGCGCTACACGGCTGGGACATCCTCTGCGTTCCCGAGAGCTCCAGATTTAGTTTCCTCTTCCGGGCTCCGAGTCTCATCGCCGAGAATGGCTATGACACTCTGGATATACGGATCGCCGTTCTCAAATATCACTGTTGGTCTTGAGGCCAGCACGTCTTCGGATCGTATCGTGTTGCGGGGTCTATTGAGCTTCAGAGGCCGTACGGGCATATCAGCCGTATCCACGATCCTCATCGTATTTTCCACCGTGTAATCTGTCAGGGAAACGAGTAGAACGAGGGCCGTTGGGTACATTCCCTGTGCCATGAAAATGATGAAATACCGTATCAGCGACAGAAAATTGGCAAGATAAAGTAAATCTCACGACTATGTCAACGAGTACTGTTATGAAGATGTATCCTGTGTCATTTATAAATAGTGACATTGTCGAGGATCTTCCTTTGTAATATTGGTCGGTAGCAACGGTGATGGTCAATAACGCCTGAATAAATGTTCGCATGAGGTCGATCAGGATAATAACATTACAGGGCTGAGGAGATACGCACCCACAGCCCACAGTATAGCAATCCAGAATCGACAAAGAGCATGAGTATCTTGGCGCTGCGAACGCCTATACTCCCGCCTCTGAACATCCTCCGCACCGATTGACGATGCTCCCTGAGTTAATATCCTTTCAGTCTAAATCAGTGGGTATTCTGTTACTCGATATACTCACCATGCCTTGTACGCGATTAGAGATGTTGCCCAAATATTTGTCAAAAGTGACAGAATAACAGCAGAAAGGCCATATATACTATCGAAATCATAAAAAGCCCAGCCCACCTCGCCACCCGGCGGACAGACTGAGTCACTGCGGACATTCAACAACGAAATAACTACAAGGTAAGGGGTCATGTCAGCTCACACGTTGTGTGTAGATTTACACAGCCGACTGCCACTCACTAAGCGTAGTCAAGACAAGGATGGCTGAGATGACGATGAAAAGGCGACGCTTAGACCACAAAACCCAGGCCCTCCACAGGACGATGGAGTCACTGAGAATAATCTGGGAAATAAAGATGATTCAGGAGGTGACAAGGCAGAGCTTCTCATTTCCAGGTTATACTTACGTTGACAGTTAGCAGAGAGGTGGGGATACAAGTGCCTTGTTGCACTGCACCAGTGAGCATACTGTCGATGCTCTCACTGCAATACATTCCTTCCGACAGCTCCCATAGACATTGTGAGGCAACGTCTAGCTGCGACATTGAGATGGAGGCGTTGAGAAAAGCGGTTCGCACTGTCAGAGCGAAGTGTGTGGCCGCCATGGCGTACATAGTCACACATATGAGCGCCACAAAGATGCGGGACATTTGCTTGAAGCCATTGCGCCTGATAAAGTAGTTAGCAGGAGACTTGGAGGCAGTTGCATGTCACTCACAGGAGGATGAACGTAGACAGGATGACTAGGAGTGAGAAAACACCTGTAAAGTGGCATTAGCTGACGAGCGAGGTAAGCATTGGATGCACTCACCGAACATTATTGCCTCAGATAAGACGGATTGCAGTGTGGTAAGATTGCCTTGGGTGGTGGTGTCGGCAGTGTAAACAAGAGCCGACAAAATCTGCAGCTGCCAACTGCCAGGACCGGTCGAAAGATTTGCTGGTACCGACTTTGACATGAAAGGAAAACGATCGATAACACAGGAGTACTACGGCGCATCGAGGTGCAAGCGGTGGCTTATATGTGCAAGCCCATCTAAATGAACGTCGAAGCCATCATCGAGGCTATAGTCTTCATGCATTCGCGACCCGTCAAGTGCACATCGACAGGGAGTATCTCCGTCCAAACCGCATCGGTTCTTACCTCCTACGAGCCCATTGGGGTTTCTACGACCTTCCACCGCCTTCGCGATAGAGACGAACAGATTGTAGTTGGTTTGGGCGCGCCTTGATCACGGCCAAATCACACATCTCTCGGATGGCCTTGTGTCAAATTGGTAAGCTGTGATATTTATGGCAGCGTTATGATTCTGACAACCGAGGTACTAAGATGCGAAGCACAGCACCGACGTAAACTAACTCCGTTGAGAGAGACTCACAAGGTTCGCGTTGTTCCGATAACCCGTTTCCTTGCTGATGGCTGTGTCTTCCGTCGCGCGGGTTGGGTCTGCTCGACGGCTGAAGACGAGGCACAGGAAGCTCATTCGAGTTGCAAGAGTGAACGGTAGCGATACTACAAGTGGCACTTGCACGAACATACGCAGCGCACCACGATTGAGCTCTGTGCAGCTCCCTATATCCTCGCATCCCCGGCTCGTCCGCTCACACCCCAGATCTACTTGCCACCTGCGCCCCACGCAAAGTCAGCGACGTTGCCAGCCTCCTCGGAGCGCACATCCTCCTCCCAGCTCTTGTGCGCGGAGACGCAGACGTTATCGCTGCCCGTATCACTGAGCAGCTAGTGCGCGCTGAAACCGTACATGATCTTGTGGGTCCCGAAGCCTGCGCCGATGCCACATGCGTACGCATGTAGCGAGAAGTATATGAACGTGAGTAAGGTCAAAGTGAAATGCAAGACGACGTCAACAGTCCTCCGCCTGTGGTGCCTGCTACTGCTTTGTCGGCGGGCCGGCGCCGGCGCCGTGCAACCTTGGCAATCTTCTTTGCTCCAACTGCCAACGAAATGTAAGTAGTATCCTGGCTGGAACAGGTCGAGCTTTTCACTGTGTGGGCTGCCACATATGATGCAGCGATTCGGCTCAAGGTCATCCGGGATGGGCTCTTCAGCTGGGGCCGGCTTCGGAAGGAAGGCATTGCTGGCACCGGCTTTGTGGCGTGGTCCGGGTTACGAGCGTGTAAGAACAAAACTTATTCAACTTCTCTACCCGTTACATAGACCTATCTGCAGTACATCTTCCGACATGTACTGTATCATATTAGCAGATCATATAAGAACTATAGACGAAGGCAATCGTCGTACTGGGAGCGGCGAAACCTTAGCTGAAAGGGTATTGTCGGCAGATATTTTGAGACTGCGCTACACAGTTGAGGTATTCTCTACATTCTCGAGAACTCTGATTCCATTTTCCTCCCCTGGGCTCTCGTCGCCGAGGATGGCGATGACACTCTGGATGTATGGATCGCCGTTCTCAGTAATCATCGGCGTTGGTCTTAAGGCCAGCACGTCCCCGGATCGTGTAATGTTGTGAGGTTTATTGAACTCCGGGGACCGCGCGGGCAAATCAGCCGCATTAGCGACCTTTGTTGCATTTTCCACTGTGAAATCTGTTAGGGAAACGAGTACAACGAGGGCCGTCGGGTACATTCCCTGTGCCATGCAAAACCGTATTAGCGAGAGAAATCCAAGAAGAAATAAATCTCACGATTATGTGAATGAGTGCTGTATCAAAGATAAGATTTGTGCCTTTTATAAAGCTCACCACCCTCTGGTGTGACCCTCCATTAATATACAAGTCGAAGACAGTCTCAATGACCAGAAATGCCTGAACAGCTTGTATGAGAACTTGAATCTGGTCGGGACAATGATGCTACAAGGTTGAGATACGCACCCACAGCATACAGTATAATAATCCAGAGTCGACAAAGAGCACAAGTATCTTGGCACTACGAACGCCTATATTTCCACCTCTAAACATCCTTCTCACCGATTGACGATGCTCCCTGAAGTTAAATGTCCATTTCAGTCTGAATTTATGGGTGTTCCGTCACCGGATATATTCACCATGCCTTATACGTGATCAGAGATGTCGCCCAAGCGTTTGTCAGAAGCGACAGAACCATAGCAGAAAGTCCATGTAAATCGTTGAAGTCTTGAGCAGCCTGCTTGCTAGTTTGTGGCAGACAGGTATCGCGGACACCCAGCGATGACAGAACTACAAAGTGGTAAATCATGTCAATTCGCACCCTGCGGATTAGTTGGCATAGCTGTCCACTCACTGAGCGTAGACAAGACAAGGATGGCTGATATGACAACGAAAAGTCGACGCTTGTGCCACAAAACCCAGGCCCTCCACAGTACGATGGAGTCACTGAGGACAAACTGGGAAGCAGAGATAGTTCAGAACTTGAGGTGCCAAGATAGGGCTTACCACTCTCAGGACATACTTACATTAACGATCAGCAGAGATGTAGGGACACAGGAATTGGTAAACTCTGGGCCCCGTGGACTCAGTTCCTCGAGCACACTGAAGATGTCTTGTGCACAATGTACTCCTTCATAACTCGGCTCCTCCCTACATTGTGAGACGAAATTTTCCAGCGGCATCGTGACGTCGGCGAAGGCTGCTCGCACTGTCAGAGAGAAATGTATGGCCGCCGTAGCATACATAATCGCACATATGAGCGCCACGAAAATGCGGGACATTTGCTTGAAGCCGTTGCGCCTGATGAAGTATTTAGCAAGGGACTTGGAAATGATTGGACACCACTCGCAAAAGGATGAACGTAGACAATGCAACCAAGAGCGAGAAAGCACCTGTAAGACGATATCAGCTTACCATCAAGGTAAACACTGAGTGTACTCACCGAACACTGTAGCCTCGGTCAGCATGAATTGCAGCGCACCAAGAGTGTATATGTTATAGCTTTGAACTTCACTAGTAAGAAGACTACTAGTCGACGAAGCCTCATCCATGTTCTGACTACCAGAACCGGTCAAGAGATTCGCTGGTGCCGACTGTGACATGAAACGGAGGGAGCGCGGGTCGCGAGTGACGGGTACAGGATGTTCGCGTCGAGGTGCTGGTGGCGACTTAAATGTGCAAGCCCATTCTGAATGAACATCAACGTTAGCGTTGAGGCTATGGCCTTCATCATGATGCATTCACTGTGACTCATCAGGTGCATGAAGGACCGAGCTACGTTTGATAGGGTCCGGGGAGTATCTCCTCCCGATACGCATCGGTGGTTACCTCTCGCGGGCCCTTTGGGGTTTCTACGACCATATCACTTTCGCGTAGGAGATGGACAGATCGCAGGATGGCTTCGGCGCGCCTCGCGGCCAAATCACGCATCTCCCGGGTGTCCTTGTACCAAACCTGGAAACTGCAGCACTATAGCGGTGTTTTCGTTCCGACAACCGAGATCCTGGAGTCCTAGGAAAGGTTTAGCTTGATCAACACGCATGGTTTTCCGCCTACTATACTGCACACCAGCATTGCTTCAAGCCTCAAGGCGTAGCATAAAACATGAATGGATACCGCTGAGAGTGGAGAACTCGCGTCGCGTCCGCCGCATCGCTTCGACAACGTTTGCGTACGATAGGCCGTCGAGTCTCCTTTGCAGATGGCCACGTCTTACATTGCGCAGTGGGGGTTAATGTTGTGTTCGCTCGACGGCTGGAGATAACTTGAAGGCGCCCGCCGTAGCCACAGCAAGAGGCTTATTCGAGCTGCAAGACTGGACAGCATCGATATCATAACACTAGCGCAAGCGGCACACCGCAATTGGACTCTGCACAGCCCTCCATGTCCCCACATCACGTCCGCTCACACCCCGGATCTCCCAGTTCTTGTGCGAGGACGCGGACGCCCTCGCCACCAGCGCGCCACACCGAGCAGCTGTGCACTATAGACGTACACAACCTTGTGGGTCTCGAATTCCTCGCTGATTTAAGGAAAGGCTTGGCTTCATCAGCATGGTTCCCCGTCTACTGTGCGACACGCTGGCATTGCTCCAAGATGCGGAGCACACACGATGTAAATGAACTCCGTTGAGCACATAACTCACACCAGGCCCGTGTCGTTCCGATAACAGCCCTGCCTTCCGACGCGCGGAGGGGGCTGTTTGCCCGACGGCTGAGGATAAAGCCCGCGCCATAGCCACAGGAGGCCTATTCAATAGGTCTCGAGTCGCAAGACTGAACAATATCGATACCACAGCACTAGCACGGACATACGTAGCGTACCACAATTAAGCTCTATGCAGCTCCCCATATCCTCACATCACGTCCGCTCACACCCCAGATCTCCTTGCCACCCGCACCCCAAGCAAGGTCAACAACGTCACCGGCCTCTTCGAGGCGCACGAGCTCCTCCCAGCTCTTGTGTGCAAAGACGCGGACGCCTTCGCTACCCGCCACGCCGAATAGCTGTGCGCTGTAGTCATACACAACCTTGTGGGTCTTGAATCCCTCGCCGAGCTGGATGGACGTCGCAAGTTTGGGCTTGCGCAGATCCCAAATTGCGACGGACGACAAGGAGTCGGGGGCGAGGAGGTGGTAGCCATTCTCAGAGAAGCTGAGGGTGTTGACGGTGAAAGGAACACTTTCCGGAGGGGTGAGCGTCGCTGCGATGGCGCCAGAGCGGATGTCGAAGACTTGGATGGTAGATGCGGGGGTGCCGACCGCAACCAGGGTTCCGTCGGGGTGAATGCCGAGGGATGTGAATGGCTCATCGGATCCTGGCGACTGGTACACCTGCTGGAAGGTGTTGAGATCGTGAAGGGAGTAGGTGCGATCTGATGAGCTGAGCGCGAGCAAGGTCGAACTGGGATGGACGACGATGCCAGTGATCTCGCCCTTGTGGGTGCGAATGGTACCGGCCGCCTTGTATTCACCGGAAGCCTCGTCGTGTGACCAAGCCTTGGCAATCTTGTCCGCGCCACCGGACAGAAGCAGAGTCGGCGCACCATCTGCTTCACGGAACGCGACGTGGTTAACCTTCTTTTGGTGACCCTTCAACGATGCAAGGACTTTGTCGTTCTCCCGGTCATACAGCTGCACGACTTTGTCGTTGCCGCCGGTGAGGAAGTGGCTGTTATTCTTGGAGACAGCGAGGGCGGTAATACCAGCAGGAGAAGACGAGTGCAGGGAAGGAACGGTGTGTTTGGCGGCAAACGTCTTGATCTGGTCCTGAGTAACATATCCCTCGGGAGCCTTGCGCTTCTTGCGAGTAGCAGAAAGCTTTTGGTGGGTCTCGTCAATCTGGGAGAGAACGTTCTCTGGCAGGCCGCCCGCCTCGGCAGTATCTCCCATCTCGACATCTCCGGCGCCGTCGGCAGCTGGCACGACACCCATAGTCGCAGAGACACTGGCAAGTGCTCTACACATATGATGTAAATTCATCAGCAAGCAAGCGAGAGTGACGACTTGAATACGCACTCTCGTGCAGCATCGCGTTCACGAATAAGACGCGCAACAACCCTCGTTGCAGCATCTTGCATGTACAAAGCAACGCTGAGCTCCTGACGCAGGTTGTTATTTTGCTGCTTCAAGGAGAACGTCTCGAGCATAGCAGCATCCCACTCGTTTTGAAGCGTCTGCAGCAACGCGGGAATGGACGTGGCACTCGTAGGACGAGGAGCTGCCGTCTTCGGGTCTGAAGCAAGCGAGTGTCAGACTTATCTTTTACGGAGTGCTGTCGCTGGACATCTAACGGCAAAGTGACTAAACGTACTGGCTTTGACCGTGATTAGGTCCGACTCCTCGAGCTTCTCGCCAGTAATGGGATCTGTGCCATTCTCTGTGATGTACTTGACAATGAGCCTGCGCTCATAAACATGTCCTGACGTGACAGAGATGACAGGGTCTTGAGGAGGCTCTCCAGAGATGGAACAGAAGAACATGGTGGGTGGAGGTGTTGGTGAGCAGCGTGCAAACAAACGCCTTTCGTTGAATGCGGCGCGTTGACTGAGAACTTGCTAACTGTGGGAATACCTCGTGTAACAAATATGTTGAACTCCGTTACTTACTTCGCTTCAATCGGGTTCTGTGGAAGCGCCCACTTATTACGCCTGGCTAATTTCAGTAGCTCAGCTCGCAAGTCACCCAGTATGTCGGACAAACAACGTCTCGTCCTTTCTATCATCGACTTCCTCAACCAGTCCGTTCAAGACGGAACGGTCAAGCAGGACGATGTTGAGAGTCTGGAGGTAGCCAGTAAGTTATCGCCAGTTCCTGGCATACTTGCGCGTACTCACTCCATATGCGGTGCACAGTCCAATGTATTGGTGAGGCGTTTGGCGTGGACCCTTCAAGTGAGGAGCAGACAAAACGGTTATCTGTGAAGCCGGCAACACTTCAGTCTATCTTCGATGTCTTCATTAAGACTCGGGAGAAAATAGGCTCTACAGGCTCGTCCTCAGCTTCATCGTCCACACCCGCTCAACCCGCGGGCCCCTCAGAGACGGACAAGGCTAGTGCTGAAAAGCTGAAAGCTCAAGGCAACGCGAAGATGTCTAGCAAGGAGTACGATGCTGCTATCGACCTGTACACGCAGGCGATCGCGAAGGATGGCACCAACGCCGTCTACTACTCCAACCGTGCCGCAGCGCAGTCGAGCAAGGGGGACCACCAGAGTGCTATCCAAGACGCAGATAAGGCCCTGGAAGTTGACCCCTCCTTTATTCGCGCATACCACCGCCTCGGGTGAGTGTCCTGCCGCAGCACCCCCATACGACGTCTTCGCTGACCTTCCGCGACCATAGGCACGCGCACTACTGCCTGAATGATTTCAGAGCCGCCGGTGACGCGTTCCGCCGCGGCCTCGAGCTCGACCCCTCTAACGCCAACCTCAAGACCGGTCTCCAAAGCGCGGAAGCCCGCATTCCCAAGGATGACGATGAGCTGTCACCTCTCGAATCCACGGACGCCACATCGTCCGGCGGCGCTGACATGGACGCTGGTGCTGGTGCCGGTGCCGGTGGCCTTGCGGACATGCTCCGTAACATGGGCGGCGGTGGAGGCGGTGGTGCTGGAGGCGGCATGCCGGACCTCGCGGGCCTCTTGAACAACCCGATGATGATGCAGATGGCACAGCAGATGATGGCGAATGGCGGCATGGAGAGGCTTATGCAGAACCCATCCGTTGCGAACATGGTATGTGGCAGGCTATCGTGTCACTTCTCGGCTATTCGGGGCTGACTGTAGCCTTGCTGCAGATGAATCAGATGCAGTCTGGCGGCGAAATGCCTAACATGCAAGACCTGATGTCCGATCCCGCTCTGAGAGATATGTGAGTCGCCTGCGAGTTGAGCTGCTAGGATTGTACGCGGTTTCTGACTTTCATACAGGGCGAGGCAATTTGGAGCAGGTGGTGGACAATGAGCAATGTAAATGATTCAGCTTTATGGCAGAGGTTTGTTCTATCTGGCGTTCCAGGGTCCTATTAATGAGAAATGCAGCCTTATTTGTTTGCTGTAAATGTGACGTGCTAACCTCCACATATGACCTTGGTAGCCTGGGGCTCGCGGTTTCAGAGGTATCCCAGAGCACAGCCTGTTTGTTGTTATCGTATCACATATCTGGGTTGCCATCCCAGCCCATCAACTTTGCCAGGGACGGGCTACCCTCGGCCACTCACTCTCCAGCTCTTCCTATTAGCATCCGGCCATGCACCCGAAGTTCCAGTTCGTCATGCCCTTCGCCTGCCTTCCGATGTTCAGTAGAGTGCATGCTCAGGACCCCTCCTTTGCGATACCGAGTGGAGAGTGAGTGCTGCTTGTTCTTCTGCTCGCTTCGATGGTTCGACGTAAGCTTTTGGCCAGAAATCAACCACCTACATATCATGTTCAGATAGGTATCAGCTTGCAACGGCAATTACCAACACCGTTATACCACTTTTCAACATTAGCGTCGGCTTTATAACTCGTTCGTAATACTCTGATCTCACAACATCAAGGTTTGGTACTAATCTTCGGCCTGTTGCAGTCTTGCAGAAACGGAATTTGATGACACGGGTATATTTCTTGTCTCGCTGGCACGAATGGACCGTCTGAATGGGACAGCTCTATACCAAGATTTGGTGGTCAACAGCATCAACACCGTATTCAGCTAGAGTCCTATGATGCTCGCCCAGAGAACGTTAGTTACGCCACCATACTGTGGAGTTCCTTGTGACTCACCCAAACCATTCCCTGACCATTCCAGAGTGAGCTATTTGCAGCCCGTTGCCAAGACTGCCTGACAAACATGCATATCGTCAGGGCTTCAACTACGTCGCAGCGTAAGCGACTCATATATTAGTATGCTTCGCACGCTAATCTCATTGGTTACCGTCGCAATAGACAGTATGCTCTTGCGGCTTTCGAGGCCACAGCAGCATACAACAGCACTCTGTCAATGGTTTATGCGGTCAGGACTTGGGATCAGCTATCTGATTATATGGTGACTCCTGAAGATGCTGCGGCTGGCCGATTTACCCCGATCGCTTCCGCTTGCTACGAAGGCTGGTGATAAATTTGACCAACCACGGTAGTCACCACTGCCGGCGCAGCATTCTATGTAAGAATATACATCGTTAGCCCGTTAAATTGCTTGTCACTGATGTCTGTGTGCAGCTGACGAGCCAGACGGACGCGGTGGTCAATGGGGAGACTATTGGGTAGGTCGAACGGTTCTATTTACGGTTGCTATGAGCTCATAGTTTACTAGAGCCCTCATGACGTATGTAGCCCTCGACTCTCGCAGTGATTGGTAGTATCTGATTAATTGGAAGTCTTTCCTCTTTTTTGGCCACAGCTACTCGAAATAAACATATGCGGCAGCAGCAGAGTTCATCTGGAATCATCTCTACAATGGCACGATCATCCTTGACGGAATTGATCTACACAGCTGTAATGTTGCGAGCGCCGCACGGTCGTACAACTTCGGCAAAACCATCGAGGGGCTTGCGGGCATCATCAGCAGGAACCAGACATGGCTGCCTCGGTCAGTTTCGTGCTACTCCGAGCTGAGCTCCAACATCCTGGTTGCTAACGTCGCTAGTCTGACTTCTTTAATTTCGACCGTTATTCCTTACCCGGCGTGGACATCTATCAATGGGGTTGAGAGCGAAGGTATGTGGCTATTCCTGCCATGCACACGGCAACCTGCGTACTGAGAGGTACCCTTAGACCAGGTTGATCTAGTGGAGGTTGAGAAGTGGGATTTCCAGAGGCCTGTGAAGAGTGCGTGCGGGTACTCCCCCGCCTTTCCAGGACCACTCGTCAGACTCATTGTGAACAATAGCCTTTATCATCCGCAGGTTGTTTACAGCGTGGAACCAAAGCAACCATTGATTGAAACGTACATCACTGTTCGAGTAGGTACTATCCACTGACCAGATCAGAGCTTTCCTGACGCTTCCACTAGCACAACGCCTTGCTAGATCTCGCGACGTATCGGGGTACAAACGAGTACAGCTCTGCATGGTCCGGTCCGCCGGCTCCAAACCTTTTACCATGAGGACGGCTCCATGCTCTGGAAGTCATGAGGTCGGGGTACGCCTTTGCCCTGGGAAGCCATGAACTAGCAGTATCTGAAACGTAAGCGATCTTCCACTCTTCCTCCAATGCAACCGAAGCCTGATCAAAAGTAGGAGCCATGCATCGGCTAGCACCGTGACCGACTCTGAACTTTCTCTCGACTCCGCCTCCTCGGCCTCTCAATCTCATGTGCCAAGGACCGCGATAATTGGGGCCACCATCAGAAGTGTGGTCGTACTGATCATATTCGTCGCTGCATTCCTTTTCCGCTACTATAGACGTTACAAGTGGCGCGCCGAAAAGACCGAAGAGGATTGCGTAACAAAGTTCATTCCGGTTCCGTTCGAGATTTCGGTTATGGGGCCTTGCACCTGTTTTCGCGACCCGAAAACTATCGTGTCTTCACATTGGTCCTCCAACTCCTCCCCTCGTCCAATTCCTCTCAGCGTTGGGCAGCCACACCATGAATAAGCCATGTTCAGTGTTCTGCCGGACAATCTCGGGGAAATCGTTGCCACAGCACAAACTACGGCGAGGCTTCCCGAGGCCAGTTCAAGTCCTGCTACATCCCCGAATGTCAACGAAGCGGACTTAAATACCGTGGTTAACTCGTCTGCTTCCCAGGCCTGCTCAAGAAGCTCCGCTGGCTTACGATGAATGAGGTAACCCTCGAAACGATTTGGCTCAGTGGAATACTTACCTTCTAGATACGGCTGGCAGCGCCCCTAACACTAGGATGTATGCTACGTATGTCAGCCAGGTGATGAGGTTCAGTTTCACCTTTTCGTCAGTGACCGTGAAGAGAAGTTATTCGACGGACTCACACAGAGGCTATCAAGCACTTGCCAGCCAGTCATAGACCGAGAAACACTCCGAGTACGGTGACCTTGAGTGCCGGGGTCGGTCGAGGCACTGCCATTCCCGACCTTGTTGTCACTGTACGGAGGGAATGATGTGCTAACTGGGAGCAAAGTTCCGTTGTGGGGCAGCTGAAATGTCGACATGAAAGCATCTGCTGATGCGGGTTTGCCTGTGTCAGTGCATCCAAGTGCCGACAATCACAAGCAATGCCTACCATCGACTTCTTCGCTATCATGCAACTGTAGCGACAGATGTGGCCCAGATAACCAGACGAAGCGGCCCCAGCTACAGTTGGAATTGCATGCGCATACATGCAGTGTCAGTTACAGCCTTCCCAAGTCTCGCAGGCTGATCCCGCGAACCGGGTCCACCCAATAACGTCTTTCAGATGTCAATGGCGCCTTCGCGAGCCTTGGACGGGTATAGTTCTTGGGCTGATGGTGACGCACTGGCAAACCAGTGTCATTGATGGTCGTCTAGATTGCTCAGTTACTGAGTCCGAGTCTGCCGAGCGCAGGAGCGCAAGCCCAGCTGGTGGGCTCACAACATACGGACGACTGATCATGATGAAACAAGCGAGCCTCCCCATTTTCAGGACGTCGCCACGCGACTGCGCAACAAACAGCAGATGCGTTTCTTGTCGTTCTCTCTACCTGTCGCGATCAGTTCTTCATGATCATTTTGGCCTATTTGTTCAGCTGGGGCTGACTCGGAGGTCCCCCTGCTCCTCATCGATCATCACTCGTCATTATCCTGCAGCCATGCGCCTAATGCTTCGGCTCGCCCTGCCCTTTGTGTACCTTCAGGTGTTCGGTGGAGTATAAGCTCAGGACTCCCCCTTCGTGATGCCGACCGGGTGGAGAATGAGTGTATCTCGTTCTCTTGCTCTCTCCAAAGCTCAGCACATGCCTTCGTCAGAAACCAACCACCAATCTGTCACTGTCAGAAAGGTATCAGCTTGCTACAGCAATCATCGACACCGTTATACCACTATTCAGTACCAGCGATGGCCTTATACCTCGTTTGTGATACTCTGGCCTCACGACATTATAGACCAAAGCTAATATCTTTGGTTTGCTGCAGAAACCGGATATCCGGACACGGGCTCGCTTCTCGTTTCGATAGCACGGATGGACCGTCTGAACAGGACAGCTCTATATCAAGACACAGTGCCCAACAGCATCAATACGATATTCAGTCAGAGTGCCACGGTGTTCGCCCAGAAGACGTCAGTTACCTCACCTTTCTGTGGAGTTCCTTGTGATTTAAATCTTTCCCTGATTGCACTAGTGTATGTACTGTATTCACAGCTCATAGCGGGACTACTTGACCGACACGCGTATCGCAAGGGCTACAACCCCGTCGCAGCGTAAGCGGCTCGCATATGAGCACACTTCGCAGGTCATTCTCATTTATTATCGTTGCAATAGACAGTATGCTCTTGCAGCCGCAGTGGCATATAACAGCTTACCGTTAATGTCATATGCGGTCGCGACTTGGGGCCAACTATCGGAGTACATGGTGACGCTCGAAGATGCCGCGTCTGGAAGTCATCCAATGAGAGTTACCTCGATAGCCTCTACTTGCAACGGACGTACGTTTGGTGTTAGTTTTGATCAGCCGTGATACCCATGCGCTTTATCATAGTCACCACTGCCGGGGGAGTATTCTACGTAAGAACACTCATCATGAACCCGCCAAATTGCTTGTCATTGATGTCAATATGCAGCTGACGAATCAGACGGTCACGACGGTCAATGTGGAGACCCTCGGGTATGTCGACTAAGTCCCGCTCACGGTTGCTATGCCAAGCTCATAGATTACTAGAGCCTTCATGACGTATACAGCCCTCGACTCTCACAGTAATTGGTAGTATCTGACTGTCTGGAAGCCTGTCCTCTTATTTGGCCACGGCTACCGGAAATCAAACATATGCGGCAGCAGCAGAACTGTCAGCAGAGTTCATCTGGAATCATCTCTACAATGGCACGATCATCCTTGACGGAATCGACCTGCACAGCTGTAACGTCTCGAGCGGCGTGTTGTCATACAACTCTGGTCACACCATCGAGGGGCTTGCGGATATCAGCAGCAGGGACCAGACATGGGTGCCTCGGTAGGTCTTGTTCTGTTGCGACTCGGACCTCGTGATTCTGGTGATTAACGTGATCAGTCTGACTTCTTTAATTTCGACCGTTATTCCTTTCTCGGCGTAGACCTCTGTCAATGGTGTTGAGAGTGAAGGTGTGTGGTCATCTTTGCGTGTCTAGAGCGATCTATGTACTGAGGATCACCCTTCAGATGAGGTGGATCTAGCGGAGGTTGTGAAGTGGACTAGCACGCGGCCTATGAAGAGTGCGTGCGGCCTCATCAGGGCCGCTCGTTGGACTGACTATAGACAGCACAGCCTTTATCATCCGTGGATTGTCCACAGCATGGAATCGGAGTGACCCGAGCTCAGATATGGCAAAATTAATTGAAGCGTATGTCACTGTCCAAGTAGGTATTGATTGCTGAACGGAATCAGAGTCTACCTGACGTTTCTTCTAGTACAATGTCTTGCTGGATCTCGCGACATATCCAGGCATGAACGAATACAGTTCTGCATGGTCTGGTCCGCCGACTTCAAGCCTTCTGCCATGGGGACAGCTCTGTGCTCTGGAAGCCATGCGATCTGAGTACGCCTTTGCCTTGAGGAGCCCTGATTTGGCAGCATCTGCAACGTGAGTGACCTCCTGCTTTTCTTACAAGGTAGCAGATGCCTGAGCAAAACGTAGGAACACTGCGCAGGGCACTGCAGCGACTAACACCAGTCCTGGACTTCCATCGGTTCCCGCTTCACGTACCTCTCGATCTCATGCAATAATTGTAGCCACTGTCGGGGGTGTGGTTCTGCTACTCGTTGTCATTGCTGCATTTCTTTTCTGCCACAAACGTCACAAGCGGCGCGCCGAAAAAGTTGGAGAGGATGGTGTCGCAAAGCTCACTCCGGTTCCGTTCGAGGTATCAGTTATGGAGCATCGCGACCCGAAACATGGCCTATCCCTGGTCTATTCCCCCCGCATAGTCTCTCTGGGTGCTGGGCAGCCACAGTACGAACAAGCCGAGTTCGGTGTCGTGCCGGTCACTCACGAGCAAGTCTCTGCGACAGCGCAGGCTGCAGAGAGGCTTCCCGATGCCAGTTCAGGACATGCCGTGTCCTCCGAAGATCTCAACCAAACAGACATTAACACGGTGGTCAGCCTACTCTCTCACCTGTTGGCCAGGGTGCCCCAAGAGCGATACCAACCACCGCCGGGTTACGATGAATAAGGAGGTAATATCCCATAGTATTTGTGGCTCAGTGGAATACTAACTCTGTAAATAGCAGGGCTCCCAGCACTAGAATATACGCTGTGCACACCAGTCAAGTAACTGAGGTCCAACGCTCTCAGCTTGCTTTTCTCGCAGGCGATACGGAGGCTACTCAATGGACGTTGGCAAGCATTTGCCAGCTAGTTGCTTATGTAGTCGTGAGCATATTCAGGAAGCAATCAATTCGAGGTTCTGCCGAAAAGGACACTATGGGACAAGTCCGGATGATAAAGTTACGGAATCATTGCAAGTGTTCGTTGTGAGATAAGAGGTGGACGTATCATAATACGCGAGTAAGAGGAATTACAGACGTCTACGGGCAGACTCTTTGGAATAGCATACGTAGATGTAGGCATGTGGGAGAAATGAAGCAGTCGGTCAGTTAGTTGCGCGGCTCAGTCGTCTTTCTCTCTCCGCCGGTTCAAGCTAAAACGCGATGGAGCCGTCGATGTTGGCGAGGTTCGCCCATCAATTGACGACATCGACGCACGATTGCGGAGACTTACGCGCTCGGCATCGAAGTCGAGGCGTAGACGAAGCTGGCCCTGACCCTCACGCAGCTCGATCATGACATCTGCAGAGCCAGAAACACCGGGCTGGAGATGCCGCCAAATCTGGACAGAAGCTTCAGCAGTGGTTCTACGGAGAAACTCAGGAAAACATACATCGACTTCGCCGGATCCCATGGGCTTGTCCTTGCCTAGAGTCTTGTGATCGAGGACCCAGACATGTAGCTTCGACTGTGACGGACCAGCGGCAAAAGAGAACGTCTCTTGCCTAAAGCGAAGGTCAGCTACACGCTGAAGATAAGCTGCATGCCAATGACATACCATTCAGGAGTCGCGGACTTGACGTGCTTCGTCTTGTGCTCCTTATCCCCGACACGAACGGTGACATACGGCTTCGCATCGTTCATCGAGAGGTCCTTCGCATCGAGCACGGTGATCTTCAGCGTTCCAGGGTCGGTCGAGGCACCGCCAGTGCCAGTGCCATTATACTGAGGGAATGACGCGCTGACGGGCAGCAGAGTTGTGCCGTTCTGGGCGACTGTCGCCTGTCCTGATGGTGTCTGGGCAGCGGCAACGACAGCAGCATCCTTGATGGATGCCTTGTCGTCGTCAGAGTCGGAGCTATTGCCTCGCTTGAAGACGCCGGTGACACCATGTATGACGCCCTTGCCCGCACCGACGGGGAGGTGGCCAATCTGGGTCATGGCGCGACCCGCGGTAGAGAACGTGGAAGTGTTCTTGCGAGCCTTGGCGATAATCTCGGGACGGAAAGTAAGCATGAGCTTGATGGAGCCCTTGTCGCCATGTTTGTGGTGGGATAGCGGGACGGTCTTTTCCACGCCGACGAAGGGTTCCAGGCTCTCCAGGTCGATCGTGCCCAAGCCCAAGCTCTTTGCCTGCTCGATCTGATTCCAGTCGAAGACTTCGAGAGTGAAGCTCGAGCCCACTCTTGATGGCTTAAACGAGAAATCAGTGTGCATTCGAGTAACAAAGTAGGCGTGCAACGCACAACTTGAACAACGAACTGTTCATTCCAGTCTGGATTGACCGTCTTCTTCTTGGTCTGCGACTTGTGGACCTTCTGTCCGTTGAGCGAGAAGACAACGAAGGGGTCGGATTTACCTAAACGGGCAAGGTGAGATATGGAGCTGGCGGGATGAATCTGAGCAATCACTCACCACCGCGGTCCGCGGCATGGATATCTCTGCCGTTGATGAGCGTGACATTCATGATACCCTGGTCTAGAAAAAGTGTGAGCGGTTTCGCGCGCGAGCACAGTGGAGCGACCTACTGTTCACGCTCTCACGTGGTTCCAGAGTAATGGACACGGGGACATAGCGCGTCTCAATCTCCACGGTACACGTCTTGTTATCATCCTCGATATCGTGCAGCGTGAAATGCGCAGAGCCTGTGAGGGTCTTCTGCAAGAAGTCTTTCGCACTGCCTTTATACTCGGCGATGATCTCATCCTTTTCACCCTCGTCAGCGTCGTTGAGCCGGAGCCACACTTGGCCGAAGTCGAGCTCTTTGACGAAGCCCTCGCCGATGTACTCCCACAGGACGTGCTGGCTGCGCGCTCGGACGGTGCTAAATGCAGGCCAATAGGCGTCGTCCAACAGAACTTCCAGCCGCGCCTTCTTCCGCAGCTGTCCGCTAATGACGTTGAATATAATAACACCGGACTCTGTGATATGGTGAGCTTCCATGCATGAACATTCTGAGATGATCCGCACTCACGATGTTGGAGAAGTTCCTCGGGGCTCATCTCTGGGGCATCATCTTCTGGACGCTTCTCATTGTTAGATACGGACGAGTTGCGTGTCAGCTGAGTGTCAGCAGTGCGCGTAGTATTCGCAGTTTTAGTGGTATCAGTCGACCCCGTCTTCCTGTGCCCCTTCTGCACCTGCTCATCTTCGTCAAGAGGTGCAGACACCGTGATACCATCCGGAACATCCTGCTTTTCCGACTCGGAGCTATTATGCGTCGAGATGTCATCGCCCTCAAGGTCATCGTTTCCTTGAACAGCGCGCTCGATGGCGTTTGGACCGCTGTTAAACTTTACATTCTTGACAGGCATCGCCGGGACGAATTGAGCTTCGTAGAAGAGCTTGCCCTTATAGGTACCCTTGTCGAGCTTTATTGGATCCTCGCGTATCTGCTTCCCTTTGGAAGAGTATGTTTGACTTCCTTCAACAGGTTCCGCTAAGTCCGAGACTTTAAGCTCAACGAGGCCAAGCGTGCGGTCCTGAGAGCGCAGGTGAGTCGCTACAAGATCAGCCCTGATGCAAAATCAATTACCTTCGTGAGATGCTGATAATCCATGCATTCCAGCATCATTGTCTACAAGCGCAGTCAGCAAGAGTCGCGAGACGGTTCTGATAAATAAGGCACACCTCCTTTAGCGAGTGCACTAATGAAGGCGAGGAGGACTCTGGTTAGCGCCTTCACCTCGTGTGCTACAATAATTGCACGTACCAGGAATGTAGACGATCTGATCCCATTCGGGACTGAGGTCTGTCCAGCCTGTTAACACCCATTCAAAGACAATGGCATCAACAGAACTCACTATTGTTGACGACCTCTGTCCGACCCAGTGTGATGTTGTTGATTTGCACACGGACGTAGGGATCGCTCTACGACACGAAAGTTTCATAAAAGTGCGCAGTTATGCTTCCATGCGAGAAGCTCACCTTCCCACCTAGGGTCGCCTCCACGTTCCTAATATCGCCGTTTCAGCCTCATCCCGGCAGCTAGTATATAACGGAATGCTCACTTGACGTCTTGCGCCTTCTTCAACCACACCCGGACAACGCCAATCGGCGGGACGTACTGGTCCGCGCCATGCAAACTGCCAGCCATGTTCAACGGCTTCCATTCTGCACTGACGCGAAGCTTCGCGCCAGATGCACAACCGCTGAGTGGCCACCAGTCGCGCCCGACTTCCTTCTTGGCTTCCAGCAGGTCTCCCAGGCGGACGGTCATGTGGCCGATGACGGGATCCTTCAAGAAGTCGCGGTCATCAATGACCCTCACCGTGACGGTTGAGGTGCTCTTGTCAGAGCACAGGAACTCTGTGGTTGACTCCCAGACGGGGTTGTTCGTACGCTTGAACTTCTGCGTCTTGTGCACAACCTGGCCGTTGCCAAGGAAGACCTTCGCCATGGGATTGAGGTCGCCAGTAATAGACTTAGACTGGTCGAGATCCTTGGCTTGGTGAATGGTGAGACGGACGATACCCACATCTACGAGCAGACGTAAGTAAGCCGCCCATATATGCAGGAAATTAGACACTAACTGCTGTCAAGGATTTCTTCGATGCCTGCAGTGCCCGGCTTCAGGACTGGGAAGAAGCTGACATCGAAACGTATAGTGCCTCTTTCCTTGCCATCTTTCTGCACCGGCGCTTCAACACCCTCCCAAGTAGCATCGTCACGCAACTTGGCGAGATCGAAGGTAGCAAAGCCCATCTCGGTGTCTTTCCGGTGGTCATTGTAGTCGAGAACACTCAGGTTCAGGGTTTCTGTTAGGTTGTTGACCAGGATAAACTTAGTCTCCATCCATGCCGGGTTGACTCTGCACATGAAGTGAGCAACCTGATAAAGCGTGGTGGTGGTTACTTACGTATCGCGCTTGCACTTTGTGTGAGCCAGCTCAGCGCGCTGGTTGATGCTCAGGCTGACGTAAGGGTCGGGGGTACCGCCGCCGATCTTGCTTCCTTTCAGACCGCGAGCACTCTGGATGGTAACCTGTAGGACACCGATCGCTGAGTCGAGCGGCTCGCCCGAAAGCATCTGCTCGATATTCAAGGTGAAGAAGTTCGGATCATACATCATGGGCCCAAGAATAGAGTGCACCATGTTCCGAATAAAAGCAGATAAACCCGGGACCTGCGGACAAGAGTTTAGGACGAAGGAAACCGTGCATAAACAATAACTTACATTGGCAATGTCGAAACCAAACGTCTCCCCACCGAGAGGTTTGAGGACGTAGTCGAAGGTCGGTTTCTCCATGAACGACAAGTCGACAACTTGGGCATGAGGGAATGCCGTCATGAGTTTGATACGAACACGTAGGAGACCACTGAAACTCATATCCTCCAACAGAATCGGCATGGCGGCGGCGGCGATACCCTTGCCAACACGGACGGAGATAACAATCTTTGGGTTGACCTTGTTGCGGAGTTGCTTAGGCGTTAAGTCAGAGATGTCGTTGGGGCTGAACGACAGACCCCAATCCATGAGAACGATGTCGTCGGGCGTGCCGGGGTACGTTTTGACCTTGATGATCCTAGGAGCCTTGTTACCCAAGGTGAACTGGGTCATGCGGAGCGAATCGAGGAAAGGCGGACAATTCGTGCTGAGAATTTGGTCGACGGTCGCCACAATAGTCTGTGACAAGACAGGTTCGTAAATGAGCCAGAAGCGGTCCAGGAAATTGTTGATCCATTCAGCAGACTCGTGAGTGTCCATAAGACGCGTCTTCATCAATTCTCGTTGAATGTCGTCTCGAGCACGGCTGCGTAGGCGAGCCATGGAGGTGGTGTAGTAAGTGCTGCAGAAGGCCAGCACAATGAAGAGCCATCCCCACCCGAAGTGGAAACGGGTCAAAAAATGGGTCACAATGATAACCTTGCGGACAAGTCAGGGTACACTCAAGCGCGAGGCTGGACCAAACAGACTCACCACAACAATGATTGCGGCATTGTGATACCAGTCACCGTAGAATTGCTCCTTCAAAAAAGCGTCCAAGACGGTCTTATCTTTGACTTCTCCTTCAGGCAGCGCAGAGTTGTCAACTCCGCTGATTGCGCGCCAGCCAACTTTGTACCAGTCGGGGATGGGAGGCGCAGCGCCAGCGGGCATAGCACCTGGGGGTTGCTGTTGCAATGCAGATAGCGGCTCCTCAGCTGCGACTTTGTCCACGTCGTCGATAGTAATGGTGGGCACAACATTGGGGTTGCCGGTGTCGACTTGGACCTCTGTCGACGTGTCAGAAGGCAACGCGCTTTGACTAGGAGAAGACGAACCAACGCCGCCGTTCCCAACGTCGTCCTTGCCACTCTTCAGCTTTTCTCGTCCCTTCCCTGCCTCTGCAGCCTTTGCTTCTGGGGAAGCGTTCGGGTTGAAGGTGTACACTGGCACCTGACCTTTGGCGGCATCCTTTGCGGCGATAGCATGGAGTTGAGCTTGAGCATCAGGTGGAGTTACGCTAATATCTGGTACCGCGCCGTCGGTCGCCATCTGGGACGACGACGAGGGTGTGCAGGAAGTATAGGAGAGAGGACAGAGTTAGGCTGCGGTAAAGGATTGTGTACGGGAGTTTATTGGATCCCTTTAAAATTGGAACAACACTGCAAATGCAAGGGGTTAATTGAAGCGGTAATGCCGATGACGTGTGGCGCAGCAAAGGTTGTTTCCCCGGGGACCCCGGAACTGCCTCCAATTAGGCTTCGCCTCCGCCGACGCTGAAAGCGAACCGATGGCGACGGCTACAATAGCGGCGATTGCGTACAGTGACTACACGCGATGCGCTGCAGCGATGGGCGTTTTGAAGAAAACGCGCTGTTGGTATCATCCAGTCTTTGAGTTGCGCTATGTGGTACCCGGCATGCGGCTACGGCCGAGACACCCAGCTGTGCCTGAGCAGTGAACACAGGTTACGTTCGGGAGAATAGCCCTAAGCGATTATAAACTGCCCTTACAGACGTCGCCAGCTGGAGGCGAGAGGGAAACCGCGTTTCAGCGACGGTGGTGTGATCTCGAGTGACCTTGACGTTACTTCAAGTCGAAAGTCTCACACCGCGGAACGTCCTCCTTTGATTTATTGTCACGCGTCTCCAGTGATAATAGCTTGGAGACCTCCGCCAGAGCGACCTTTAAGGCACCACATACTGGGTAATTCAAGTGGTTTTTTGGGCTCGAGTATGCCCATAGGCAATTTCCTTCCCTTCGCAGCTGTCCTGTGGGGTCTCGCAAAGGCAGTAACATAGTAAAGCGAGCTCTCTCCACATGTGTTCAGCATCCACCCACTTCTCTTGTCCTTGAATGATCGCGGAAAGCTTGACGCATTAGCCATAGATGTCGTAGCCCCTTTTCCATTACCAACCATAGGCCCATACGCTCTAGGTGTGCTAACAGCTGTTGAATAGCACGCTCGCGCTGCACTCCTAACCTTATCCGGGGCGACTAACCCTGATGCAAGCTCCCGCATAGACACATCCCGGAACGCGGTTTTCCTCAAGGAGACATTTGCGAGGGCAGTGGGAAATCCACAATTCTCTGGCTTCATATATCTTGCACCGCACATGGATTATTGCAAGTAGCACACCCAGGAGCCCGTCTCTGCTGTCAAGCTGTACCTACTGCGAAGCACGTTGAGCGGTGTCGCGGGTCTCACAGACTCGGACGGCGTCTCCGCGGTCACACCCGCGGTCGACTGGGACAGACGCTTGGTCTGCTACTTGTCTGGACACAAGGCCCTGGGCCGGCGCCTTACTAGTCCCAGGCCTCTTCGCTCCTCCATGACGGGCTAGCGACAACGGCGCGGCGTGGAGCGAGATCCGACGCCACAAATATTGGCAGCCGCTGCATACAACACGTCACCAGTACTGTCTGTGTCACCGGCTTGTGTACACCACAACACCGCGGACTTATGGCCGGCCAGACCAAGGATGTGAGTCTCCCCGTGGCCATGCACCCCTAGTTCTCGCGATATGCGCTATCAAACGCCGCTTCGTCGCTTAGGGATTGAACTTTCGCCAAATATTGGCTGCTCTTGAGCGATGCCCACGCTTCAAACATGAGGAATGGATACAAGTGAGTCCCGTTAGCCTTCAAATGGTACTCAAGATATTGAAGTAACACATTATGTAGAAACCTGCGGCACTGGCCTAGCGCCCGCAGCAAATTTCCGCCACGACTTGTACGGTGTCGCAAAGTCAATGTGCTCTTTCTGAGCACGGGCTGTGTTCACATCTCTTCACTTTCACCACGGACCATTGGATCTGTGATGCGGTGTTGGTAGTGATCAGCGAAGTGGACATCCCCCACACATTGCTGCACTGAGGTAGACTACAGCCGGTTTCGAGGGAGGCAAATAAAGCCTTCACTCACCGCATCCGCATGGATTAGGCACCCCCAAAGGCTGCCATGTACGCTAACAGCCTCATCCTTCCACGACCCGACTAAGCGCAGCCCGCCCGAGCTCGCCGATCTCCTCCTGCGTCCGCTGCTACTGCCGAGATTTCTCAGCTGTTGTGCTCTCTACAGTCGTCTTTTCGGCGCTTGTGCGCTCTCCCGCCGCCTGTCAAAGTTCATGCTAGCGCCAGACACCCGACGTCTTGGCTCAATGGAGACAATGTCCATATCTGGACGACTGCTTGTCCTCGAGCAAGGCAATGCTTGTCTATGCATATCGTTCTCGAACATAGTCTACAAGCACCCCCCTCTATGGGGACAATAGACACCAATCTGCTCTCATCAAGTACGTGCTTAAATTGTCGACATAGCCCTCGCCCGCACGCCCTGACGACAGAGACCTTGACAGAACGTGGGCTCCGGAAAGACCATGCGCTTGAGAAACAAGAGGTCGATGGGTTATAACGCCTCCTTGTAAGCGAGGCCGCGGCTCAGCAACCCAGAGTCTGTTTCGTTTTCCCCACTCGTACTTCTTGCAAGAGCTTGCTCTTCTGCCAGTCGTACCTGCCTTAAGGTACAGCTATGCGTCCGACGTCTTTCCTGACTAGAGCGCTCGCCACCTCGGTTCTCTTCGTTGGCAGTGAGTCATGCCTGGCGCAACTTCGTGGTGTTCATGCTCAGCGTGCTTCAGTAGGCACCGGGGTCGCTCACGGGGCGCCTGTCGCGGAACGCGAACACACGCCGCTGGTTGCTATTGTTGCGGCTGAGGCCGAGACTGCGAATGTCGTGAGTAGACGCACGATTCTGGGAGTGACACTCGCTTACGCTCTCTGGTGCAGGCTCGCGAACCCCCTGTGGCTATTAAGAGCCGTAGCGGCGAGGTTGTGGACCCCACAGGTCGCCATTCGAGTGATTCGGTCAGTCTGGCACGCCCATCCTCACCATATCGGCGGGCTAAATTTCAGGATCATACAGCGCGAAGAGGGTGAGATCCTAAAGAGAATGTGCTTTTTCATTTGGGGCTGCAAGTGAGGTTGAGGCTGTTTCTGCGACGCTCCGTCCTCCTGAGTCCCAGACCTTCTACTGCAGCCCCTTGATGCTGGTCATTCATTCGACATTCTCCGCCGGAAATCCCCTTTTTGCCTTGCCTCACCTTTATCTCGCCCTTAGCGGGCCCTACGCTCCTTCGCTATCGTTCACACTCTAGATCCGCCGTTCGACAACCACAGCTTATTCGCCCTCAGACTCCACTTCCACCATTCCCTGTCACCACGCTTGACGCGACCGACATCCGTTCCTTCGACACCGAACATGCCACCTATCCCCAACTGTCTTTACCACGCTACTCGTCCTCCCGTTTGCTGTCGCTGTAGTCCGTAATCTGTATGCTTATCTCGCCCGTAGCCGGTATTATTCCCGTCCAGACAATTGATGTTATGCTGTAGCATTAGACATAGGGTTACAACGTTGCGCTGTGTTCCGGCCTCTGCCTCATGGGATATAACGTTCATTGGGAAGTCTAGACAGAGTGAAAAGGCTATATGTCTTAAAGTTACACCGTTACGGTACAAAAATGGTAGTCGAAAACCCAGGTTCGAGCCCTGGTAGCGCCTTGCAGAACTCACGAGGCGCGTTTATTTTCTGATTTATTTTTGAATGAAACCGTCCTGAGTCGTCCAATTTCATTAAGGCTCCAACCGTTTAGTTTACGTGTAAACTTTTTTTGTAAACACACAGTAAACGGTTGTAAATGTTTATAAACAGTTTATAAACAGTAAACAAACAGTTATTACAGGGATCTAACCCACTCTAGTGGATTGCGCCAGATTAGCCTCTGAGAAACCTGTGTGAGCCTACTGCTCTACTTGAGCCTGAAAAGATAGGTACAAATGTCAGTGCTTGAGCAACGCAAGGCACTTGCTTGATGCGCAAGAGAAAAGCGAGGCTGCAGCTTCCTACTTACAATATTGATGTCCCAAACACTAGGCCCGACTCGGACGTGTATAGATAGTGCACCTACTCATGCGTACAGGGAAGGAGCAATGCGTGCATCACATCCCGAGCACGGACCGGCCATCAGGCAGCATCTGAACACTTCGTACCTCAAGCATCGTGCTATGGTCATCCCTATGGCCCGCTGGTGTCCCCTACGCATAGTACGCAGATTGCGGGCACACGAATAGTCTCGATCGGCCAGTGGAGGTTGCGGGAGGACAAACACTGGCAATCACAAGCTGCAGGAGCGGTATTGCCAGGCAGCACTGTACTGCGAGGGTAAGACCTATGAAGGTATCCGTGGGGCTTGTATGAAGCTTGCGGTTCCGCCTTTAGAAGGTTGGCATGTCCTATCATTGACCTCGTCATTGAGAAGTGGGCCGATAACCTATGCGAGTGTTAGCCTGGCACTTCGGGGGTGACACGACATACTCTCGCGCTAGGACTTCGAGAGCTGACTTAGAGAAGACTGCCGCATGGGTGCGGACCTCTGATAGCCCTTTTTAGAGTCAATCTGCCTTAGTATCGCATGTGGTACTGTCATCACTCAATGAGGTTGAACTAATATTAATATTGTTCCTCTTGAATGAAGTATGGGCACACAACATTCTCGCATACCGCACTCTCGCAGGCAGGCTGCCAGTGCCCACAGTAGACTATATGTAGAGGAGCAGTCAATAAATACACATTATATTATATTTATAATGCTCGCCTTCAGACTGTGCTCAATACAAGTTAGGATCATGACTACCATTACTCCCAGTAAATCTCAGGGCATAGGCGCTTGATACAGTGCGCCGGGCTTGGGGGTTCAAAGAGGCTGCCCGAGGACGATGCACAGGTGGTGCGATGCACTCTTCAGCCCAATAAAGGTCAAGTCTGTTAGCAAGACTATGAATGTACAACACTAAGACCTTTTACAAACAACAAGAGGAAACTGTATGTTTACTGTGTATAAACGTTTACACCAAGTTTACATGACTTCATTTACACACACGGAAACGGTAAACATTAATAAACGTTTATACACAGTAAACAAACAAAACGGTTGGAGCCTTAAATTTCATATTTCCGCCGCATGTGTACCATTGAATAAAGATTTTTGTGCTCACTTACGTTGAGGCAGAGTACTTACTTTTCATTATTTGGAGTCTTGACCGCGGGAACTTGTTATCAGAATCCCAAGTGATAACCACTACACTATAGCGCCATTGGCGATCTGCCCTTATGGTACTCAATAATGATAACGATGCTGAAGTCACTTGTCTTGACTTACTGCACAAATATGAATAGTGAATCTATAGTTTGCCCTCCCTCCTTTGTTTTTCGACCCAAAGAATGACTTCTTCCCAGCCCTCGACCCTCGTCAGCGGCAAGCCTTCAGGAACCGCCGCGACATCGTCTTTCCAGAACTCCCTGCCTCCTGCCTTCTCAAGGCGCTGCTCGAAGCTGAGCCCGTCCTCGACGCTCTTGTAGTTGGACACGCGCACGTTCCACGCGCTCGTGCCGAAGAGGAGCACCGGTATCGGCTCCGCGTGTGTGACACACAAGAGCGCGTTTTCGAGCGAGTCGTCGATGAGGAACTTGGCGTTGAGCTTCTTGCAGACCTAGTTTCACACGTCGAGGATCCACTCAGCACTTTGGGGACAATATCGAAGGTCATCGAGCAACTCACATCCGCTTTCGAAAGTTTTGTCAGGGCCTCGTGCTCGTCGGCGAGGGTCTCCTGGCTCTGGCCTGTGCAGATCATGTCGTCGAAAATGCCTGGGAAGTGCTTTTCGAGCCATCGCACGCTGCGTTCAAGTTCGCGCCGCTGTCGGGCGGTTACAACGACAAGACGGTAGCCCCAATCTTTGAGCTTCGTCAGAGCTTCGAACGCACCGGGCGTGGCCTTCGCCTTGTCAAGGCAATCGGAAGCATAAATCTCTTCGACCTTGCGGAACGTTTCGTCTGGTGTGCCCCAGCCGGGGTTCTGTGCACCGATTGGCAATACACACATACTACTGTGGCATCAAGCTTACCTTCCAGTAGTGGTAGTCTATATCACTGATCTCAATGTGCTCAAACAATGATAATAAACACGCTACTCACAGTAAAACTGCGACAAATCTAAGTTGGTGTCGTAGACATCGTTGTGCCCTGCATAACCGCTCCATCTGCTTTCCCTCTCAGGACGAGTGCTCATGGTCACGCACAATCAGCGACAGCTTGGTTCGTCTCACTCAATACATCGTCCATGTCAACTGCAATGAGCGGCTTGTCAGACTGTTTCAGGATCTCGTCGAGTGACGAGCCCGGCAGGGCACGGTGGCGGGGCGTGTCGATCCCAGATTCGTGTTTCTGTGAGATCGCGAGGTCAGTCTGTGCTGCAGACATTTTGTAGAGGCTGCCTGGGCCGTATAAACAGGTGGTGTGAGAAGTGGAGGATTGGACCTGGATTAGATGAGTCAAGATACCAGATGCGCAGAATTTTCGGAGTATTGGGCGCTTACGCGACGCGAGTGAGTACCAATCGACTCAAGGTTTCGTTCTCGCGAACGGCCGTCATACGTCGGCAGTCTGCCTGCAGCAGCTGGATGTTGGGAAGATAGCACAAAGAAAACGAATGTGCATAAAGGTGCACACAAGAATTTACCATCGGGCTTGCCGAAAGATGCCGACTTCAGGAGATAGCATGAATGAGTGAGGACTCTGTTTTCGCAACTGAGATTAGAAAAAGATATTACAGCTCTGCCCATCCTGCGTCTGGTTCGTCCCTACCTGTTGTCATCGCCAGGACGAAGACCAACACGTTAGCGCCGAGACGAAGTCCAAGACCTCTATACAGCTGTCCTATGCCGGTATTCCTCAACCAGCTCTCCTTCTCAGTCCCCTCTTCAGCTGCCTTGCCTTTCGCCGTGACGCTCTTGCGGCGGTGCCGCTTGGGTTTCAAGGGAATATCGGAACGTTCTTCGGTGATAATGTGCCAGAAGGCATCGACCATGCCATTATAGGGCACAGGGCGCAGCTCGACGCAGGGCCTGAGCGGTTTTGCGGTACCCCGGACCTGGACCTGAAGCCTTCGCCGCACAGTCTCGAAGGGGATAGTGACCAAAAGAGAGCTTATGGTCCCAATGCACTCGGCACAGCCCACAAGTATAGGGTGGGCTTCGGACGAGATGCCTAGGTGGGAGGCGACCATGCCTGGCATAACGAACGGTGCGACAGACCGCAGTGTGCAGTCAATGATGGTTGGCACAAAGAGGTGCGGGTGGAAATACACTCCCTGTAGGCCGCCTTCATGTTTCAGAATCTTCCTGAGGGTGTCGATGGGTCCGCTGTAGGTAGGGAACCGGGAAGACTGGACGATGAGTCGCGTACGGACCAAATCCAGAGGGGAGAGGATAAATCCCGTGATTACTTGGGATGCTACGGGGATCAGCAATGGTGGAGGCGAGAACAAGCCGGATGGCGAGTCAAGTGATGGCAGAAGAGGTGAAAGCAGCGACTCCAATAGTGTACGAACTATTGGCTGTAGAGCGGTGGAAAGGATCTCAGTCACGGCAGATGTGAGGAGACCTGGACACCGATGAGCATGTGAGCCGGAGAGTCATGTATATGCACATACCCTTCCATAGAGAGAGCCATCCCTCTGGCTTGAACGATTTGAGGCGAACCATCATGTCCCAAGTGCCGGACGCGCTCCCCACTGGAAGGATGTATTCTGGGACAACATCTTCGTCGGCAATGGATTGGCGAATGACATAACCCCTCTCATCTGTCATTCGAGGCAAAGGTGGGTTACGTTCCAGAGCTTGAGGATCTGCAAAATACGACTCTTCTTCCGGGGAGTCATCGCTCATCTGGTAGCATTTTAAGTATACTTAGTACTTCAATATATAGAGCAACGAATTGGGTTCATATACCTCTTCCTCCTCGTCTGTCTCCCTCGGCAAGTCTCTCGAAGGCAGAGCCTCGAGGTCTCTCGGAATCCATTGTACTTGCAGCAACGTCTTTCCGACTTCCCACGGGATCGCCACAGCGGTCGTCGCATACTGCAGCAATGCCGAGGTGACCAAGCCGACCGCCACGGCCTTCGCATCCATGCCCTCGTCATCCGGCGCCGTCAGGCCAAGTAGCGCTTGCGAATTTGAGCTTGGAGGTGCCGTCCACTGGTACGAGGTGGACGGCGCGGAAACCGTCGCGTCAGTGCCGTTTGCGGGCGCATCGTTGAACGACCAAGGGTTTGGTGGAGTGGCATACAAATCGCGCAGCGAAGCAGGTGAGCTCATGGGGTCAGAAAAGAGCCCGCGTTCGTGGTCTTGCCAGACGTAGCTTGAAGATTTGAATCACGGTGATTACGAAAATGAAGTCGCAGAACGTCAAAGGTCGTTCGAGAGAGAGCGCGCGCATACACAGGATGAAAGCAGGGACGAGTACTTGTTGGCCGTTCTGCGGAAGCGTGACGCCACGACGCGCGCCTGCCGAAAGCGATGGGGATCAGGCCTGAGCCAGCCACGCACACATACTTTAGAGTCAACGGGCCGTGTTGTACATATTATTCAGTGGTATAAAACATCTACACAGCCCTTCTCGCCGTTGAAGGCGTAGTATAACTAATACGACACCACCAGGATGTCCAGAATACATAGTGTAGCTTGCAAACACCGCTTGAAGGCGTAGACTCCAGAATCTAAATGCTACAACATAACAAACCTCCAGTCCGTCAAATGTCCCAGCTTACAGCGAACGTTACAGTGCCATCATGCGGTCGAAACAATGTCGTTCTGTATCTGCTGTTCCACCTTCTTGGCTAACGCAGGCGGGAGCATATCCAGCTGAGTGGGTAACTGCTGCGCCTGGCTATGACCCTGCAGTTTGCGCATAAATAGAAGTTCACAGTGCAGGCATCGAAGGCTTACATGAGCAAGGTGGTACTTGAGACCACTGAGTTGCTTGTACTGATTGGGGCAACTAGGCTGTGTACAGCGATAAACTCTTTTCTTCGGTGCTTCCGATGAAACATCGTCCGCAGGCGAATCGGTAGATTGCCGTTCACTGAGCAACTTGGCAGTCACAGCCTGCTGAAAGTGTACTCGCGATCTATGCAGAATCATCAGACGATGTTTGGTACAAAGTAGCCGGGACTTACATTTGCAAGTGATACTGGAGACCATTGATGCTCTGCAACGGTGTATATAAGCAAGTACTTCAAGCAGATTGCGACCTGTACACACCTTCCATCCTTTCCCACAATCGGCAATGCCGCATTTGAAGGGCCTTTCGCAAGTCGCATCGTCAATGTGTTCCACTTTCCAGTGGTCCAGTAACTCTTGGGAGGTCGCGTAGCACACGTTGCTCATTTCCGCGGTCCTCGGCCAGCATCTCTCGAAACCACAGACATAGGCTTTGATGCTATGGCTACCATGGTTTTAGCGTAGACATAAGACGCAGCGGCAGCGTACACTTACTCTGCCATTACGGGAAGATTAGCTGATAGTCGCGGAGGAGGACCCTCCACCCTCGTCTTCTTGCGAGCCGTAGCAGGCTTTGCTTCAACGAGCATCTTTCTCTTCTGCTGAGGTGTGCGGTAGTAGCCTTCAGGACGCTGATCGGTGGTAGACGGAGAAGGAGAGGCGGTGTCAGAGACTTCGGCGGGGTATTCTCCCACCGGAGAGGATAAGGGGGTAGGATAAGCATCCGTGTCCGTATCGATACTAGGGTGTGGTGAAACAATGGTATCTGCTTCTCCATGCGAGGAGAGCTGTGGCGAGTCTGGAAACGGGACCGGGACTGAGATTTCGGTCGAACCTAAGGAAGATAGATCGGGGCTATGATGCGTTGTAAGAGGAAGGTCCACGATAGCTGTTGATCCTGAATCGGTGGGCTGAGTTACGGAGGGAGGTGTTTCGAAACTAGAGTCTAGTATGAGCTTGCGCAGCTCCACAGATCGAGTAGATTCAGGCGTGGGTAGATAAGATGTGGAAGGAGATGCATTGGGAAGTGATAGAGCTGAACTGAGAGACGATGATGCATAGTTAAACGGAGGCAACGGCTGTGGCGATCGTTGGTTGGGACTGCAGAACGTTTCGGGAACAACTTGAGTCTGGGCAGGCGAATATTCCGGGTAAACAGCTTCTTGGTGAACGAAGCTGTCGGGAAGGCTTTCTTGCATATGATAGGGGGAAGGATATGCCGTCTCGGGCTCCCAATAGGCTTCGGAGTTCATGTAAGCTATATGCTCCCAGGTCGACGGATCGGCCAAAGCCTGGTCAATCGGCTGGGGGATAGACGACATGGATGGCACCGATGGTAACGCCACAGTGCTCGACTGTCCACGCCGCTGTGCGGTGGATGCTTTTTTCCTCTCGAGCATCCTCCATCTGTGTAATCGATCGTCATGAGTGCAAGACGTGGCTAGCTAGGACTGAACGAACCTATTGCGACTTGCCAGGCCCGATCGGTTGAGCAACTTGCCTATCTCCCGCCATTTCCCCCCGGTGCTCAAGTATGCAGCATAGAGTCTTTCGTCTTCTTCTGCGGTCCAATCGCCCTTGTTGAGTGAGGGATCCAGCGCCTCGCGGTATCTCTTGGAGCAAGCATCGTCTGTCCTGCCGGTAATCTGCCTTGCTATAATTGACCATTTTTCAGGGTATTGGGCGTAAAGTTTCAGCAGGAGCTCATCCTCCTCCGGGGTCCACGGTGTTTTCTTGACATTCGGGCTCAATGAATGGAGCCACCGCTAGGTCCAACATGCTGTAGGTCTGAATGGCCATCGAGGAGGGGGGGCAACGCATCGCACCTTTCTGCAGGCCTTGTTCGTCCTGCCCGGGACAAGAGTGGCAACATTCTTCCAATTGTCGCGGTCGCCGTACCGGCTGACAGCAGCCTTGAGGAGACTATCTTCCTCGGGTGTCCATGGTTTTCCGACACCTCTCTCTGTCATGAGCAGTGGTCACCCACCCACGTCACCGGTCGTAAAGAGTCGTCTGCCGTGCCCGAGAGGCGAATCGAGTTCAGACAGTTTGGTCAGAGTCACTCGTTCATAGTCCCGCACTGGCAGCTGAAAGGGGAGGCGGCGGTTGCTTATGTAAGCTCCTCATTTGGACCTTCGTCTCGCTCTTGCCACCATGTCTCTCGTTGCTGGATATTCGTCTGATGAGGATAATGGCCCAGCTTCTCCCACAGCAGATGCTTTCGGCCTCTCTAGTCTGCCCGCGACGAAGAAGCCTCGCATCGAGGAGCCTTTGTCCAGCAAACCAATCGTAGACGCTGCCCCTCATGTCCTGGCGGAGGTGCGTACTCAGTGTCCCAAACGTAACGCACATATACTTAGTTATAATGCTCTAGGATCCTTTGCACCAAACGTCTTTGGTGCTACGACCAACGGATACACAAATGAATGTGAACATCAACTATGCGGACATGATATTGCCTCTGCAAGGGCCTGAGAACCCCTTCGGCGACCGCGGACGCTTCCTCAACCAAAATGCCCTCGCTGGGCATGTAGAAGAGCAGTCCATGACTGATCATGCCTTCCGCCAGCAACACCTAACACACACCATCCTTGGCTATTCCGCTAATCCTTCCGTCGACCCTAACGCGCCGGCCGTCCTTGGTTCAGTGGAAAAGGCCATGGCGAATGGCTTCCAGACAATTGGATCCATCAAGGCACCGATGGCCGCGAAGAAGGAGCTCAAGCGCAAGCGCATGCCTCAGGGCGACTTGGAGGTAGTTGATGGGAACGGCGCATACGAGGGTCCCTGGGCGCGCTGGGGCGGCGAGGAGCAGGACACGGCTATGCCGGAGGGAGTCGAGAACGCCGAGGAGGAGGAAGAGTCAGAGCCCGAGGAGGAGGTTCAGATCAAAAAGGCGAAGCCAAAGCGCGGTGCGCCAGGCCTCGAGTCGTCTGTGTTCCACGGGAAGTCGTTGGTCGACTACCAGGGCAGGACGTACATGTCGCCACCGGTGTCGGAGGCACCCCAACTTCAACACGAGCCCGGCTCGCAAGAATGTTTCATCCCGAAAACATGCATCCACACCTGGACTGGACACACGCAGGGCGTGTCTGTGCTCCGTCTGTTCCCCAACACCGGCCATTTGCTGCTCAGTGGGTCGATGGATACTAAGATCAAGGTATTTAGCATTTCATTTCTTCCATCTGCTTATCTTTGACGTGCTCGGTGCTTCAACAGTTGTGGGATGTCTACACGCACGGGAATTGTCTCCGGACATTCCACGGTCATATGAAGGCCGTCAAGGATGTGACCTTCTCCAATGATGGTCGAAGATTCCTGTCATGTGGGTATGACCGGCAGATCAAGCTGTGGGACACGGAAACTGGACAGTGTTTGAAAAGATTTAGTAACGGCAAGATCCCCTACGTCGTCCGCTTCCATCCGGATGAGGACAAGCAGCACATTTTCCTTGCTGGAATGTCGGACAAGAAGATCATCCAGGTACGCCGCCAAAGCTAAGACTCCTGCAGGCGAGTTCGTTACTGATTGTGCGCGCATAGTACGACATGAACTCGGGCGAGATTACTCAAGAATACGACCAACATCTGGGACCTGTGAACACAATCACCTTCGTTGATGAGAACCGTCGATTCGTTACGACTTCGGATGACAAGACCATACGTGCATGGGACTTTGACATCCCAGTCGTGATAAAGTACATTGCAGAACCATACATGCATTCAATGCCGGCCGTCACCCTGCATCCAAGCAGTGCGTAATTCAATTATTTCCTCTTTCCGCCATTTCCGCGGCTGACAGTTTCGTTTGCAGAGAAATACTTCGCCGCACAGTCTCTCGACAACCAGATTCTCGTGTACAGCACGGATAATTTCCGGCAAGCGCGTAACAAGCGATTTGCAGGACACTCGGTCGCAGGCTACGCCTGTCAGGTGGGCTTCTCACCTGATGGTAAGTGGATAAGCAGCGGCGATGGCGAGGGGAACATCGTGTTCTGGGAGTGGAAGACGGGCCGTATCAAGAGCCGTCTGCGTGCACACTCTAAGGTAGTCATCGCGCACGAATGGTTGCCGCATGAAACGGTACGTCCGTATCGTGCTCACGTGTCGAGCGGCGCTGACTTGATTTCCTTTTCCGCAGTCAAAAGTAGTGATGGGCTCCTGGGACGGTTTAATTAAGTTATGGGTGAGTGCGCAGTGTGGTGCGACCCTTATAGACGTTGCTGAAATTCGACGCAGGACTGACCCTGCTGTATGCTTGGACTGACACCGGTCATGACATCATCGAAGTGTTTGACCTGATCCCCTCATCGGCGTGAGGCAGTCGTAAATCGGGAATTAGAGACACTCTTCCCGATTTTTGTCCGTCTTTGGAAAGAGAGCATGTTGCACTCTCCGATTATCGGCCGTGCACTTGCTCTAATTTTGTCGTGCGAGTCTCCGGTTACTCTCGAAGCTTGAAGCTTTGAAGGTCCGAAACTCTCTGTGTTTTCGGAGCACACCCTCAACCTTATACTGCGCGAGTCGGAAGAAAGACAAAGACGCTGCCCAGTTCGGCACCCAAGCGCTGCATCGTGATCGCTGGGCAACCCGCAGCCCTATGCATGCCCAACACATGCCGGACCTTGCAGACATCTTTTGTCCCATCGGGCAAGATGCCCGCCGCTGTCAGCAAGCAGTGTCGACCGTCGGGAAGCGCGGATCGTGTTCGGCGCCAGGCGGCGAGGAAGGAATGGCCCCCCCCCCCCCGCCGACTGGGGCCCATGGTGATATCCAGTATTGTGGCATGGGGATATACCGCATTGCCTCAAAGCACGGCACAGTAAAGCTGGCTTTGCTATTGACCCTTCTGAGCCGTGTTGCTGACGGATATTGTAAGAACCAGCGTCTAGAAAATCTTCTCTGATGAAGTGGCCGCGGTCCATGATGCTGCCGATGAGCGCTGTGCGCTGTGCCCTGGGCGTAAGTGGCCTTATGGTACAGTGCCCGCATGGATCGTCCGACTCGTATTTGAATTTTCTCTCGTGTCCGTCTGCTTCTGATTGGTAGGGTTAGTTGGATGAGCCGTGGCCGATTACTCATAATACTTATAGGACATGCCCGGTTTCAGTAGGCGTCGTCCGCGGGGCGGTTGTCCTGGCGAACATGGAACGTGTTGCCCGGTGCAAAGGGCCGCTCCCTTACAGTAACGTGCAAAATGACGTGCAGAATGAAAAAGCGTTGTGAGTGCGTTGTGGTGCCGGTCTGCGATAGGAGGCCCCACCTGGCCAATGCTGGTCGACGATGCAGTGTTATGCCGATTGCGAAAATGAGCAGTCAGCTGCACGCTTATCGGACCGCGTTAACCCTAGTCGCTAGATAGAATCCAACTGTGTATATGTGCTTGTCTCGACGCCTCTGTGCCTGTGTCCATTGTCGCACTCATTGCTGCCTCAGTTCCGCTCCTTGGCCCTGTCACGCTCGATCCTTCTTCCTGCTCCCAGACCAACCAATCTTCCAGGAACAGCGGATGACAACCAGGAACAAGATTGCGCAGCGCCGTGCCTCGGACGGTGCTAATCTCAGCCCTACCTAATGGGGCACATTTCCGTCATGCCGCAGTGCTGCCGAGCTCAGATGGTCGAACTCCGACGTGTGCACCCACGCAGGACGGTGGAGCAATCAGGACAGATCGAAGAACGCCTGTCTCTGATTTTCGATCTCGGCTTTGGCATTGTCACGCGGCGGCATACTTAAGCCTACACGCCAGTTGCCTTCGTTCCCGCCCTTCTCTCCCTCCTCGTACCTGGTTAACTCTCCCTCCCCGTCTCGCTCCACACGCTCCCACCATCATCATGAAGCTTTCAGCGATTGCCCTCACTGCTGTTGCTCTCGCGTCCTTTGCGGCCGCCAGCCCCGTCCCCGCTGCGGACCCCGTGAGTCCCCGTTGATCCCTTCTTTCCTGAGGCCGAGTGCTTATATCTGGGTGACCATAGCTCCCGGATTTCGCTACTTCAGACTTCAAGCGTGGTGACAGCTCAGGATACAACAGCGCACCGTGGCGGAGGGAAGATGAGGAAGTGCGTCTGTGTTTACTTTTCGGCGACGCTCGTGAGACTAACTTGGGCATCAGATCTCCAGTGGCCTCTGGAAGCGGCTCTTCCAAAGGCGTTGATCAAGAATCTCTGTATGCTTGTGTCCATCGTGTTGCCTACTCCCAAGGCTGATTGATTCAACCCCAGACCTCTCCCGTTATCGTAATCCATTATTCGTATCCTGTTCTTTAGTCTGGTACTTGGTGTGAGATCGTAAGTCAGTCCTTCGTTCTCATGCGCAAATATCTCGGTACTGACAAAGACTTCGTACTCAGAGCTACCTTCTGGTCGTCGTAGTGTGGTAGTCTTTAACCGTGAAGGTTATCGAGTAAAATACGACGGTAGTCAGTCCCTGTTATGCCCACGCTCTTTGTTCGCTGTCTTTAGGTCTCTTCATTTGTTCGCACTGTATTCTACCATAAAAATGTTTGTGCACTGAGCCAGTCCTTACACGGGTATGACGAGTTGGTAACGTGAGGCCTGCTTGTTGGTCTGAGACCATGTCGCGGGCGAGATTTCGTCATCTTGCCTTCCCGTTCGTTGAGCTTCAAGCTTCAAAGCGTCTCGTTAGGCTCCCAGTTTGAGCTTCGAGTCTTGGCCCTCGGGTGCGATCAAGGTCGGCGAGCAGAGACGGCCCTGAGGCGTGTAAATCTTAACGGTTTCAGATCTTGCGCCGACGAGGGTGCAAGGCACACGTGCGTTTTCGGGCGTTGAATTTATTGTGTTTAGGGCAGGCTCTTTCGCGGGAAAGACGGTCGCGTGGACGTCTCGACACCATCCACCTCTTCCCCCGTACCCCCTTCCTCGTCGCCGACATGTCTCTGCTCGATGAGCCTGTTGCACAGGATGACCTTATGCGCGATAGATCCCGTGTATTTGAGGAGTTTCTCGACTCCGAGACCGATTTTTACAACTACAAGACTGATATTGGCAACATGCTCCGTCTCGACCAACACCGACTCGTCGTCAATATTGATGATCTGCGCGACTACAGACGCGATTTCGCTGATGGACTACTCAAGCAGCCCGTCGACTACCTGCCCGCTTTCGATGAGGCCCTGCTAAACGTCGTCCAGCGCGTGCATGACCGTGAAAAACACGATATTGAAAACAAGAGCTATCGCGTCGGCTTCAGTGGTTCATTCGGCGACCACCATGTCAGCCCCAGAACGCTTCGGGCCTCGCAGCTGGGCAAGATGATCTCGCTAGAGGGCATCGTCACTCGATGTTCGCTTGTGCGACCCAAGATGCTCAAGTCGGTGCACTACTGTCCAGAAACCCACCTCTTTCACGCGCGCGAATATCGTGACGCGACAACCTCTACCTCAAATCAACCACCTACATCCTCTGTCACTCCCCAAACGGACGACGAGGGACATCCTCTCGTGACAGAGTTCGGTTTCTGCGTTTTCCGCGACCACCAGCGCATCAGCATCCAGGAGATGCCTGAACGTGCCCCCGCCGGCCAGCTCCCGCGTAGCACAGACGTGATTATGGACGATGACCTCGTCGACAAGTGCAAGCCGGGTGACCGCATCCAACTGGTTGGCGTGTACCGCAGCGTCGGCGGTGGTTCGGGCGGCGCATTCAAGTGAGTGAAAAATTCCACATGTTTGGCCGCCGATCGTTTACGTCCGCGCACCTAGATCTCTCATCCTTGCCAATAACATCAACCTCCTATCCTCAAAGAGTGGCGGCGGTATTGCGCAGACGCCCCTCACGGACTCAGAAATCCGCACCATCAATCAGCTGGCGAAACGTTCAGACATATTCCACTTGCTATCCCAGTCCCTCGCACCTTCTGTCTATGGACACAAACAAATCAAGGAGGCAGTTGTGCTTCTGCTGCTTGGTGGAGCGGAGAAGAACCTACCTAACGGCACTCACATCCGAGGGGACATCAACATGCTCATGGTCGGGGACCCGTCAACAGCCAAATCTCAGATCCTCCGCTTCGTGCTCAACACGGCTCCCCTCGCAATTGCCACGACCGGTCGGGGCAGCTCGGGTGTCGGTCTTACAGCCGCTGTCACGACTGACAAGGAGACTGGTGAACGAAGGCTCGAGGCAGGTGCCATGGTCCTTGCCGATCGCGGCATCGTTTGCATCGACGAGTTTGACAAAATGTCGGACATCGACCGAGTAGCCATACACGAAGTCATGGAGCAACAGACGGTGACCATTGCCAAAGCCGGTATCCACACCACGTTGAATGCGCGCTGCAGTGTTGTGGCGGCGGCGAACCCAATTTACGGCCAGGTGCGCAGGAAACTTTAAAATCTCCGGCGCCGTTACTCACAGCTTCATGAATAGTATGACGTGCACAAGGACCCGCACAAGAACATCGCTTTGCCGGACTCCCTCTTATCTCGTTTCGATCTGCTGTTTGTGGTTACAGACGACGTTGATGAGACGCGCGACCGTCAAATCGCCGACCATGTCCTTCGCATGCACCGGTACCTCCCCCCTGGTGTCGAGGAAGGCACCCCTATCGCAGACAGTCTCACTCAACAACTCTCTGTCGAAAATAGTGCGGCGCAGACTCAAGGTCAGACTGAAGAGACGGACGCATCGCCGTTTGAAAAATACGATCCCCTTCTCCATTTTGGCTTCACAGCGGAGGCACAGCGGGTTCAGCAGGATGCTATCGCGGGACGCACGAGGCGGAAGAAGAAGAGCGACAAGGTGGAGATCCTCAGCATTTCATTCGTTAAGAAGTATTTGCAGTACGCGAAGAGCAAGCCTGCTCCGGTCCTGACGAAGGGTGCGGCCGACCATATCGTCAATGTATATGCGACATTGCGCAATGAGCAAGCCGAGGGCAACCAGAAGCGGGTAGGTTTCCTCAAAGCGGACTGATCGGCTGTTCCTGACTAAATCCATTTGCCAGACATCGCCGCTCACAGCACGTACGCTCGAGACCCTCATTCGTCTTGCCACTGCCCACGCCAAGGCGCGCTTGTCTCCCAATGTTTCCGAGCGCGACGCCATGGTTGCCGAGGACATCCTCCGCTTCGCGTTGTACAAGGAGGTGCTGAAGCGCGACCGCACCACGAAGAAGAAGCGACGCCTCAATGACGGCGGTGCGCACCGGCGGGGCAGTGACGACTCGGGCGAGGAGACGTCCGACGAGGATGAGGATGAGGATGTACCTCTGCGCGTAGAACAGCAGGCAAAGGCAAAGGCGGCGACTCCTCAGCCTGCCAAGGCCGCTGGCTGGGGCGACGGTCGGGACGTCGATATGGACGGAGCAACTCAGGTACAGGAACCGGAGGTTACGGTGCCTGCAGGGCCTACCGACATCCGCCCCGAAAGGTGCGTTCTCGTCTCGATCATCCGTGCGTTGTTCCCCCCGTTTCCGCTGCCTCGATTACAATCGCGGTTATCGGGCCTGGTGCACCCTGTGCATCCGTCTTACTATCCCCCTATTACCAATGAGGCAGTGCCGATACTGACATCGATCCCACCCGCAGGTACGAGCTTTTCCGAAGCCGCCTCGCGAAGCTCTTCGCAAGCACGCTACAGGACGACGAGCACATTGCGTTCGCGGAGCTCGTTACAGCCGTCAATGAGGGCCTCACCAACGACACGCTCTTTGGCTCCACCGAGGCGAGCGTTGCTCTCCGCCACATGGAAGACGCAAACGAGATCATGGTCAGCGACGGCGTTGTCTATAAGATCTAGTGCCCCGCGGCTGGGCGTTCCTTCTTTTTCTACTCTCGTGCTTTCGGCTGTCGGGTTCTTGCTGTTATCTTCTCGCTGTGTACTGCTCGCTCCATACTGTACTCTTTTCTCCACCCGTGTATTTTGCATAGATCAACAGAATGACAATACCCAAGTAGGCTATTGGGGAAAAATACGCCTGCTACTGCTACTGCTCACAGTCGGACCTCGTCCTGACGACCTGTCCGACCTCTTCCCTCGTAAGCTCCGCAAAGCCGACAAGCTCCGCCATGGCCGCCTCCCATTCCTGGTCTGGCGCCGTTCCAAACGTTGCATCCACGATCTTCCACCACGTCTCGCCCTGCGCACCGACGACGCGTGCTGCCTGGAGGAGCGAACGCCACGGCGCTTCTGTGCGCGCAGGGGCGCGGGCGAGCGCGTGCCGGCACGTCTCTACCCAGAGCTCGCATTCGGTGAGGATGATCATACCCTCGGCGGGCGTGACGCGTGCGCGCCCGCGGTACATGATCGCCCGTTGGAGGATGTGCGTCGCGAGGTGCGAGGCGATGCGGCGGTACAGCGCGGTAACGGTCGTCTGTGGCAGTGCGCCCTGAAGGAACGTGAGCTGTGAGGAGAGGAGCGCGATTGGCGCGAGCAGCGTCGCGGGGAGAGAGATATCGTCTGCAGTCTCTGTGGACGACACAGGTGTGTTTTGCCTGTGACGGAGTCAGCGACGAACGAGGGTAGTGGGTGGTGCTGGACACAAACGTTGATCCTCCGCTCTGGAAGTGTTGCCTCAAACCAGCCTCCACTTCATTGCAGATGGTGTGAACGATCATGTCCTCCGCACGGCCAACTAGCTTGCCGTACTGCGTGACAAGCTCCTCGAATATTGTGCCTTCAGGTGCTTCCTCCTCAGCAGCGGCCTTCGGGTCAGGCAGGGAAGCGGTAGCCTCTGCTCGCGCGCGAAGTGCAGCTTTGTGGTTGATCTCTGTCCAGAGTTCTAGGAAGAACTGTATTTTGCTCAGCGGACGCGCGAGGATGAAAATAGCTGACCACGCACCAAGTCCTCACCCCAGGCCTCCATAGCCGCCGCAATGTACTTTGAGCTCACCAAGGCCTTGCATAAGCGTTGCACTCCTTCAACGCCGCCGGTCAGTCGCCGCGAGTCACCGAGCCTACCGGCGTCGCTGCCCAGTGCGCCCGGGACAGCGCGAATAAGGGTTGAAGATAGTGTTTCGAACGCATCAAGTGACGATGATATACGAGCGTGGTACGACTCAAGTAATGGAAGCTGAACCGTGATGAGGAAGCGCGTGCGATGGATGAATTGAGGGAGAGGGGAGTAGCGGTCTGCGCGGCAGTCAAATCAAAGTACCGAGACGTGCCATGAAACCCACCAGTGACTTGCTCAACCAAAGCCTTGACTCTGCGGGCAGAGTTAGTGGGCTTCAATTCGCGGTCAACTGTCGGCTCCTCCTCTGCTTCCATCGAATCGTCTGCGATAAGCCAAGCATCCTGAGAGCTGATGATCTCCATATATTGATCCATCGCGACTGTCAACCAACGCATTCAGTGGACAAGCATCCAAGGTGGCCAAAGAACACCCACATGCACGCTCGCCCTCCATCCAGGCTTCAAACCACTCCTTTCGACCGAGAATAACCTCGCTTGTACCCTGCCATTTGGCAGTTTCGCCCTTCTCTGTGCCCACCGCAGCGCTCGTCCCGCTCAGCTCGAAGCCCTCGTCCCTCAAGCTGCTGTCAAATGCCAAGGCCTGGTAGATCGTATGCGCCAAAATTGGCGGGTGAGAGATGAGGGCAGGCACCGTCTTACGCAGCTTGCGAGAGAGTAGCGGAAGAAGCAGCAGGGTGAATTCACGCCAGGCATTGATATTGCGGTATTCGGTGCGGGCGAGCAGAGATTGTATAACAGACTCCATGAAGGGACGTTGTTCGTGTGAGACGTTGAGAACGTGTGTGAAGTACCATTCGGGCTGCGGGTGGTAAGGATAGGTCATAGGTCAGAAGGAACAGCGGGTGGCATGTGGTCCTTACCTTGTCCAGTCGGTTAGTTTGACGCGTACCTTCAAAGTGGTACTTGAATCTGAGCGATACGGGACGGACGAGGGCTTGTATAGGATAAAGGCCATCCTTATCCGTACGCTCGCGGGATATTGAAGCATGTAACTTGTCCCCACTACGCACACGATCAATACAACACACGGCTCGGAACAAAGGTACTTGCATGCTCTGCAACTTGAGGAGGTCGTGGAAAGCACTTTCGAAAGTCTTCCTATCTTCTTGGCTTGCGACGGCATAATTCACGGGGAGCGGCCACTGTAACTTCTCCGCAATAGCTTGCAGCGCCCTATCCGTAGAAATGAGTGGTGTTGATGCACATATCTGTGTATATGCTCACGAAGCAAATCTGCTCTTGATGTCGTTCCATGTACGGTCTTGTATGCCCTCCAAGAAGGTAATGAGATGAAGCTTCTGCTGTCCAGCCGCGTCTTCAACTTGCTTTACAGCTTCTGATACCTTTACGACGAAGGCCTGCAGCTGCTCATATTGGGATATGCAGTCGAACGACGAGGTCGATTGTGCCTTCGAGACAGCAGTCTCACTAGTCAGAGTTAGAGTGGCAGAGTTGCAATACATGGTTCAGGCACGTACCTGATCTTTAGGGCATGCTCCACCACTTGAATGTAGCTCTTAACACTCTGCAACTCCTTCAGATTCCGGTGTAGCGTCTCGATATCTTCCAGTAGCGTCGGTTCTCCCTCTGGACCGCTTAGCGAGGATACAAGCTCCTGGGATAGAAACGACAGCTCGTCCACTAGCGAATGCCGCAGCAATGACAGCTCTTGTGCGGTGTGCAGGTGCTCCTGCGCGGCCGATCGTGTGTTCGTTGTGAGCAGATCGACTTCTGCTTGTGACTGCGCGAGCTGAGCTACGACAGTTGTGTCAGCTAATGACCTCCGAGTAACTTCTCTTGGACGAACCTTGCTTTTCAGCTCATTGTTTCGCGCAACCGCACCAGAGACGAGCTCATCAAATTCGTGCGAGTCCTGCACGTCCTGGAATGTCGTAAAGCGTGTATTGAGGTAATCCCTTGTCCGCTGATGCGCGTCTGTCGACCTCGGGGGTGCGAGCAAAGTTTGTATCTGAGCGGAGGCCATGCGGACAGCTGGTGTGGTTGGAAGCGTGGTGGCGGGAAAGCGTCGGGCGGCGGGATATGGCGACACGCCGCACATGACGTACACGTCGCGCGCCTAGCCTCAATAAACGCGTGAATAAAAGATGATCGGTGTCAGGTTACCGCTTTACGTTGACTTCGCTCGACATCTGCTAGCCAGGGTCCGAGCCTACGTTTCATAGTTCTCGACTGACCAGTATCTGTGCTCACTGCTCTATGCAAGAGACATGGACATTCTTGCTCGGCGACTCTACAATGGTGGCTTCGACCATCTCAAACGTAGAACAGGATCCCTGCTCGTTCGCATCCCCCGCTCAATCACTCAGCCTCCGCTCGTCAGGCAAATGTCGACGCCGTATAACGTACCCCTCGTGAATCCCGATGTTCGTTCTTTATTCTTTCGTGCTGCCCCGGGCATATGGCGAGTCACGCTAGAAGTAGCAGCTTGACTTGCGTGTGAGATTAATATTTATGCTTTGCTCCATTTATGCCACGCCTCGCTGTCCACATGAACAGCTATTATGCCACACGCTGTGAGCATATCCACTTCCCACGCTTTTCTTTCCGTCTCCGTGCCCTTCGTACTTATCACGCCATCCATCGCCATCTCCTTATACCGTTCTGTTTCAGCTGACGTACTGCTAATACGAAACACTAGAAAACCCCAGAGGACGGCCATGCGTGCAAAAGTATTCACGCCTATCTCAACTCCAGCAGACGCGAGAGCAGCACGTTGAGCTCTGCACCTGCAACCACAGTCATGGTCGTACACGCCGACTTCGTGAAGAACAACGAGGAGTATGCCGCTACGTTCGGCGAGAAGAGCTCTCTGCCACTGGCGCCTGCGAAGAAGCTAGCCATCGGTGAGTCTCGATTCATTCCAGACTCCCGTGCGGTTCTGACAATTTAGTAAATAGTTACGTGCATGGACGCACGCATCAAGTAAGTGAATACATAAAAGCATAGAATGCTTACTGATCTCATGTCTGTAGTGTTTACGCCGAGCTTGGCATCCACGAGGGAGATGCTCACATTATCCGCAATGCCGGAGGCAGCGCGTATGTTCACCATTCTTGCAGGATACGCTCCATGCTAACCATGATCTCAGTAAGGACGCACTGCGTTCTATCATCATCTCCCAGCGTCTTCTAGGCACTCGCGAGATCGCCGTCTTCCATCATACGGGCTGTGGCATGCTCACCTTCAACACGCAACAACTACGCAAGCTCGTGAAAGACTCCGATCCGAACAACGAAGCGCTCAAGGCTGTTGACCAGATTGATTTTCTGGAGTTCCCTGAAATTGAACAAAGCGTGAGGAGCGATGTCCAGTATCTCAGGGAGAATCCGCTGGTTCTCCCGGAGTCAATAATTACCGGATGGGTCTTCGAGGTTGAAACAGGAAAAGTGGGTTCCAAGCTATTAAAAGCGCTACCTTTGGGCACGCAGCTCATGATATCTCTCAGGTCCGCCAAATTGTTTGACACGGAGTACACTCACATGCACACGGTCCCAGCATGTCCGAAGTATGTTCCCCAGTGCCCTCTTCACGCAGTTCGCGAACTGATTTAATACTTTTTGCAAGTCACTGTGAGCCATGAACATGAGTGCACATATCTACATAATCCATTTACCCTTGTATCTGCATATTTACGAATATATGCTCGCAGTTATGCAGCACATTTGAGTAAAACGAGAGCGAGGTCAACAATGCCATGCTGTGATTGGCTAGCGCTGGACGCCTGCTTCCGTCATCGCGATCACTTTGGTTGTATTCACATGCTTCGACAGTCCGTGAGTCCCGATGGGCGGGACTCTACACGTTACTGCAAACAGCTCTACTTACCTCCTGCCTCCGTGCAGCGTCTGTCCATGCCCTACTACCGCCCATAACTTTCCTGAGGGGACTTATCTCGTCGGGACGCAATACAGCAGGAAACATGCCGCTGTCCCTGCCAGCAAACTTGCGTCCCAGCCAGCAGCAGATAGCCAAGGCTGCTGCAGCGTACGGCAGGCATCGCCCGCTTGTACAGAAGGCCCTCACCGCAGGGTTTGTCGTCTACGTCCTCTCTGCGACGCACCACTCCCTGTTCTCACGTGCGGGGCCGCCGCAGCCGCGCGGCAAGGGTAAAGGCAAGGCAAGAGCGGAGGAGGACGGCAAGAAGCCGCCGAGAGTCGCTGTGCGTATGCCCTATCGTCCAGCGTAAGACCCCTGGCGACGATAATTAATCTGCCCAAATTGTTAGGTAGATGCCATCTTCTACCAACGTCTGTCAATGATCCTTCGTATCGTAATCCCGAGTATACGATCCAAAGAGGCGCTGCTGCTGTTCATGCACTCGAGTCTGCTCATATTCCGGACGATCATCTCGCTGTATGTTGCAGCCCTAGATGGCAGGTGCGTACCCCTTCTTCTTGGCATGCAGTATCTTTTTGTGACCGCGAGATAGGATTGTGGCATCTCTCGTCCGTGCACAGCCTGTGCCGTTCCTGCTCAACATCCTGAAATGGCTCCTGGTCGCGATCCCCGCGACGTGGACGAACAGTTGGCTGAGTTTTGTGCAAAGCAAGCTCGCGTTGGCGTACAGGACACGCTTAACGAATGAGATTATGACCAAGTACCTCGGGAGTGACGCGGAGACCAACGATAAGATCTTCTACAAACTAGGTGCGTAGACAGTGGTGCTGTACAATCCTTTGTTATATTTACCATAAAGTTTCCTAGCGAACCTCGACGATCGCATTAAGAACCCCGATCAGTACGTCTCCCAGATATTTACGGCCAATGCATCACTAAGGCGACACCAGAATGATCACTCATGACATTCAACGCTTCTCAAATCACCTAGCTGCAATATACTCCAACCTGGCGAAGCCAATATTAGACGTCATATTGTATAATTACCAGCTTTCTCGCAACGTGGGAGCGGAAGGCCTTGTCGTCCTGACCATCCTCGTCCAGTCGTCCGCCGCCTTGCGTACGTGTTTAGGCTGTTCATCTTCGCCTTTCTATTCATGCACTCTGCGCAGTGAAGGTATTAACACCCTCCTTTGGTGCGTACGCCGCACAGTCTGCACAGTTGGCCGGCTCCTTGCGCCACACGCACTCCCGGCTCGCCGAGTTCTCAGAAGAGATTGCCTTCTTCGGCGGCGAGGAGACGGAGAAGATGCTCATCGAGCGCGAGAATGCGGGGCTCATGAAGCACGAGAACATGGTTCTTAACAAGAGATGGTGGCATGGTTGCGTCGAGGAGGGCATCGTGAAGTGGTTATGGGGCAGTTTCGGGGTGGGTACTCAGATTCTTGGCTGCGAAGACATGCTAGAGATTGACGCTTTGACACAGCTGTGCATCTGTGCGATCCCCGCATTCTTCAAGCTCCCAGGAGTCCATGCTTTCGACTTGGGGAGTCGAACTGAAGGTTAACAGTGGCTTTCTTGGCTCGTAACAACTTATTACTGAGCCATTCACAGGCTTCGTCACGAATAGACGTCTCCTTCTATCGTCGTCTGACGCATTCGGACGGGTGATGTACTCGTACAAAGACCTCTCAGAGCTCGCTGGATACACTGCACGCGTGTCACTACTTATGGAGACTATGTCCGACGTCGAGAAGGGCAAATTCGAGAAAGCGCTCGTTAGCAGCGCGGACACGGAAGAGAATGCTAAGAGTGCGTAAAGCAGAACTCTCTGCAACAGTGAAGGTATCTCTAACGGGTGGTTCTGCGAGTAGTCTTGAAGGGCCGCGGTCAAGTCATTGAGTCGGACGAGATCGAGTTCCAGAATGTGCCTATTGTCACTCCCAACGGCGACGTACTTGTCAAGGCTTTGAGCTTCTATGTGAAGCCTGGAGTAAGTATAATAAATTCGGCCCTGTGTAGAGCGACAACTGACTGTTTGTAGCAACACTTGCTCATCGTCGGTCCCAACGGCTGCGGCAAGTCCTCACTCTTCCGTATATTGGGAGGTCTTTGGCCAGTATACGGTAAGCCGCTTGGACTGAGTCCAGGAACTGTTCTGACCACACCATCGATAGGCGGCGTTGTCAGAAAGCCTCCAGCTTCTGATTTTATTCTCATCCCTCAGCGGCCATACTTATGTCTGGGTACACTGCGAGATCAGCTTATCTACCCCCACAATAAAGTAGATATGGAAGCCCGTGAGTCTCCTGCGTTGTTCATCTGGTCTGCGACACCTGATAAGCATTTTGGCAGGCGGTGTCACAGACGGCGACTTGTTCGCAATCCTCGCCCGTGTTCACATGGAACACATCGTCGAGCGCGAGGGCGGCTGGGATGCAGCTCGAGAATGGCGCGAGACACTCAGCGGCGGCGACCAGCAAAAGATTGCATGGGCCAGGTTGTTCTACCACCAGCCCAAGGTAGGCAAAACGAAGCTATCTATCCGGATGGTCCGCTGATATGCAAGCGTAGTACGCAGTGTTGGACGAAGCGACATCTCTCGTGCCTGTGGAGATGGAAGCGTTGATGATGCAACACGCCAGTGAGCTCAAGATCACACTGCTCACTGTGTCGCACCGCCCGTCGTTGTGGAAATATCATTCGATGATATTGCAGTACGATGGGCAGGGCGGATATGTGTTGTGCGTTTTATCATTCGGCCGATGTCAAGGGGCTGTACTGACGCGACGCTTAGCACGAGGCTTGACGCGGAAAAACGGCTCGCGCTTCAGCAAGAGAAGGAAGCGCTCGAGGCAAAGCTTTTGGAAGTGTAAGTCCCTATACGCCATGGATGTTCACAGCCCGGAACGCTAACTACCGCCCATAGACCGAAGATGAGGGCCAGACTGCAGGAGCTCAGGGCGGCAGCAGAGGCAGAGATGCGGTCATAGTGTAGATTCGGACGTAATACGCGGGGTACTGAATGGATTGGATGTGCGATTTGCGTTCATGTCTGGGCGTCGACTCTTTTGGAGCGTGAAAGCCCGCTGACGTGCTTGTCCTTAGAAAATATGTCGCAAATGTTTTCCCAAAATCATGATGCATCAATAGCGATCTTTTCTCTCACAAGCCTCGTTAGGGCATCGTGATGTGCATCACGACACGAAATTTGCCTCGTGAGGCGGTTTTGACACGATTTTGATGCAATCTTGGGGCGTCTCCCTCATGAGGGTAAACGGAAATTTGCGACATTTTAGCTCTGCGCAGCGGCTTTACTCAGGACTAACTATGTAATGCTCTCTACGAGGGCAAGTGCGGGTCCTGGGACTTGAGCCCACTGGCTGATTACTGAGTGTTGTCGCGTCTTTGCGCATGCGTGTGGCCCAGGGACCGGGGCATGGTGTTACGCCCCGTAGGATGCCGACACGGCGGTGCAAGCAACGGAGCTGTGGTGTTTGTGGCGTGCGGGGTAAGCCGGAATCGCACCTGGCGGCAAATCTGTGATCCAAAGCCCCAGTGGCGATTGGCTATCCGTTTTATAGACGCCCGTTGCCGGGGACCAGTCGTGTGCGTTCGCCGACGAGCCTTCTCTCTTTTCTCCAAACCCTCACGTCCACATATATCCTTTGTACACTACTGGCCATCCTTTCCTCTCTCAAAAGCTAATACATCATGCACTATTTCTCTCAGAACTTCAGCTACGAGTGAGTATAGCCGTTGCTGGGAGTGCAGATAGGTGCTCACACGAACATTTTTTGGCACTTCACAGGCACCCATGGTCGCATGTTGTGATTGGGATGTGGCACAAGTACCCCAACCAACACTGCAGTCACGTCCTCTCCGTCGACGTCGTCGACCGCTCAGTCGACCCAAACACCGGGATCATCAGGACGGAGCGGATATTGGGCTGTAAGCAGAAGGCGCCGATATGGATTGTCAAGGTGTGTATCCGGTCTCGTCTCCGCATATCTCAGCCATTCCTGACCTGCGTCCGCGCCCTGCAAGCTATTTGGCGGCTCAGAAGATGCCTTCGTGCGCGAGATCTCGTTCGTTGACCCCACAACGCAGACGGCGACGATCACGTCCGTGAACCTCTCGCTCTCGCAGTTTGCGACCTGTAACGAAAACATCCGCTATTCGCCGGCACCCAACGGGCGCACCGCCTTCCAGCAGACGGCCGAGATCCAGGCCCGCGTTGGGCTTTGGCGCAGCGCCGCCGACAAGCTCGAGAACTGGCTCGTGCAGCGCTTCGAGCAGAACGCACAGCTCGGCAAGCTGGGCTTCTCGGACGTGCTGAGGAATATGTGGGAAAACAAGCAGCAACAGCTGCAAGCATAACGTCTGGAGATGGGCGATACACACACACCCTCCTTGTCGACCACCACCCCCTTTGGTCGAGTCGCCCCCTTCTCCGTTCACGACAGGCTCATTCTTTGGTGACGCTTCATAGAGACTATCATTATCACTTAGAACCCAAAAGCGTCATCTGTCGACGTAACTTCGAGTCTGGATCTATCACTGTACTACCCACATATTCTGGCAATACGACCCCGCGCGTCGATATGTCGATTCTTATAATGCTATCTTCTGTACATGGCTAGGGTTCTCATTCGGGTCTTTCTACTTCTCCCTACTTAGTACAGCTTTCACAGAATCGACATTGTAGATCGTCGTACTACCCCTGCATTACGTTTCGTGAGATGCCCTCTCAGGCCTATAGCCGGCTGGTAGAAGGTTGGTTATAATCATGACGCTACACAGCTGGAATCACACGCCATCGTACAATGTTCCTAGCATAGCGTACAACAAATCCAGGAACCAGACTGTACATTGTAAGAGACGTCTTACGAGCTCACCTCTCCCTGCTCGTCCTCAAGCTCCAAAATGCCTGCTTCACCGACCGCAACACGCAGCGCAGCGCCAGAGTCGTCGATCGACCGCAAGAAGCGCAAGATGTCGCGACACAGCTGCCACTCCTTCGCAGCCATCGCTGCGCGGAGGAGGCGCACCGCATCGCCTTGGCTGCCGTCAAGCTGCTCGAGCGTGTGGAGGACGAGGAGGTACGACGCCGCGGTCGCGAGGCGGCCCGTGGCGAGGCACGCCTCGAAGAGGCTCTTCGGGCTCCCGACGACGTCGAAGAGCCGCGGCCAGCGCGTGACCTCTATCTTGCGCGCGCAGCCGACGACGACGTCGAGCGCGACGTCAAAGTGGTCGAGGAACTCGATCGTGTGCGCCAGCACGCTCTCGTCACCCTCGTCACACCCGCGTGCGTCCTCGTCCGCCGGCTCCGCGCCGTGCTCGGCGCGGTCCTCCTCCACGATGGCGTGCAGGAGCATCTCTAGCGCATGCGCGAAGAAGACAAGGTGCTGGTAGTGCAGCGCGAAAGCGACGGCTTCCCGCAGCTGGCCGCTCTCCAGGTGGTGGCGCAGGATGTGCTGGAGGAACAGATGGGTCTGTAGCGACTTGTGAGCAAGCTGCTTGAGCCGAGGGTAGCCGGTGACTTACGCTGGTGACATGACGGAATATCACGAATGGCAGATTCAGCCTCGTAGCAGCTTCGTGCTCAACACCAATGACAATTCCCTTGTCCATCAGCACCGCTACGGCACTCATCAGTGACTCACCCCACCACCAAGTAACAACACACTCACATAACGGATAAAAATCCAGCGGCATGTTCACACTCTCCTTCACGCTTTGCGGCCGGCCCTGCTCATCCGTCGCAGGTGCAGATTCGATGGCAAGCGCGTTGAGCCAGACGCGGATCGCTTTGCCGTCGTAGCCCCATAGGGAGTTCTCGAGCGACCCGATGCCTTGCAGGTGGATCCAGCAGAACTCGATGCGGTCCGCGAGGATCTGCATGTCGTAGGTGACCTCCTGGTTCGCAGCCTTGCGCGGACGCAGCAGGACGAGCCGGCCGCCGACAATCATAAGAACAGTCGCGACGGAGAGATCGTCCATCGGATCACCCAGCTCTGTGATGCGGGGTCAATGAGTGATACATGTAAATGGGTTGTTAGACTCGCGTTTTTGAGCACTTGGAATCATCCAACTCAATACTCGAACGGCACTTGGCGCAGCGATGACACCTTCGAAGCTAATGCTCCCACAAAGCTGGAGCTTGATGGTGTCCTGGGTCGGTACGATCAGGTAATGGTGTAGCGTGTTGTCCGCTGTGTACACAAGCAAGGAATTGTCCACAAGGGACATGATGACCACTGGCGAAGAGAGCACTTCGCGAAACAGAACATTCTGATTGCTTAGCTCAAGGTCCCGCGAATATAGTCGGATCTATTCGCACACTGTCAACAGACCCATCTACGATCTGCCTCCCAGACGTACCTGGTAATTCTTCATCAACTCCACCGCCGCGATGAGCACGTGATGGAACCACAGCAAGCCTCCTCTAACCGCAAACGCCTGCTCTTGGATCTCGTCTGCAAACATTTTCCAGCGGCCAGAATTGGAGCTGTAGTGAGCAAGCCCGCGTCGGCCAGCGATGGCGATCAATCTACCGTCAGAGCTAATGGCCGAATATCGGATGGGCCAGTTCGTCGAGAGGTAGTCTTGTGGGACCTTGATCCGCTGCCAGACGTCAGACTCGGGGTTAATGACACTCATGTCAGGCTGGTCTGCACCACGGTATACAAGCACCCGGTCGTCCATCTGAAGGAAGGCATACTGGGTGTTATCCTACTACATGTCAGTCAACAGCGTAGCGAAAGGTGCGCTCAACCGACCGGTGAATGTTGAGCTGTAATTGCACTCTTGGCGAACGGAAGAACGAAGAGCTCTCCGTCTGGTGCTATAAAGCTCCTTCAGCGTCGGCAAAAGAACATAAGACGTCATAAGCTCACAGTTCGGGGCCGACTGGGCTAACATGACTAGTTCAAAGTTTCCTGGTCCCCAGAACTAAACGTAGATTGTCAGATACTATCAAGAATGGCCTTCAAGGGTAGACTCACAAAGCCTCGGACACCATACATGAAAGCGTCCAAGAATCTGCGTGCTGTTCAACATCATCCAGCCGCATATGTGCGCTATAATCATTTACCGTTCTTCATCCACTTCATACTCAACACCAAACGCCCATGCAAGACACCTTCCACCGACACTCCAGATCGCCCAGCCGCCTTCCCAGCCGACAGCTAGAACGTATCCATCCGAGCTCCACTCCATGGAGGTGACGGCGCCGGGCTTCTTGTTATACAGATTAGGTATTTGCAGGATCTGGGCTGGAGGGGGTACGCCTTCGTATGAGGGCAGGTTCACAAGCTCTACTGCCCCTCTGCGGAACAATCAGCCCCATGGGTGCGAATTGCGCGCGCATGTGTCTTACCCATGCATGCCAACCGCGACGACGGAGAACTTGGCGTTGATAGCGACAGCGACGGCCCGCCGGGGGTCTTCCCAGTGATACTTGTCGCCGTCTGGGCCGTCTGGATGGATCATCTTGCGCTTCTGAACCCACTTTGGCGGCTCGACATCGTGTATGCATGTGCCCTGCCATACAGGCCCCGAATGTGAATGGTTGCTCTCGATCGAGTTCCGAGGTCTGTCTGGTGGGCTCGAGTCCTATACACAGATTTCAGGAGAGACGCGCGAGCACTGCAACAACATCGTACCTTATGTGTGCCCTTTGTATCGTCCGCGGATTCAGACGTCCGCTCGGAGCCCTCGTACAGCTGGACAAGATATGCCCGGCCGTCCGACGTGATCCACGTCTCAACCCCACTTTGGCGTGGATGCAAGATCTTGGTCACAGTCACTGGAAAAGTCCATAAGCCGTGCAGAAGTTATTACTCTAGCTTCAGCGCGGCTTACCGTTTCCGTCCTTGAGCCACGGCAGGTTGTACTCGTTCAGGACCCAGGTGTCATAGAAGGGCTGGTTGGAGTGCTCGGTGTCGCTGCCGGCACCGTCCTCCGAATGCACGGTCGGCCACGGGATGCGCTGTACTGAGGGCGGGCTCTTCGTTGAGAACAAGATATAGTCTTTACGTGGCGACATGCTGCCGGAGGAGTTATATCACACGTGGTACCGAGAAGATGACACAATGCGTACCCTAAGAGATGTCCATCGATACATATGACACCTTCAAACTGCAGTGAGATGGCGGGTATAGGGGGCGCCTCCCCTGGTCCGGACAGGAAGTTGCGGCGCAGGCCTTGTGCCAACGTCGGCGGAGCATACACCTCTTCCTTCGCAATCGCTTCCACGGTCACCAGCACGAGAAACGACTGGGTTGTCTGCAATAGCCAATGCTCAGCGCCGGACTCAGGTGAACGTCCGCGAAGCACACACGCACCTGGACCACGATCTTACTGCCGTTCGGGGCCCACTCCGCTGACGTGTTCTCGCCGTGCTCTTCGATAGACGTGAGAGTGCGCGCGAGGTGCGCGAGAACGGCCGACGGCTGGGCAGTGCGGGCATTAGCGCAACAACACCCTCGGAAGTGAAAGCGCAAAACGCGCGCGTGGCGGGACGTGTCAACGCACTCGGAGTCTCCAAACAGACAGGCTGTTCCTTGTCAGGGCACAGAATAACGTCTTGCGCGGGCTCGGGGCCAGTGCGATGACCTCTTCGTGCGGCACCGGCAGCGGCGGTGCTGAGGAGAGCTGTCTAGCAGCGGACGTAGGGAAGTACATAGCGGTCGTCCAAGCTGAGACTTTATATTCGTGCCGAGTCAGAGGGTGCACATGTAGGATAAAAAGCGAGGAGTTCAGAGCATAGGCATGAAGGCGGGGATGGAGGTATAAGAACAATGTCATTGGTCTACCACGGCACGCGAAAGGTGGAATCACACGCAAGCACACGCGTCAATCTCAATTAGTGGTGAGCGAGCAGAATTCGACGTTTGCGACTAAAAGTACACGAGTTATGCGGAATGCGACTGTGACAACAATAGCACTAGTTACTTAAAAAGAACCCATGCGACAACCACGAAGAAAGAATACACGTACACTAAATGATGGTGTCTGCGTACCAACTAACTGTACTTGGCGCAGGACACGGATTACGACCTTTGTGCTGTTCCGATGATATAACTTAGTCCGAGCCCTTGCTACTAGAATTTTCTGTGTACACTCCTGTTGTTGGCGCTGTCGTCCAGTCGGAAGAGTGCCGGTGCAAGTCAAGGAACGACGAGCTGGAACGGCCGAACGTCATTGGCTGCATACGTGCTTGACGAATGAGGCCTAAGATGAGAGATACTCCCTCACGCGACTACGAAACGATGTTAGCTCCGTCAACATGGTCGATGACAACTAGAGTATGACGCACCCGTTGAATGTTCGCTTTGAAGCGAGCCAAACTATGGTTTTCGAGTTGTTTCGTTAGGCCCCAGCCGAAGTTCGAAATGAACCGGGCTTCAGTCTTCTGGACGGTTTTGCTACAGTGGGAAGTTGAGTACAAGTGCAAGAGAACCAGATGGGATTATGCTTACTTGTCGTCCGTGCGCTTCAGCGTAACGTGCTCCTCCACGCGCATGACCTTGACATGGTCGAGGTTCTTCGTAGTACAGCGTACAACTCCGTTCACAGGGTCCACTTCACTTTCCTCGATGATCCAACTCTCCGCTTTGGACATGATTCCGCGCGGAGCCCATTTGGGTAACGAGCCACGTTTGAGGATGAGCCGGGTGGTGACTAAGGTCCCTGAGGGGGTGACGGTGCGGGAAATAACATCGCAGGAGGCGACATGCGATGCGTAGGGATTTGGGTAGCGGAGGAAATACGCAAGAGACACGATGGACCAGGGATCGCTGCAAGGCGGTCTCAGGATGGGAGTCGTGGGTAGTAGTGTGACCTTGGTTTACTCACTCATACAAGAAGGACTGGGAGAAGAACTTCATTGCAGGCGATCCCGAATGAATGAGCTCTGCAAGTGAGGCAGGATGATTAAAGCGTCGTTGACGAGCACAGTATGAGGAGATGGTGGAAGGGGCGGAGTACTGAGGAGGAGAGGGAGCTGGTGGCTCTCGGACTCTAAGTAAACGATCTAGGGCGTGCGACTGGCGGGAGTGCGCTCTCCACCGGCGGTTGCCGATCTGCGATCAATGCCTTCGCAAGACGTCAACTCGCGGCTCGAACGGCATTGGGCTAGACGCCAGCCTAGAGTTGTCACAGCCAAGTCCAGCTGACCCAGGGTTTCAATAGACACCACCCAGACGCAGCTGGTACAGAGTGCAGCTACGCTCCCATGACACACAATGGCTACCAAAACGACATGTCGAAAATCCCAAAACTATTCATTGTGCCTTTATAAATCCAGCAAAATACGCTTCAATGGTCGTCAAGCCTTCAAACGGAGCCACCATCCCAACGTATCCGTCTGGACGAACGACGACGATGACACCACTGAGGGAATCGATGCCATATTTGTCGTAGCCGCCACCGCCGTTGCGGGCGAACATGTCGGTATCATCCAAGAGGATCCTGCTCAAGCGTGAGTACTCAGACCACATATACAACGCTTGCGCACATACTTGGACCAGTGCGTTCTCAAACCAAGTGGGACGTCCGTGTAATTCACTTGGTCTTTGCTTCCAGATCCTATTGAGACAATATCAAATACCCTTGATGGGTCTTCGCCGCCAAACTTCCTATAGAAGCTCTTTGGACTGGCGAAATCTTCAGCGAGCTTCTGCACGCGAGCGGTTTGCTGGCTGTTGCTGATGTCACCGAGGAAGACCAGAATCTTGAACCGCGCGTCGGCCGGCAAAAAGTCTTGAACATCAAAGGGCCGGGCATCTGCCGCACAAATGAAGGCGTGCGGCAGCATACGCTCACCAATCACCAGATTAGAAGCAAGCTGTTGGTGAGCGTCGTTCACGATAGCTGATGGCGGATAGTGCACGTTGGTCCCAGATGAGAAGCCGCCATATGCGTTGAAGGCCCTGTTATTTGCGCAGTGAGTGCTGTAATTATCTCACAGTGCAAGGTACTCACTCAAGGAACTGCTCATGGCTGACGCCGTGCTGGTTGTCCTTGGTTCGTGGCTTGCCAGAGAACAAAGCCGAGAACTTCTTGTCAAAATCGATGAGCTCTTGTGCATACTTGCGACGCTCAAGCTCGTATGTCTTCAACAGGGACAAGTCTGCCCATCCGCGTAACACATAGGCAAGCTTCCACGCTAGCGCGCTGTATGAGAACACCATCTATCCACGACCAGGTGGCAACCTTACCTAAGTTGTGTGTGTCGTTCATACTCGCATTCATGCCCTGACCAGCTTTCGGCGAGTGTGTGTGACATGCATCTCCAGCGATGAACACCCGTTCCTGCGCCGAGAACTTCGATGCAACGCGCTGCCCGACTGCACTCCAATTAGCCCCTTCCTCTTTGCCTATAACACCCCGACTCACTGATATATATCGTCCACCAGTCAAACCTGTCCGCATCGATCCTGTACGGGTAGAACGTCTTCTTGGCAACCTGCATCAGCTCCTGCGGGCCGATGCGCGAGCGATCGACGCGGCCCGTCTCGCGGTCGACGGCGCTCGTCTCGCCCGTGAGCTGCACGTACAGCCGCACTTTGTTGCCCTCCCGCGGGACGACCATGCACGAGCCGTTGTGCGAGTGAATCGCGCATCGGTTCCGGATGTCCGGGAAGTCGGTGTCGGGGATTATGTCGACGACGCCCCAGACGAAATCTTGGTAGGGTCAGAGGAGGGTGAAGGGGTGAAGGCGGGGGACATACTGGTTTGTTCGCCGACCATGGTGATTCCGAAGGTTTTGCGCACCCAGGAATGGGCACCTACAAGAATGCTCAGGGTGACTCTAGTCTCCTGACCCCGGCGAACTGACCATCGGATCCCAGCACATACTTTGCCCGGACGATCTCTGTGTCTTGGCCTGGTTCCCCATCCAAATGTTGCAGCACAACCTGCACATCTCGCCCCTCAATCATGTACCCCCGCCGACTTTACGACCTCGACTCACCGTGACAGCATAGGCTTGCGGGTCCTTCAACTCTGCCTCGTCTGTCGAGAGCTTTATCGACGTTGGCACAGTCTGGCGGTCCACGCGGAGGCCTTCCTTCGCCATCGAGTCGAGGAAAATCTGTTCAATTGCTCCCTGGTGGAGGGTTACCTGCACATTCCGCTGCATTAGCCACGTACGCTGCTCAGGTAAGCCCGGAGCGCGCCTTATACGGATACCGTGCGGTCGGTGCAGGAGCGTCAGCCGTACGTCCGGTGCGCTCGATGCCGCCATCGGGGCTCGGGTTGTAGAAGGCCTGTCGGAATCGTTCGTCACTCTCTATTAGCAGAACAGGTGAAACCTTTTACAGCCATGTGCATCTGGTTGCCTTCTTTGAGCAAACGTTCGGCCAAGCCGTAACTCTGCATGTGCTGGTCAGTACCGGACAAAGCGAAGCATCACATCGCGGCGCACCTGGAAGACCTCGATGGTGCGTGGCTGAATACCGTCCGCCTGGCCTGCTAGGACGTGTTCCGCCCTGCGGGCGCTTCAGCACTGGGCAGAATCCTGGAATACCGAGAAGAGCACCTCTTGTCGACGATCCTCACGCTCGCGCCTGCTCTCGCCAACGCATTGGCACACATCACCCCAGCTGGCCCCGCGCCAATGATGAGGACGTCGGCATGTGTTTCTTTCGCAGTCGGGACGGGCATTGTGCACAGTATGAGACTTGAGTGTCACCCAGAAGCGAACGGTTCTTATGTCGTCCGGCTGACCAGCGGTTCTCCACTCACTGTCAGCCCAGGGCGCCCCTACCCGGAAATTAATGAGCTAGGCTGACATTTTCTCAGCGGTACCGGAGCGTTGGGGTTCGATGAGTGAATTCATGCATAAGTAGCAATGGGAGAAGATTATGAAAAACGACCGTATAATACAAACAAGATGTATACCTGTAAAACCAGACAGGTACCAATGAACGAACTTATAACTCAGTCTACAGTATGCTTCTCTGGTCGTATGCCTCGTCTTGCACCTCCTTGTCACCCGATACGAATACGCGAAGGCCATCAAACGCAGGGCGCACCCATATCGACTCGCCCTCGGGGACGAGCGCAAGCGCCTCCCGCTCCGTCGGGGTCAATTGCGCCTCGTCCAAGGCCTTCCCACCGGCCGCTTCGGTGATAGAGACGTACTCATCGTGAGAGACCTCGTGTCCGAACCCAGTGAGATACGTCCGGGCGGCACCCATGCGCCGCGCGACGGTCATCGCCTCGGCAATCCCGAGGTGCGACGTGTGTGGCTCAAGCCGGAGGCAGTCGAGCACGAACACCGGCGGGACCGCCTGCGCGCAGTCCTGGTTCTGCGCACGCCCAAACATGGCCCAGACGTCCTCTGGGACGTGCGACACATCTGACAGGTACACGATTGCGTCCTGAATGACGAAGCCGAGGCACAAGTAGGGCTGTATTGTCTGCTTGGCCTCGATAGGCTCCTCGATAGGCAGTGGTGTGCTCGGCTGTTGAGGCGGTGTTGAAGGATTTGTTGACGCGGGCGACAACGAGGTTGGCGTGGGATAAAATTCCCGAGCAGGGAGGGTGGAAAAGAATCGCCCGTGATGCACTGCGAAAAAGACACGGTTCAGAACGCGCCTCTCCGAGGGACGGCAGAAAAGGCACGGACCGGCAAACGGAGCTATCCTTATGCCGGTATTCTCTATTTCGAACGGCACTCGGTCTTCTATGATGTGCCACTTGAACTCAGGGACCTGGACACGGGTGAGTGATAGATCCCTCGCGAGACCCTTGGTACTTACGTCGCCGCCACCGGATGCGAACTCCTTTGAGACCAGATATGGGAAGGCGCGTTGCACCTCTTGGAAAGTATGCATGGTCACGTACAGGTCGACATGTGGCTGGACCGCGCCCCGCAGCGTCCAACCTGTGCACAAGCGTCAGTCTTTGTATTTCCATCTCTTATCCTTCATCCGGTCGCACCTCGGAGGTCGTCCAAACCGTTCATGGCTGGACAAGAAGAGCTAATTAGACTCGGCTTCGCCGAAAATTTGACAGCCGGACATACCGTCCGCATGTGCGTGGGTGATGAGCACGGCATCGATCCGACGGAGGCCGTATTTAGGGAACCACTCTATCGCGGACGCCTGGAAACTTTTCCCGACGTCGATGATGATCGTGCTGTGCTCCGCGCATGCCGGTGTCAGCGGGGCGGACCTGAGGGCGTCGCGCAAACAGGCGTGCTCACCGTTTCTCGCCGTCCTTGTCGCGCATGCGTAGAACTGCAGACGTATTCCGCTGTGGCGCACTTGATCAGGTCCCTCGGAGTGGAGACACAGGTAAAGTGCACGCACCCGGATGTTCTTCTTCCCCTCTGGTCGAAGCGTCGACATGCATGTTCGACAAGGTGTAGCTTCCGGTGGTGCAGTCAAGCAGTCCACATGTGGTACGGTGGATGAGGTGCCAGTGCCAAGGAATATGAGCTCGACGGGCTCGTCAGGGAAGGGGGTGTTCATCAAGAGAGAGTCCATGAGAGACTGCTGCGAGTGTGGCGGAGTCTTGTTAAGAGCGAAGAGATACTTCGGAGCGTCAACCGACTGCCAGAGGGCTTTATATGTCTCTAGCTAGTTCAGCGCCGCCGCCGCCAAGTTGACAAGTGGGATCTGATAGACCACTGTGTGGACCGGCGACTGGCGTTGGTGGAGACGCTCCGCTGACTGTGCTCGCAGCTTTGAGCCGTCGACAAATGTCGTTGCGCGAGACAGAGCAGGGAACGCTGTGTTCCATCTCCAAGGGAAAAAAGACGAGATTTATGCTCATCCTCCCGTATACGCGAGTTGACAGGAGGCAAATGGCACTGCTCGACGGCAAACGCCGATCACCCCTGGACGGGCGGCAGGTGCCGCGCTTTCCCCAGATCGCGGATCTGACACCTCCGGCCACGGACGAACTGCGCACCGATAGCGACAGCACTCACACCCGGAGTCGGTATAGTGTGCAAATGCAGGAAAACATGTGAACATGTACACAATTCTTCACAGACACTATACTACACGGCATATCGGACATACCACCCGGCCCTGGCAGTCCTATTTTGTAAAGACTGGTGCAAGATGGTGAGGAAGATGCCCAAAGCGGTCAAAGTTGATACGCACTCGATACTACATCTTCATCCTGCAGCTGATGATTCAGCCCGACCTTTTGAGCATGCGGGCTGAATTTAGACGACCTGCCCCTGCGGGAGTAGCGATTGTGTGACTTCGAGCACGACACTATTGCTTCCGTACGTACCATACGAGCGCATATCTGAAGTTTGGGGCTAGCGACCGGTGAATGCCGTTACAAATGTCCTAGCGGCGCCCCAGTCCACCGATGTCGCCGTAAGAAGGTGAAATTCGCGTACCTCGATGGTCGCACCCTTTCTTAGACAGACAGGGTCGTCAAGATCAGGATGTGCCCCACGTTTCTTCGTGTACACCTTTACTAAGCCGAGCTCGTCCCAGATCCGCTTGATGAGGTAATCCAAGCTGACGAATATTAGTGCGCCCTGCGCGCAACGATGCAAGAGAGGACATACTTTAGGCCTGCCTCACAACTAATAACCACAGTGTGGGTTTGATGAGCAAGCTTATCGACCTGCTCAAGGCTGATGGCATCAATCTTGTTGTAGACATCTTGAAATGGGGTCAGCTCCGAGCCATCGTGAGAAATGTCTGGCACACACAGAGACACGGGAGATATTTTCTTGTGCCTGAGACGAGGTAAGAGTGAATTTGCGCCAACATCGTGCGTCAACTTACCAATGAGGACATCGATGAACTCGTCTGTGGTGATGTCTTCCCTGATCATGACATCGCAGTTGTGAAGCTTGTCTATGGCAAATCAGCACAAGTGACATGAACGTGAAAATTCTGTGAACTTGCAGCTGGCTAGAATGCTCCGGATCGTCTTCTCATCAGTCTTTGTGAGCTTGACCGTGGTATTGAGCTGATGTCAGAGTTAAAAGGTGCCCATGTACAGCTGGAGCAGAGCCTACACACCGTTATCTGGGACAAAGCGCGTGGTCAGATAACATAAGTATTGCCGCAGGGACATTCACTCACTCCGCCCGTAGTCTTCCTCTTGAACACGACATCCGGCTTCCTCTTGTTTAGCCTTATGCCGACCGCATCCAGTTCAATCTCTAGCAACCTCCGCTGCTCGTCCGATTTAGTGGCATCCAGCATTATGAGAATTAGATCCGCGGTCTTGGCCGTGGATACGACCTGACGGCCTCGACCACGGCCTTGACTGGCGCCTTCGACGATTCCTGGCAGATCCAAAAGCTGAATGCGTGCACCTTGGTACTCTAGTACCCCAGGAATAGCCTGGTCCGGAATCAGAAGTGCATACGAGCTTGAAATTTCGCCAAGGCTTACAGTAAGAGTTGTGAATTCGTACGCGGCGGCTTCGGAGACTGTGTGCGTGCATTTATTGAGAAGCGTAGACTGTGAATATCATGTCAGGAGCAAAAGGGTGCCATCAGCTACGCAGCCTACCTTTCCGACTGAGGGGAACCCGATCAAAGCGACTCTGGCATCTCCAGACTTTTGTACATCGAAGCCTGTCCCCCCACCTGACGACTTTGTCGCCGGCTCGAGCAGCTGGGCGCGATATCGTGCAAGCTTCGCCTTCAACAAGCCAAGGTGATACTCCGTGGCCTACTTCGACACGGTCATTCGTGAGCCGGTAGTACCAGAGAGTTGGTTCATGGTGGCAGGTTACCTTATTTTTCTGCGCTTTGCAAAGAGTCAGGTAACCAGTGGTAAGACCGATCATTAGCTTACTCACTCCTCGCCATCTCCTCTACGATGTTTCCAGTGTTCAGCATTTATTTTAACACGTCAAGAATGATGCATCTGACCCTCTATCTCCTTGATCTACATGATTGTGAGCGCAAAATCTGTAGCCGGATCTATACCCTCAGACCTTTTCTACGATGCCCATCTTGTCTGTTTATGACACTCGGTGCAAACAGGTGGTAGTGGTGGTGTACTGGTAAACGATAACGGAAGGTTTGGCGCACACTGGACTGACATCACTAGTGACGATTTAGACGCCTGTACCGGGCCAGGGACCGTGCGGGAACTGCAATAATGCTGCTCACCATGATGCACACCGTCCGAGGCTCTTGCATCTTTTCTCCTTCTGTCATCCATCGTTAATGAAAACAATATGCCACAGTCAGGATCAGCTATAAGAAGGCACCAGCCCACGCTTTACACGCATCCAGAGAACGACGCCGACGACGAAGAAGAGGGCGGCAGCTGGGGCACCTCCTCGAGACACTACAGTGGTACCCCCGTTCTAAACAGCGGCTCAAAAGGTCGTAACAAAGGAAGAACACGTAACGGCTTTTCTCCTGCCTTCACCCACACCAACACTGCCGATCCAGAGCCCTCCAGGGCGAACCGAAGCATCTACAACCAGTTCGTCAGACGGTACCGTCCCGGCCTCGGCGTCGACGATGACCCTCGAAACGATCCAGAAAGCCATTACTACAACCGCGGGCTTGGACAGCTGCTGGATGCCGGGGATAGCGACGACGACGACATGCGCAGCACGCTGGGCGGCAGCGACGGTTATGACCGTCTCTCGTCCCTCCTATTGGACTCCGAGCCTGCCGAGCCGGAGACGGTGGAGGACCGCGAGCGACTCGAGTGGCAGGCGATGTTGGCATCTGTCTTGGCTGGGGATGTCCTCAAGTCCGAGAATACGCGCATCGCCGTCGCCCTCAAGTCTTCTACGGATGAGGAAAGCAGCCTCCGCGCGAATATGTGGCTAGGGATCCGCGCCAGAATGTACGGGAGGACGGAAAGTGAAGAGCGGTGCAGGCTTGAGGACCGCAGGCTGCGCACGGTCGACACCATAGTCAAGGAAGCCCTTGCTTTCCGCGTCTCTGACGTCCCCCCAAACTCTGGCCTCTCGCCGGCGGACCACGCCCTACGCGAAGTAAATACCATTCTGTGCCGACTCGACATTGTATATTCGCTATACCCAAGTTTGCGCGCTTTCCACAACGACTACCGTGCCGCCACCGAGACCGAGTTCCAGCAGAGATGTGACACACTCAATACCTGGTCCACAGTCATTACATCCCTTCGGCAACAAATCGCGCTCCTCAGAAGGTGGACAGGGAGTGAGACTTTAAACGTCACGCAGCCCATCTCAAGCGATGCAGACACTGTCCCCCGGACGAGGGAGAGTTCGACTGGGACTCCCTTTGTGGAACGACTCCTCAAGGAGGAGGCGATGCAACGGCAGTTCGAGAAGGGCTCCATGACCACTATACATGCTCTCGTAGGCACTACTCGAGATGCTCATGTGAACCTCGCCGAAATGTTCAAGAAGATGAACCTACCCTCGTTCGAGCAAGAGCTTGTGCCGCTCGTGTCCTTCCTTACGAATCTCGCGCAGGCTGTGCTGCGCGTGCGCCTGGACTATGCGCAGAGGTTGAGGAATCCCGACATTCTTATAATCGACCAGATGACCGAGGACCTGAAAGTCAAGATCGGCTTCGCATGCACGCTGAAGCGGCAGTACGAGGCATTCTTAGTACCAGACCCGGGAGGAAACTGGAAGTTACCTCCATGCATCAGCGCTGACTACGACTCCGTCATCTTGGAGGCGCTGACCTTCTTCTTCAAGCTCATTCATTGGAAGCTGAAGAGTGGAGCCAAGGGTATTTATTTCAAGGAGACGGACGTAATCGAGGCCCAATGGACCACCTTCAGCGACGTCAGTCTCAGCATCCCAGGAGGGGCATCACTCGTCGCTGAGCAACTCTGGTACGCCGTATAGTATTCATGCTCAGTACTTATCTGATCGGTCTTCTTCAGCGCCTTGACAAATAAACTAATGGTTCGGGTTACCAACTACTTCGACACTCAGATTCGTATACCTTTACCAGCGGACAAAGTCAAGCACCTTGAGGCCAAAGGTGGAGGTACGCCAAATGGCAATATGACGACCTCAGCCTTCCAGAACCATATCCGCGAGGGCACTATCTCTAACAAACAAATGTCGCGGGAGCAGCTTATCAGCTGGTACGGAAAGATCCTGGATGGTGTGAAGCAGCGGTACAGGAAACTCCAACGACTTGCACGGTGGGTTCGATCCATCTAGACAGCACGCGTACATCAACTAATGGCACATACGTCTTTCGAACGTAGTGTCCTCACCCAGCGGTTCAGTACCTCGGCGGAGTACGATCTCGAGGATGTACCAATGGACTTATTCATCGCGGCACTCGTCGAAACCGATCACTGTCTCGTGTATACTCAGTCCTTCGAGGAGGACGGGACATACATTGTCGTGCCGGATTCACTGAGACAGCAGCCAGACAAGATCAGACGGATACTCATGGATGCTTTTCACATCAACGAGCCCGACGAGGGACCATGGATGGTGGAATCTGGGGGCGACGTTGAATATGAAGATGCGGAGCCAAACTACGTTCTTGTTCTCTCGCCACGGACGCGATTCCTCTGGAACGGCATGGTCCTGATGCTTCAGCTGACGAAGTTCGACCTCAAGCTTGCGGACAATCGAGTGCGCTTGATAGCCGATGGGGCCCAACATCGTCTGGAGATGGCGAAGAGGACATTCACCGAGCTGTTCCTTGTCTATGACGAGGAGGGGGAGGAAGGAGAGTTGATCGAAGGTCCAATGCCGCCGACCTGCATCATCGAACAACAGGCCCATCTACCATTGGTCAACCATGAGCTGCGAAAGATCAGTCGCGCCACGAATCGCCTCGCTGAGTCGATCCTCGATTCCGTCCAGTATGTCCGAGCTGCGTTGCGCGATGCGGTAGGCTACCAAGAATTGCTCGAGAACTGGTATGTCTTCGCTTCCGAACACGGACAGCACGTCCAGAAGTACATGGACCATGCTGCTTCTCTCAAGTTCCATCGACTCTTGATCAAGCTTGCTATCTCTTGGGTGTCCTTCATCTGCGACGACTGCGATCCAAACGATCGGAAGACCTTCCGGTGGGCCGTTACTGCCCTGGAGTTTACTCTACATCGAACGCGTCGAAACAACATACTGAAGCTCCCAGATGAGCAATTCGAGCTGCTGCGGCAGAAAGTAGCAAGCTGTATGACCCTGCTGATCAGCCACTTCGACATCCTGGGAGCTAGGTCTACGCTCGAAGCGAAGAAGGAGCAAGAGCGACAGGAAGAGCTTCTCAGGCAAACGGTAATTACGCGAGCGAATGATGGGGACGACCTCTTGAAGACTATCGACGACCAGGCCACGCCTCACTATACCGATCCCTACGTACGAAAGTTTTGGGAGCGAACCTGTAACGCTGTCAATGAACTCGACGGCAGTCGCGCACGCGTTGCGGCCGAGCAGCACACTATCGGCCGTGTAGTCGACGAGGAGAAGCTCGTCGACCGATCGTTGCTCTTCTTGGCCGGGTCGAGCTCGAACATCTCCATTCGCTGGCAACAAGGCCGCTTCATTGGCGCGGGCTCCTTTGGCTCTGTATACCTCGCCGTTAACCTCGACTCGGGGTCGCTTATGGCCGTCAAGGAGATCAAGTTCCAGGAGGTCGCTGGACTTTCGAGCCTGTATTCACAGATCAAAGACGAGCTTGCGGTCATGGAGATGCTGCATCATCCTAATGTGGTCGAGTACTATGGTATTGAGGTGCACCGGGATAAGGTCTACATCTTCGAGGAGTATTGTCAGGGTGGAAGTCTTGCTGCGTTGCTTGAACATGGGCGGATCGAAGATGATGGGATCATCCAGATATACACGTTGCAAATGTTGGAAGGTCTCGCGTATTTACATTCTATGGGGGTCGTTCATCGCGACATCAAACCGGACAGTGAGTACCACCTGACTGCCGCCTTGAGTACTCTATTGAACGCTCCACAGATATCCTTCTTGACCACATGGGTGTCATCAAGTACGTCGACTTTGGAGCCGCCAAGATTCTCGCGAAGAACCAGAGAACAATTCAGAGGACGCGTCGAGCGGACTCAAGCGCGGCGCCGGGCGCGCTTGGTGCGCTCGGGACGAACAATAGTCTCACTGGCACTCCTATGTATATGTCACCTGAAGTCATCCGAAACAACAAGCGAGGCAGGCACGGAGCTATGGATATCTGGTCGTTGGGCTGTGTCGTGCTCGAATGCGCTACTGGCCGAAAACCGTGGAGTAACCTCGACAACGAATGGTGGGTCCATTCAGAAGCGATATTCGGGCTTCCGCTAACGTTCTACCGATGCGCAGGGCTATCATGTTCCATATCGGCGTCGCGACTCAGCATCCACCTCTGCCCGAACCCGGTCAACTTAGCGATATGGGCATCGACTTTATTCGGCAGTGTCTCACGATTGATCCAGTGCAGCGGCCTACAGCCGTGGAACTCATGGACCACCCGTGGATACAAGACTTTGCCGAGACTCTACGCAACTTCCAGGAAGCAGAGCTCGCGACGAGCCCTCCTGCAGAGATGCCCTCCGACCCTGCTCTGAAACACGCAACTGTCGCTCGCCAGGCGGCCATTGAGAAGGAAAAGGAGGTTGAGGCCATTCAGTCCTTGTCTCCGAGCACCTCACCGCTCGAGACACCGTCCGGTTCTGGTTCTGGTTCCGATTCGTCCTTGTCGCTCGACGAAGCTACGCTGTATCCCATTGATCCCGTAGATGCCGTGCCTACTGACAGCTCTCCATGATTTCCCACGACTTCTATATTATCTTCGCATATACATGTAGCTTAGTCCATGTTTTCCTGTATCATTGCTGTGTCGTCGCATCTTTCCAGTCGCACTTTTTCCGTAATCATACACACGAGTTTGTCTTCGCTAGGAATAGCATTACATTGGAATATCGGTTTCACGACAGAATCAGTCCACACTTAAACAGGGGATAATCAGGGAGTCATCCGGGACAATGTTTCGAATACAGGCGTGATCTTAACAGCGAAAAGCACAGAGCAGGATCAAACAAAGAAGAACAAGGTGCGACTGGCGCTACAAAAATGGGGCCAATATGGATAACACGATTAAACGCACGAGCGAGGTCACTCAATGACCCATCGTCTGCCCTTCATGGATGGCGTCTCACTGCGCTCGCTCCACGCGATGCTGGTCTCGCTCCGCTGGCTGCTGCTGCTCTCCTGCCTTGCCAAGTGTCCCCGTGCGCGTTGCAGCCGCGGGTCTACGGCCGAAATCGGCAGCGAGACGGGGGTCACGCCCTGGTTGAAAAACCGCGGACCAAGGACGCGCGAGCCAAGCGGGACATGCGCGGGCTGGGGCGGCGCAACCTCGTCGTCATATATGGAGGAGAAGGTTGGTACGGGATTGTCGTAGGAGGGGAAGTCAACCTTCTCCTCATCAAGCTTCTCGTCATATGACAGTGTGGCAGGGACGAAGTCGTCGCCTGGAAGGGGTTCTTGTGATTGCACTGCATGGGGTGGAACTATGAGAAAATACCCCAGAGCGGTGAGATGGGTGAAGGGACGCACGGTAGTTAGGGAGGCCCTTGCCGAAGTTCAGTCGGCAGAGGATGGCAAGGATGAACGCGATGAGAGTAAGCACGACGGACGCGGAAGCTAGGAGGCTGAAGAGCCGCCATTCGACGAATGTCCAGCGGAAGGTCGGCGAAACGAACATTGATGCCCAGCCTGCCAGGTAAAGAAGGGCCATGCTCAGGAAGACAAGTACGAGGACCTTGTATTCGCGACGGACGGATATCCAGCCCTGTGAGAAGAAGTTGAGCGCACCGAATAAAGCAGTAGCTGCATGATCACTTACGACGGTCAACCAGGGAAGCATCAGGATTAGGATCGTGCTGCGGCAAATTCAACATTAACACAAGTAGTATCAAGCAAGGAAGCGACGTACATGTCGATGGCACGGAAAGTCTTTGACTCCGTTGTGAGGCGAGCAATATCCCCGTTATAGATTTGGTCAATCCACAACGATACAGTAGCGACAATGAAGAACGCCGATAGCTGAATGACGATGGAGAAGACGAGGATGATACGGTAGGCACGACTCATGGTGAGTGATGCTCCGATGCGCTTGAAGGTTTGCCAGCCGAACGACTGCATATTTCGTGAGATTACAGCCTTCCAGGTAGAATTGGCTTGTGTATTACCTTCATCAACCTCCATGACAGGATAGCAGAGAAGACAAGTGCGATAACGTTCAATGCGAGAATCGGGATTTCGAACCTCGAACGCTGGCTCCAATAAGTGGGGAGGAGATTAACGCCACAGGCTCCGTTGGTGATCAGCTTGCCGAAATCATTGTGGAACTGGCTGGTGTTCAAAAGTTGATAGCCGGACCAGGCAGTGGCAAGCATATGAGTGAGGAAAGTGGCAACACTAAAAACCCAGTCAATACAACGCGACGTTCAAGCGCGGCCAAAGCTCAGAGACTCACATATGAGGAGGCGATTCGTTCAGGATCGCGACAATGGACATGCCAAGGACCCAAATCGAATAGCCAATAAACATAAGATCCTCGCGCTTGGTATTGTCCACCCTGAATACCAGAGAACCGCTCAGTCATCAGAAATGTGAGCTTCTGAAGCATCCGTACTTTGACACAGGCCAATTCAGGGCCACCAGGCAAGTCTCACTTAGGGTGACCTTGCCGATTCCGGGGAGATCCTCGATCTGAACTTGTGCACTACCATTCGACGCAAGCGCGACAGAGATCTCTGGACCGCCGCCACCTCTCTGGCTTAGCTGTTAGCAGATGAAAAACTTGGTGTGATCCTCCTCATACCTTTTCATGAGTGACTGTTTTGTCCTGAAGTTCAAGATCGTTCTCGCCACCGTCAGCTTTGGCCGGTGCCAACGTAGATGCAGCAGTAGATGCTTTCGAGGTAACCGTCACTGTCCGAGTAGCAGCGACGGTAGTAAATTGAATGGCGTCCTTGAACTGCGATGCGTTCGAGATTGTGGGTGAAACAGTGACAGTAACAGTGCTCTTAGGCTTTGAGCTCGTTGCACTTGGAGAGTCGGACACCAAGGCTGCTGGAGATACCCTGATAGAAGACACTGATGTAGCGTTTGCAGCTGTAGACGAAGCCAAGGAAGTCGACGAAGCAGTGACCGAGGTCGAAGAACTCAGGCGCACAGAAGCGCTGGCGCTTGTCAAGCTGGTGGATAGGCTTATGAGCGACGAGGACGACAAGCTGCTCAAAGCTTCAGCAACGTTCTGTGCGCTTGTGTTCGAGGAACTTGGGAGAGAGCCGTTACGAGTACTGCTCCACACCACAGAGCAAGAGCTCGCATCCACGGTGTTCGGGACACTGTCACAGAGGCGGAGGTCATTTCCGCTATATACGGTAAAACCTGATTCCGTCGCGTTGCCCTTGATGATGATATTGTTAAGGAAGCGCGCTCCTTCCATGTTGACCGTGAATGATTGGACTTGGAGGACGACCTGGAGGATGCAGTGGACGAGGGAGAAGACAAAGTAAACCAAGGTCAGCTTTGAGAACGTAATGCGATCCGCCTGTTCAAAATTTTGTTACGTCCTGGTCTCACTCTTTCATCTGTATGGAACTCACCAGCAGCTTGAGCTTAGCGGGCAACGGCACATAGCTCCATATGTTCTTCACACGCATGCTGTATGGATTTCAGAACCTACGAGGCCAGAAAGAGTTAGCACGCATCATTTGAGAGTCGGTTGACACGCACAAAATCACCAGCGCGGTGGGACCTTGAGATGAACGGCCGCTAGGGCGTGAAAGGAGGAAAGGGCCAGCCAAAGTCGCAGCAATACTGTGTATAGCTGTCGAACAGAGCTTGCGAGGTTACGGCCCAGCCGAGAAAAAGAGAAAAGACAGACAAAAAGAGCGAAAGGGTGCGAAGGATGAAGGTCAAAAACACAGCTACGAAGGCGACATTCGCAAAGTGAGCCCTGGCGGTTGTCATGCACAACTAATCTTATCAGTCTATTCCCGGCTCCAGCGATTTCGGGGGTGCTGATGGGATTGATGACATCACGAGCCAATTGGCGATCGGCCAGTGCAGCTGATCGAGATTCCCGACCACAAACGCCACAAAGCCTGTCCGGGGGCAAAATAAAATCAGGCTGCAGCCGCTTGAAGTACGGCAGACACTGGAGGAGAAGGGAAAGAAAAAGGGGAGAAAAAATAGCTCCACCAAGATTGCAATCGTTACTATGGTACATGATTTAAGCTTGCCAGGTGCCGTTCATTGTCCCTGGGACTACACTTGATACCAGATCTTCTGGCCGCTTGTCGACCAGAAAATCGACTTCTCTTCCATATTCGAGGGCATCCCTTCATCTGCCAATATACTAGACGTGCGAGCATCTCTTCTGGTAAACCCTTCTTCCATCAGTTGCTGCAGGGTGTCATTGACTTCTTGTCGGTCGTACACCGACCGCAATCTCCAGCGAATTTCAGCCTGCAGGAGGATATTAAATATGGTTAATAGAGCGTGCGAGGAGATTAATTTACCTGAGAAATCCCAGGATGGAAGATGACGATGGCCATGATGGCCTTTCGCGCAGCGTTCCAGACCTCTGAAATGACATGACCGGAGATGTCCAGCCATCGCCTAGGAAGCACCCGCGCGCATTTAGTCTCCTCTTCACTGGTGACGACTGACCATGCGTTCCAATACCGAGAAGAAACCAGAACCACCTCTCTATACCCAGACCAAAAGGCTAGCGGTACTACAGAGCCAGTCAGGCGACCAATATGAGCGGATAGCATCGTCCTGTCATCTTGGTCCATGAGTTTCTAACATTCTCCGTTAACTTTGATGTTCACCAAGGGAAGGTACGATATCGTACCTCCAGGTTATCCTTTGTTAAGCCCTCTGACCCAGCGATTTCTAGGACATCCAACAACGACCTCAAGCGTTGAGCATCCTGAAGACCCGAACCATCGAGAAGAGTCTGCGTAACGACTGAGAGGCATGCGACGCAGTTGGCGAGACCAGTGGACCATATCGCACAGCAAGCGCGCTCTCCGTCGGCTGTTGTTCCATGGCCTTCGCTTTCCGAGTGCATTGAAGGTGGAGTAGCTTCGGTTTCGTGTGTGATGGCGTCCTCTTCTGGTGGAGAGACTCGCGCTGCTCCGATGGGCTCTTTGATGCGGACGCTAATGGCGGTCTCAATGTCGTCGTCGCCTAAGAATATCGCTCAGTGCGCTTGATGCCGATTGCAGTGTCGAATACTCACTGGCTTTCTTGCTGTTCCAGTCTATGGTCGGCCGTGCCGACTGAGCACGAGATATGTCCACGCTAAACTCGAGCTGGGGAGACAATAGTAAATTATTTGCTTTACTATATGGACGAAACACACCTTGTTGTTTGAGGCCAATTCGATTAGTGCCGCGACGTCGCCGTCGCCTGCCACCAAGGGCCAATCTCGCCATAGCACCTCTGGGTCCTGCTGCGACAGCATCTCTTCTAGAGTTGTTGCGTCCTGGTACAATTCAGGCGCCAACTGTCCGTTCAAAGCGCCTAGATTTCTGAACAAGAGTCATACGGTCATGTAAATGAACACATTGAAACGAACAATACATACCCGTCTGAAATTTTCAACGTCCTGCCGGGCTTGTGTTTGGTCGGGTCTCTAACGAGTTTGGACAGTACACCATGTTCAAGCAGATCTTCTACAACAGCTCCAACGGCTTCGTCTCCAGCCAGGCTCAGGAGATGAGATGCTTTCTGAGCGTCGTAGGTATCGTTCGGAGTGCCCAGAGTCATCTAAGATGCGGGTCAACAAATCGAAACAGCGCCTGAAGGCTTAAGATGGCTGCCTACCTTCAACGCAGTATCCGCAACGAACATATTCTCGGATGGGTACTCGTCTGACTGGGGCAGTTCGTTCCCTCCAAGGACGAAAGATTGCTGCATCAGCTGTTTTTCGCGACCTTCTTCGGCAACTCCACTCCACATGAAATCCCAGGAAGCTGAAGTAGTGGGTTTCTCTACAACCTCCCACTTCGTGGAAAAAATATCGAGAGACGCAGGGAGTACAGCAGCAAGGGGTTTCTCGGTCTCTACAAACCCAACGCGACTGGTGAATGACGATCAGCACACGCTGGCTGGCTGAGTTGGCCGGACTTACAGGGCATTCTTGTCGATATGACTCCTCAAGAATTTGATATGCGCTACAAGGTCAAAGTTCGACGGGCTACCAGGATCTTCGTCCGGGAGCTCCGGCGTGCCCAGGTGCCGCATCCATAGCTCGTACCACCTATCCTCAAGGCGCTTGAAATATGTTTCTGCGCCGGGCTGTTCCCTGAGGTGGCCAATGCGCTGACGAACGGAGTTCCGCGGGATGGCAGGGAAGACCTGGCACAGTGCAGCCCAGTCGAGCCGCTTACCATTTCGACAGCGCGCCCTGATGATTGCGGAGGCGTCGCGCCCGAGCTCGTCGAGGTCCTTGTTCCACTGAAAGCGCTGGCGGCGTCGGCCGAACATGTCTGTCTCAGCTGTGGCGCATTCAACGGTCAAAATAGTGGTTCGGAAGATTCGAGGCTCACAATCTTTACTCTTTCCCTTTTCCTTCTTATCTTTGTCCTTCTTGCCCTTTACCTGCACATGGTCCAAAGGCGGACCCTGGGACGAGATGAGTTCTTCAACCGGTTTCTCGTTAGGAGCGATCGCGAGTGGCGGTGGAGTAAGCATGGTCCTCGAGGAAGTCGATGCCAATGGACGTCGATTGGCCACCGGCTTCTTCGCAGATACCTTCGCCTCCTGGATGGTCTTCGCGATCTCTTGCTCCCATTTCTCGACATCTCTGCCCGAGCTTTGCAGGAACTTTGTGCGTACGGGCTTCATGCGTGACGCGAATGTGCCTTTGAGTGGCTCTGAGTGCACGCGTGCCAGCATGTCTTCCCATGCTTTCTCGAGCTCTGCGCGGGCCTCGGCCGCCTTTTGTGCGAGCACCGCCTTCTGGGCCACCTTCTGTGCCTCCGTCTGTGCCTCCTTCCGCTTTCCGGCGCCCTCCTTCCGCTTTCCGGTGCCCTCCTTCCGCTTGCGCATGTTCTCTACATATTCGAGTAGACTGTGGCGTTCGCGCTCGTAAAACTGGGCGACTTGTTCCTTTGGTGCGCTGACGAGCATGGCGAGCTTGGATAGGCGTGCCTCTCCGCCATCCTCGTCTTGCAGAGGCGTGGATGCGGGAATGATGTCGATTTGTTTGCGGAGGTATTGCCTTTGGTACCAGGAGAAGTTGTACGTGGTTGACCATTGTCCGGAACGACAGAGTAACTTCGCGACCTCGTCAGGGAAATCTCCTGAGGCCTTCTCAGACAACGAGCCAGCGGCTGCCAAGTCATCGAGAGTACTCTTGGAAAACGCTTCGTCCAAGCACGATCGGTGCAGATCTTTCCAGAACTGCTCGCCTTCGGCAAACGTCTTCGTCGAGGCCCTCTTCCATAGATACGGCTTTTCTTTATTACTCAATGCCCACAAGTGCAAAGGCACAGAATCGTTGAGCTTCCAGTATTGGGGTGCGGATAAAGTAGCCGTGTGTTTCTCATCGGGTGCAGGCCCAAACGCAGTGGGGTGCTCGCCATTGGGCAGGCACTTGACCGCCGGCTCTTCCGCGTCGGTAGGGTTGAGGGCAATCATCAGCCTGAGGCCTTGAAGGATATGCAGCGTGTCCATCATACTTGACCTGGTTTTCCACTTGTCGATTTCGCATGCCTCCACCATTGACTTCGGCAAATCCTTGATCGCTGTCTGACGGTCTGCCGGAGTTGAGAGAACGTGTAGCAGTTCTTCGTTGTAAATGCGGATGGCGACTATCGAAGTGTATACGGAGACGGGAATGTCTTGAAAAACGTACGCGACATGCATGATGCGAGGCTCTGTCGAGATAACGCTTGAAGACTTGCATTCCTCAATCACCCGCACAAGGTGCAGATAGAGCTCTCTAGCCCTTGCAATCTTTCCGAAGATGAGACCGTATTTCTGGGCGGTTGTATTAGGTTCTGTTAGAAGAGACGCCCGAATGGCTTCTTCATCAGCTTGGAGAAGCTGCTTAACCCGCTCGTTGTCATGCCCACTGTCTCCTTCGTTAAGCAGGATAATGGATGCACCCAACTGGGATGCCTTCTTTGTCTTGTTGCCACCGAAGTCGACAGGCTCGTCCAAGATCTTCACAGTCGGCTGATAGGTAGTCGGCTGCCGCTGGGTACGGCTAAGACTTGCCAAGAACTCATTCAGCTTCTCATCAGGTGTGTTGGCTAGGTAGGCGATTTTGATTTGGCGTGGCCCACCGGTTGGTGGAGTAATCGACGTTGTTATCATCTTGATCTTCTCTTGAGATTCGAGCTCCAAGAGCACGGCGTTCAACGTCTTCTTGTCCAGATGAGAGCCCACCGCCGTGCTAGTAGCTTCGCCCGCGTTAGCGAGACTTTCGACGACCGCTGCATGAGCTGAGTAGAACTCCTTCACGCTCGTGTTGACGATTCCACCTAAACCCTCCAATGCTTGTAGGATCTCCTTCTGCCGGCGGCCGCGCGAGATGTTAGTCAGAGGACCCGTGTGCCTCTGTCGCTTGGTTGAGGGTCGATCTGCCGAGTCGGGAAGCGTCCTCTTCAAGGTAGCTGGTGGCTGCGCGGACACGCTAGTGTCTACGGTGATGATCTATAACAGTCAGCATATACTTTGGTATCGAATGGCATGTACAAGCGATATTTACCTGGGGACCCAGCGCGGCCGAGCGATCCATTTCCAGGAGGGCGGGGTCGATGACGCTGTTGTTGGGCGGCGTTAGGCTTGTCCCCAGATGATTGACAGAGAGCTCCTCGGTCCCATGTATAGCGGCCGCATCGATGTTCATTGCAGCAGCTATACGAGCAGCTGCGGAAGAGAGGTCCTGTGCCCTCTCCATGGTAGTAAGCGGTGCGTCGGGCTGTCGAGCATCAGTTTCGGACACAGTCTGGGGAGGCTCTTCTGGAGCGACCACGGGCGGCTGCTCTGGCCATTCAACGGTCTCTGCCTGTTCCATTTCGGCGGGTGGAGAGACAGCCTTCGAGGGTAGATTCTTCGGAAGGCGATCACGCCTTTCAGAGCCAGTGGAAGCCTCCCCCGCAAAGCGTATCTTCGGCGGTCTACCACGCTTCTTCGGAGTAGGCGGAGCAGAAGGTATGGCCTGATCTGCGCACTCAGTGACAACTCTGGGTGCATCGGCGACAGCCGTCGAGGGACCGGCAGACGCTTCTCTAGGCAAAGGATGTTTGCGTGGGCGTCCCTTCTTCCTCGCATTGTCGGGGACGCTGGCAGACTCGGGTTGCGCTGGACTAGCGTCGGATGTCGTTGCCTTTTGAGCATTGCCCAAAAGTGCGACGGTCCCCTCGGGTACTGGCCGAAGATTCTCGGCAGACTGGTCTTGCTCTCCAGAGGCAACGGGGCCCGAACCAGACTGAGCAGGAACAGTAAGTGCTGTCCGGTCCTTCTGCCCGCTCTCGCCAGCAGTAGGGTCGTTTGCGTCTACATTCGGGGCTTCAGCAGTATCTTCCGGATGAGCATGCTTGGGTGGGCGACCACGCCTTTTAGGTGCAGGCGCTGAAGCTGAGTCGTCTTCTGGTCGAGGATGCTTCGGTGGCCTACCGCGCTTCTCAGGAACCGGAGCGGAGGATATTTCCTCTTCAGGGAGGAGTTTCTTGCCGGATCGACCGCGCCTCTTGGAAGTAGGAAGTACACAGATTGAACTACCGGCCTCTAAGCCTTCTGGTAGTGGATGCTTGCGAGGTCGACCGCGCTTCTTGGGTGGTGCAGACGATATGTCGTCAGCCTCTGTCTGATCGCGCTTGCGTTTTTTCTGCCATTCGAACTGCGAGTTCTCGGCGCCTTCAGGGAGAGGATGTTTCCTTGGTCTGCCAAGCTTCTTTTTAGGCTTTTCTTCCGCAGTTTTGAGGGAGTCGATGTAGCTGTGAAGCTCTTGCATGTCTTCATAGAACATGTGCTCGTCTACCACGCAGTACCCTCCCGCTTGGGAGAGATAATCCTCGGGAAAGGGTACCTGAAGCTTCTCCTTGGCAGCAACCTTGACATAGTGAACAAGAGTGAAGTACTTGTACCGACGCTCGCGACCATAGTTCTCGGCCAACTGCGAGAGTCCTAGATCACGAAGGTGCGGTGGAGGGTGCAGATCGTTCAAGCGATTAAGCTGGAAGTCCATGACGCGCTTATCGAAATTGCAGAGAGCCTCTACTACGCTCTATGCGATGTTTAGGTTTTCGGTGACGTCAGGAGGGCGGCACACTTACGTTCAAAGTAGCACCCTCGTTGCCAGCGCCGTCAATGATATCAAGTATCTGCCTCTGGAAGGTCACGGTCGTCTTCATCACTGAAATGGGGTAACATTAGTCACTGTACTCATCTACCATAACTAGTTAGCACCTGCCTTTCTTGTGCACGCCTTCTGGCTCAATAGGTTCTCCAGCAGTCTTAGAGGTCTCGTCACTCTCCTCCCTGTCTATAAGTCGGACGCATTTGGTAAGACGTTTTGGACCTCGAGCTTGTACGATCTCGAGGAAACCCTCGGTCTCAAGCTCGCGCAGGCGGGTTTGGAAGAACCGACGTTCCGACTTCGTGGGGTTGGAAAAGCCCTGGGAAATGGGCGTCAGTATGACGGAGGAAGATGATGTGCGCAAATACAGACTATCGCAACAACGAGATTTTGCAGTTGATACAAATTGTGTGGACTGTTCTTGAGAAGCTTTTCCAGTCTGCCCTTCAAAATATCGAGACGTGACAGATGCTTGACACCAATTGGGTCGAACTGAATCGACCCTTGCTCGGAGACGTCGTCATCTTCATCACCCGGCTGTTCTTTTTCGTCGGCCGCTTCTTTCGCCGCCTGTTCCACGGCTCGAATATTCTGCCAAGTCTCACTCTTCTCGAAAAAGTATTTGTGGACGCAAAGGTTGCTTCCTACACCCGCTTTCTTTAGCTTTACGCTGTTCCAGCTGTTAGTCACACATGGAGCTGGGTGAATATATGCGCATACACGAGGTCCAATCCAAGAAGTTTCTCTACCAGATAGTGAGAAGTCTTCGCATCGTAGCCGGTCTTCCTACTGAGGTCAACAACGCTCATACCATTCTCTCTACCGCGAGCAACGAGCTGCAGGCAAGAGTAGACCATGGGTGTGAGCTTAGAAGGCTGCAATAGGGTTAGCACGAAATTGAATCTCGGCGAGAATGAACATACTCGGATATGCGAGCCGGTGAGGGCAATGAACGACTTATCCGGATCGACAGCAATCCTCAGTGCGTTACCGTGTTCTGCCATGAGTTCATCCAAAGACTTCTCGGCGGCATCTGGTATGAGATGGAGAAACGTTTCCTGGGTCGCCGATCCACCTCCTTCGCCGTCTTTTGCTTTTCCTTTGGCCTTCTTGCTTGACTGAGGCGCAATATACACTTCGGAAGCGCCCTCAGGAACAATGCCCACGCGCACCTCTGGTTGCTGCGCTACGACAGACCAGACGAATGCACAGTAATCATCGTCCACATTTTGCGTAGAGGATTTTTGTCTGTAGAACTCCGAGATAAATCCACGAAGCCGTGAAGCGTCGCATCCTACGGATGATGTTAGAGAATCTGCGAAAAACAGCCTTTCTGCCGTGGTGGTGGAAAGGGACCAAGGGCGGATTCGAACCCGCCTCGTTCTCGATGACCAACGCTAGCCGCCCAAGACGCGAACGTATAAGAAGAGAAAACGTACCGAGGTCACCCTCGAACGCGAGTTCGCGGATGCAGTGGTGCAGTAGCTCATCCATCTTTGTGACAGGAGAATCAGCCGACTTGTGCGATTTTACGTGTGAAACTTCATGCGAAGCTAGGGATCAGGCGGTGCATGTCCAAGCCTGAGAAGCGATAAGCCAAGACGAAGTGCGCCTCGCGTGATCGCTGGTGCTGACGTCGACGAAAAGCCCTGAGTGTCGATGTAGACGAGTACCGCTCTTGCGTCGGGAGCGTGGGAATCGGTCTGGCGGAGCGCTCAATTATAAGCGCCCTACTGTGCCGCAGTGATATAAATTAGCGGGCTGTGGGGTGTGTCTTCCGCCTGCACTTACCCCGCGAATCAGCCAGCATGACAGTTGGCTCTGTCTTGCGCAGGTCACTGGCGACAGTAGCATCAGGTACTAGAGCCGTCCGGCAGCGGCCTGTCGAGTACACGTCTGAGGGTGCCGTGTCTATCTCATACGAAGCCTTGCAGTCTGAGCCGTTGTCGCTCGCGCCTTCAATTGGTGCGCGTTTGATCGTTATTGCGTTCGCTCGAGAACATAACCGTGTTTTATTACAGAGAAGGCTTTTGGTCATCAGCCCGATTCGTTGGGAATTATCGTTGTCCGTGACCTTCCCGAGCACTACTTCGGTGCACGAGAGCGGCTGCTTAAACTCGCCTATGCTTTCGCTAGCCTCAATGAGCCTACTCGTGAACGTTATGCAGATCCAAAGAGCCGATATAGGTATGTTACTCCTGTGGTATGCTTCACATTCACAACTCACACCGCGAGCATCAGCTTCGGTTGGTCTCATGGCAAGGTACGCATTTGACGTTCCGCGAATCCATCTGTACTGCATATCTGCTATCAGGAAATCATGAACGGCAAACCAGGTATGTGATCTCCGGTAGTGCTCACGTAATGTCTTATTGCCTATCATACATGGTTGTAGATGTTCTGAAGGGTTCATACTATGCAAACCCTGTCATGGACGAGCCTGATATCTCTAAGGAGCTACGAGATGCCTACCCGGAGTACTATGGAAAGAACATATGTGAGTAGATGGCTCGTGAATGATGCGAGGTATTGAATATGCGCTACCCTAGGGCCCAAGGATGTGGAGGCAGTACAAAATTTCGAGACATCATTTAAGTCCCTAGGAAGGTGCAGTCTGGAGAGCTCTCTTAACATTTTGCATTCTGTGTTGATGTGCGGGCAGATTGGTCTTCGACATAGGCTGTGACCTCGCAGCTGCTTGCCAGCCATTTGGTACGACCTGACTTCCATCTGGTTCTTCCTCGCTGCCTCATGCTCAACTCGTCTCCGGGACAGCTTCCTCATATTTAACGGATTCCTCCCTCTCGCTGATTGACCTCATTCGCAACTCCCAGACAGCCAAGGCGCGACTCCTTCACTATTTTCCACCCTCCCCCAACGCCCCTCTTCCAGAGGAGGATGAGCCCATCGACAGTTGGTGCGGTTTCCATCTCGACCATTCCTTGTTGACCGGTCTCTGCTCTGTGAGTGCGCTGTCAATGCAACGCTTCGGTTGACCAACTGACATGGTTGTAGGCAATGTACCTTGAGGCACCGAAGAACCCGTCGGAGGATCCCAAAGTTGTTCAGTCGCCCTCTCCTACTTCGGGTCTCTACATCCGCACCCGTGGCGGCGACCTCACCAAAGTCTCAATACCAGCCGACTGCCTCGCCTTCCAGACGGGCGAGGCCCTCGAGCTCGCCACCGCAGGCCGCCTGCGGGCAACACCGCACTGCGTACGTGTCGGTGGCGGAGGCGACACAGCGCACGCGTCACGTATTTCGCGCGAGACGTTTGCGCTCTTCATGCAGCCAAATGTTAACCAGCAGCTGTCGAACACCGAGAACTTCGGGCAGTTCAGCAAGCGGATCTTCGACGAACACTACGGCAGAGAAAATGCGGCGATGTGATCTATGTATTATGAATAGTTACACGGTGTTGTACAGAAAGCGACGATGATCAGGTAAAGGTAGATATGAAGGGCATTATGGATAAATAAGACACAGTAAGTCAGCGTCCGTTATGGTGGAAAAGTGTGAGAGGTGTTCAGGAATCAAAGAATGGCGAGCGGGGGTGAAACCTTGGTTGCGTGAGGTGATCAGTCCTCTTGATCAGAAATAACGCTCCAGTCACTGATAGTGCCACCGTGAGCGGAGCTAGCAGAGCTGTGGGTCGACTTGTGGCCAGGTGAGGAGTTTGATCGAGAGTGTGTTGGGCGTCCACGGAGAGTGGAGAGGTCTGTTTCGTCTTCATGGGGAAGACCCTTAATCAGCGAGCGAGCGTATTCGAGATCGCGGTAGATAGCCTCGATCGCAGTGGCAACACCGTTTTCCTAACATACAAGTCGAATCAGATGCCGTCACTTCGTATACACCTCTGCGGCACATACCGCGCGAATCTGTTCCCCGATCTCCTTCGCTCGTTGAACTTGCTTCTGATCAGTGGTCGCAGTGATGAGTGCGTCGGTAAGACTTTGCACGGTAAGCTTGCGGACCGCAGACCCGACACCAAGAGCCTCGACACGATCAGCCCAGAAGTACTGATCGCCGAAGAATGGCTTGATGATAGTCGGAATACCAGCTATTGGGGGGTCGTTAAGACAACGATGGCAGCTTCGTAAAAGATGTACTAACCTCTCAGACTCGCGCCGGTAGTACCAGCGCCACCATGATGACACGCCGCGTCGACACGCTTGAAGAGCCAGTCATGTGGGATCGATGAGATAGGATAGATCTGTTTCGGCAATGGCTCTGGTGGCTCGCCTGCATCTGCAACGTTCTTGACAAGGCGATCAGACCAGCCCTTGGAGAGAATCGCGTAAACACCACTCTGCACGATGGCATCGATGACACAGCGCGTCATTGCTTTAGGGTCCGATACTACGATGCTGCCAAAGCCGATATAAACGACCTTCTTGTTCTCTTTGTGCGCATTGGCGATGAACTCGACCAAATCAGGTGGCGGAATCCACTTTTGCGAGCTCACACTAGCGTCGTCCAAGAACCAGTAGCCTATCCCGGTATAAGCGATGATAACGAGAGAGGCAAGGAGGCGACCTACCAGAGATGCGGATCCATTCTGGCCAGTCCAGCGGCTGGGGTACAACAACAGGACTGAAGTTGTACAAAAACGGAACCTTATGAGGCTCCATCTTGTCGAGACTCGTACTTGGAAGACCCAGTGTGTGGCGGCGCCAGCGGTTAACCTGGCCAGCAGTACCACGCCAGAATACCTGATCGAATAGCACGTAGGTCATATAATTGTAGTTGCCTCCCATCCTATGTTCGGGGACGGCAAAAGCGTGTGGATATGCCCTATCATGTTGAATGAGCAAGATGCACGCAAAACGCAGCTGAAAATATGTACCTTGTACGGCTCCAAGGCATTGTGAACGCTCTGAAGTACGGTATCCGCAGAGCTTCCGCTATGTGTATGCCACCCATGGCACTTGGACTTTCCACGAGGACATCAGTGCCTTGACATGCTTCCCAGGACGTCTTGAGCAAGTCATCGATCCAACCGCGGAATTTCTGCATGCCTTCCCTCAAGAAGGCGACAGTAAATGTCCCGTTCTCCACACATATTCTCATAAGCTCTGCCGGATCACCGCCCACGTAGCCGAACTCGATGCCATGCTGGAAACTGCTTAAGCGCCGTATATGAGGGAGCAGAAGTCAGACTCACCGACTCGACCCACTCCTTGAACTCTCCGTGGGTAGCTATTCGAGCTCGATGCCCGTCGGCCATCAAGCCTTTCGCGAGCGCAATATATGGTTGCACATCTCCGCGAGATCCTATTGTCAGGAATGTGAAGTGCAGCGACTTGTTGGGCTTGAACGTCAAGAATGTCGACGACGTGGATGTGAACATCACAGCAGGTAGCGAGCTGTCCATGCCATCTGGCTCGGTAACCGGCTCAGCATCAGTGAGGACAGATGTACGAGGGCCAAACTCTTCCAGGATAAGAGCATCAAGTTCACCGGTGGTAGGTTGCGTCGCGTCGCCCGACCCAGCGTGATGTCGTACTTCCTCTATCTGCTTCTCCAGTAAGCGTACGAATGCGGCTCGTCGCAGCTCGTCGGAGAACTCGAAGAACAATTCCTCGTGGCCCCGGACAATGACCACCAGACCATGATGGCCAAATCGGAAAGCTTTCGTTGGCTGAGTCGAGAGAATATCACGGATGGGTAGGATCATGGTGGTCCGCGATGTCAAGGGGCCAGACGAGCGGAAGGCAAAGTAGCTGCTTGAGATATAAAGCCGCCCGTATACAGGTAAGAGACGAAAGATATAACCCTGAAAACCTAGAAAGCCATCAGAACATATCAGGCATATGAAGAGTAGGTCCTTACATCCTAGCAGCTTCTCTTTCTCATCAAACGCGAAGGCTGTGCGGAACTTCTCTATGGTCTCCTCGTCCATCGCAGTTTCTGGTGTTTCAAGAATACTGAAGTATCCGAAGTCCCCGCTACTGCTCTCTGAGAGGTGACTCTGGGTGGAAAGTATCTCCGAAACTCCGGGACCTGTCGCGGGCGGCGCAGAAGCAGAGTGCTCCACGGTTAGTCTGAGGCCGCCTAAGCTAGTTGCAAACGAAGCCGACGATAGCAGTTTCTTCGAGCCGGTCTTTAGCCATGTAGGCACGCCCACCGCCCAGGTGCTGCTCTCCTTCGACGTTAGCGAGGATGCGGGCGCAGAAGTAAAGGATGCTGACGTTGATGGTGGGTATGTATGGGCATGTCCAAAATTAGGCGAAGTCGGTGTCAGACCCGGTGACCGTGGGCCAGACAAAGACGGGGGTTGAATCGGCGCCGGAGGTGTGGTGATGGGTACAAAACAGGAGCCGCTTTTGCGGGAGACATGGGTATACTCCTCGTTCTCTGGAGACCGGGAGACGTATCCGGGGGCACTATATCCGCGCATTAAGGGCAACGAGTCTTGTAGTGGTCGAAGAAGAGACGTGAATCGGAAGGAAAAATGCGAAGGCGACTTTGGTACTTGAGGCACAGGAGGTAGTGTAGCTGGGCTCTGAGACAATTGATGTGCTGCCTGGGGCACCCGGGATACAGTAGTATCAATCACTGGAGGCGATGATGAGCCGCCAGGAGCGCTGCGGTAAGCTCTTACAGCATCACGAATCTGCTCAAGGGCCGCTGGGAGGTCGTGAAAGTATGCAAAGAAGTATGAGTCAATGGAGTAAGCTTCGTTCTTGTCGACAGCTTTGACTTCAATCGTCTCGCTGAAGTCCATGGCAGATGACTTCTCTACATCCACAATGGCGGAGTATGGGATAGCAATCTATAGCACCACAAGTGTCATTGCGAAACGGTAATGATGTTTGAATGGCAAGGATTTACCTTCACGCTATCGCCCGAATTCTGGGCCTTGAACATCACCTTCCGTATAGCCTTAACCCATTCATCACGACTTGGAACTGAATCAGCCGACAGCTTGATTGTCCTTTGATTCGTCCTGATGCGGATGTCACGCTCTCCTGTAGGTTCACACGTGATCGCGTAGCGAAGGTCCGCGACACCATGCGGGAAGTAAGGATCCTATAAGCTGTCAGCGCAACGTATGAGCACCCGTTGCGGCAGTAATGCTCACAGAGGACGATTGGTACCATGACAATACGTCATTCTTGAGAATGAACCAATGCTTAATCCAGCGCTTGGTACGCGTAGCTCGTTTGCTCAGCCAGCCAGATTTCAAGACCTGATCCTAAGGGAAGATGAGAAGGTGGACATAAGCGAGAACGCATCGCGTACTTCTCGTGATGGCATATGCGCGAAGAAGCACAGACATGAATCTGTGAGATACATATAGCCTTGCAGCACTGTACACAATGTCGATATGACGATAGCAGATACCTATCACAGACACAAAACTCACAGATGGATCTAAGTAGCCAACACGGCATCTCTGCGACAGCACCTCGTCAGCTCTGTCATCATAGCAGACATCTCTAGCCTGACCTGCAATGACCTCCTGAATTCCAGGCACATCGAACACTTCCCGTAATTTCTCAGCCAAACGGGCTCGTCTCTGCAGCTTCACAGTTGCCATACTACCAGACCGAGAGGGGTGCGACTTTGTGTTCGACTCCAAGAAGTCGAGCTCTGGCAGAGGAGACAGTGGCATCCTCGGGCTATCCATGCCCTGCTCCGGGCCCGGAGTGAATCGGTCTACCGTTTGTTCAAAATCGTCTTCAAGCTCTTCCTCTAACACTACGGGCTCTTCGGGCGCTGGCTCATCTTCCGCGTCAGAGACTGAGGACAGCTTCCCGGATTTACTACGTGTAGCGGGCACCCTCTCTCGCCGTGAGCGGGCAAGTGGGCGGTATATGGTATGGATAGATGAGGCCATCTTTCTTACTAGCGTTTGTCATGGAACGTTAGTAGTAGCGCGCAGCACTCGCCAGTACGACTACGTACCGAGATTATCATCCTCGTCACTGTCTGGTTCTGTCGGGGTAACATCATGGTGGGTGTCTTCGTCCATTTCATGGTCTTCACTCCAGGGTAATGCTTGCAAGGCCTGTATTAGGGTCTGGGTACCTGCGCGCATCTACCATTGTTATCAGTAATTTAGTAATTATTTGGGCAGAGACGAGTAATTACCGATCCATCGCCTCTGAATATACTCAGAAGGGATCTAGTAGGTCCAAAAGGCGGAGAATGGGGCGTTATAAACGGCGACTCGTCGTCCGCTTGCTGTGCACTTGACTGCCTACCCTGCCGTCGAGAGCCTGACGGGTGCGAGACAGGGCTGAGCCGCTGCGACTGAGCTGTAACAGTCTCATCTAGCACGATGTACTGAGCTCTGTGCGTGAAGCAGGAGTTCACTGCGAGACGCACCGTCACCGTCTGCTGACAGTCTCTCCTTGCCCTTCTTGCCACGGCTGAAATGCCGTTTATGGCTGCCTGCCGGCAATAATGGCTGGCTCTGCGACAGCGAGGCCCCAGTCACGGAGGACTTGCTTCTGTGCAGTTTGTCCGCTGTCCTCTCCATAGCACGCTTCACAATCCCGCTCTTGGACTCGGTCGACGAGGTATGCGTCTCCGAAGATGTCCTTGACGGGACTGTGGCTGGCTGATCATAGTCAGGAGGGCCCTCGACGCCTTGTAGAACGGCTTTGCCTGATGCTTCGGGTGGCATGATGGCCTGAGTAGAGTTACGGAGCGGGGCAAGGGAAGCAGACAAGCCTGAATTGCCCCGAGTTGAGGACTGCTGCCGCTCAAAGCACCCCGACTATGTGAGCGTCTCCCCCGCAGGCGACACCGTGCGAAGATAATCACGTGAAGCCCTCGCGCGTGGAAGCTCAAGCGCGTGGAAGCGCTTGTTTGCCTCGAGGACGAAGCATGGCTGAGGTCCCTCCGCCGTGAGGTTTGTCCTGAACCTTGCACGAACTTTTCAATTTGCAAGCGGTGGTGCAAAGAGAATAAAGCTGGCTTGACTCTGCTGCCGCTTCTTCACTCGTAATACCTGGATACCCTCTGCATACACACCTTAATATGCGCGGAGAATTATGCATCGGTTCAGCGTCCTTCCTCTCGTGCGTTCTCGCAATCCTCGCTTGTCCTGCGTACTGCCGCTGACTGCAGTTCGAAGTCTGGTAGCACTGATTCTGCTCATCTTCATGCACGTAAGGTTATTTCTTCGTTCCATGGTTCAGGGCTACTTATCTTATCGTCCATGCTTAGGTTGGGCAGATCAGTACCTCCAGCGTTCCTAGGAACATTGCAATGGTAGTTGCTTTGCAGTTGCAGCGAGTAGCGCGGGATGCTAATGACACGATGGGCGGTATAGATGAAAGTTAACATGACCGGCTACGGGTAAGTGACGGATTCTTGGCCGTCTGCGACGCTTTGGGGCACTGAATTCGTATGTAGTGCTGGCCTAGCTGCTGCTACGGCACCTGACCCTGTGCAAGGCCTGTACACTGATAATGCCTCCACTCCCCTTTCCCAGCACTTGGGTTTACGAAACTTCTACGAGTTTGGTTTATACCGCTACTGTGCCTACGTCAACAGCTCTCATGGCACATGTTCCCCTCGTGTTACCGCCGACAAGCTACAACCCTATGAGGCCGTCATCAGCGACATGCCCGAGCAGTACACCATAATTACCGACGCTCTTATATCCGAGCTTCCCCCCACCACTTTCAGCAATTCTCAATATCTCGGCGAGTTCTCCAGGGCAGCCTACTACTTGTTGCTTCTCGGTTCTGTCGCGAGCGGTTTGGCGTTCCTCGTGTAAGCGCCGTCATACTTTGTCTACTCACAACATACTTATGTGATTTTCAGCGGGCTATTCAGACACGCCCTGGGCTTCCTGGCATCAACCGTATTCGCAATCTTTGGCAGCCTGTTTCTCCTCATTGGTTCAGTGATTTGGACCGTAATTATTAAGAAGGCCCAGGGAATTAACACCGTCATGATACACACAACTCCTCCCACGCCTCTAGGTATCACTGTTTCTCTCGGGGATGGTCTGCTTCTTGCCTGGGCCGCCTGGGCATGCCTGGTTGTTTCCGTTCTACCATACATGATCAGGTATGAATCGCCATCCAGTCTACTCTGGCTTTCGCTAATCTGGTTCTACAGCTGTTGTACCTACCGTGGTTAGATTTTGTTCTGATGCTGGTCATCAACGCCAGAGTTATTAAAAGAGCCCCTTGCATGCGCCTTGCTGTCAGATGAAGGCCTATGAGCGGTTCATCAGTAATGAGCCCACCTGTAACATAGAGCGGACTTTACGAGATTTTTATGATGTGGATTCTTTCCGAGGGAGCCGTCGCGAGGTGGACAGCTTTCAAGGAAGTTGGGCCAACTGACAGGTGCATATGTATCACGTAAGTGTCTGTGTATTCAAAGCGCTCCTTTGCGGCCGTCGTGTGTATTGTCGGTGTTGATAGCATGCTGGGGAATCAAACGGGCGTCTCTGGAATCGTGAGCTCGGTTGCTTTCTATAAAATCCGGGGTCACGTCGCCGTGGTGCCTTGTTCCCAGGTGCGCAGTTTTGAGTCTCACCTCCCACTCTCCTTCATCCCCTCACCCCAGCTATGCGAGGAGCCTCCCGACTTGCAGCGCTGCTGACCGCGGCGGCTGCGCTTACCATAGATGTCGTCGCTCTCTCAAATATATCCAGACAAGGCAGGTTCCTTTACGACACAAGCGGTACTAGGTTTTACATCAAAGGTGTCGCCTACCAGCCTCAAGGTGGGCAACCATACCTGGGACGTTCTCATACTGTTGCTTAGTGCTACCTCTCTTAGGGTCTGTGACCACAAGTGCCGACAACCCCTTTGAAGAACCCAGCACCTTTGTTGACCCTCTTGCGGACGACTCAGGCTGTTCTCGGGATCTGCCTTTCCTTCAAAAGCTCGGTGTCAATGTCGTTCGGGTGTACAGCGTCAATTCATCGCTCAATCATGATTCCTGCATGAGTGCATTGAGCGGCGCAGGAATTTACACTATGTAAGCAGCACTCCGACATCTGGTCTATCGAAATGCTAAGACTTCATAGTATCGACCTATCGTTGCCTTTGAATGGTTCCATCGACCGTGATTCCCCCGCGTGGTCGACAAACTTGCAGGACCAATACATCGAGACAATTAACACTTTCTCGAAGTACGATAACGTCCTGGCCTACAACGTTGGTAACGAGGTTGTCACAGCATCGAATGAGACAGATGCCGCAACGTTCATCAAGGCTGCTGCGCGTGATATAAAGGCATACCTGTACGTCTCTATGTGCTCTAGGTACGGAGGATGCAGCTAATCCTGAGCGTATTTCCTAGTGCATCGAAGAACTCGTCTGCTCTTGTTGGCTACGCTGCCATCGATGGGGATGACGACTTTGTTGCTCCTCTGGCCAATTTCCTGAGCTGCGATCCCAGCGGAAGCAATTCTGGCTCGACTGCTATCGACTTATACGGCTTGAACAACTAGTCAGTGTTCATTTCTCGGTCCATCGAACCTGGCTGACTTTCTTTAGCGAGTGGTGCGGTAACGCTACGCCAAGTGTTTACGCAGACAAGAATGCTCTCTTCTCCAACTATAACGTTGCCGCCTACTTCAGTGAATTTGGCTGTGTCTCGTCTCCGCCTCGCCTTTGGACCGAGGTCGCCGCGCTTTTTAGCCAGCCTATGACTGGAGAGTGGTCCGGTGGTATCGCATTTAGTTATTTCCCCGCCGCGAGCGCAGCCGGTCAGTTCGGCATGGTCAATATCTCTTCAGATGGTACCACGGTCACCGTCTCGAACGATTTTAATCTCCTCCAGGCGCAATACGCCCAGGCCAGCCCGCCGAACAGCCCAAGCGCATCTAGCACGGCCAACTTCCCTGCTTGCCCGACCCAAAACTCCACCTGGCTGGCCAGCGCTAGCCTTCCACCGACACCGGATGATGCCGCGTGCAGCTGCCTAGACAGTACTTTTGCATGCAAGTTCTCTCCGCCGACGTCTAATACCTCTACTACCGTCGGACCGCTCCTGGACGAGGCATGTGGCCTTCTTGGCCAGGCTGGCGGAAATTGCGACGCTATTTCTGCGAACGGCACCACTGGCACCTACGGTCCCGTCTCGTTCTGTGACCCCTGTACGTCATATCTCGTTATCTCAAACCCGTGTACCTGCGCATGATGGCTACGGCTCGCTTCCCACCCCCCCAAGTCGCATATCAAGCATTCGTTCGCTGACACATCTTGTCTTCGCACAGCCACAAAGCTATCGTACACATTCAACCAATTCTATCTGGCCACGAACCTCCAGGCATCGTCTTGCGACTTTGCCGGCAATGCGACGGTTGTTTCGGGTGAGCCGACGAACAGCGCCGCCGCTTCCTCGGCTGCGTCGTCCTGTCTCGCAGCCGTCCCTGCGACCTTCACGCCCTCCGCGCCGGCCACGACAGCTGGCAGCAGCTCCTCGAGCTCGACGTCGGGCAGCTCCAGTGGCAGCTCGGGCAGCGGTAATAACAACAACGGCGCCCTCGGCGTGTTTAGCGAGCACGCGATGGTCGGCGCGTTCGTGTCCGCGCTGTTCAGCGTGCTCGGCGGGCTGCTTGTCCTCGCCTAAGTGGACTACACTCATAGGACTATTTCACATATCGTCTTTCTTTTGCGCATGAACGTGAACTGGTCGCACTAGCACCATCCTAACCTCCATGGACGCACTCTTTACCTAGTCACTTCATACTTAGTACCGTATTCGTCTGGCTCCTCCATACCGATTTGTTATACCCATGACATCTTTTGGTGTGTACCTTATTCAAAGTAAAAACTGGACATATCGACCCAATTTAACGCATTCACTTGCCCGAATCTCCCGAGGTGCACAAGCCTTTAGTTAGCCCCGCCGGTGACGCCACCACCGTCAGGACTGCGAGTCACTGTGTGTGACGTCGCCCAACGAGTTTGTCAATCTCAGATACTATGACGTTTCTCTGCTGGCTCACTACGCTACGCTACACGTCCTCGGGCCGCACGGCGGAAAGTTGTCCAAGGAACGAGTGAAGGAAATAGGTACATTGGACGGTATATACCATCTCACGGTGGCGTACTAAAAGGGGTCCATGTAATAAGTGTGACGACAAGGGTAACAGTCCTAGGAGGAATCTTGGAGATGACGTTGCAGGGACTAATAATTCGACGAAGCAGAAGGCAGTGCCAAAAACCGAGAGACGGATAGCATAGGGTCCAGATGAAGAGGAGTAAGTTCTAGTCGGAAAGGGTCGAGGCATGGCATGACATAAATGCCACTACCGTGCGGATGACGTGCAGCTCGTGCGCGTGCATTAATGAAGACGTGGCGAGATTACAACAATGTGCCGAGGGCAGCGAGAATCGCGGCGGCAGCCGTGCCGGCCGCCAACAACGCGTTGTTGGTGGCGACAGACGCCGCGCCACCTGTTGGATTCGTGGTGCCGCCGCTAGCGTTGCCGCTAGCAGAAGCTTGTGCAGAGCCAGCCGCGCCGGTCGCTGAAGGTGCGTTGGAGACTGTAGATTACGGAATGAGCGATCGAGCTAATTTCGAGACAAAACAATATGGCGTGCACTTACAGGAACTGGTGGGCAACGGGTGCGTCGTGTTGTCGTTTGTCTCAAGGTAGCCATCCGCCAAGGTGAAGCCTAGGCATTCGATGACGGGCTTCAGGGTAAGCTTGGGCTGGAACGCGAGTGCAGCGGGAAGAATATAGCCTACTGCCATGTCGACAGTCTGCGCGAAAAGATCATGCTCAAGCACAATGAAGCCCGTGTTGATGATGGTCGCGTTGCCCATGATATTTTCCCAGTTCAGGAGCACCTGCGAGGGAGAAATCGTGTCACCAGGGATGTTGAAGTCTGCAGGGCGGTAATTAAGCGGGGTTAGAATAAGGACACGGGGCAAGGACTTCTCGGTACGTTACCGCCAGTGTCGAAAGTCACCGTAGGGCTGACGCGTGTCCAGATGATGGTCTCCAAGCCCATGGCCGTGGCGATAGCGCGTACACGGTTATCGACGTCACCGTAAGGGGGGCGCCAGCAAAGAGGAGTCACACCAAGGACATCCTTGATGACCTTTATCGACCAGCCGAGCTCCGCGATTATCTCCTCATTGGTAAGAGTGGTCATGTATGGATGGGACCAAGTATGGGCGCAAATCTGGTTACCGGCCATGTATTCTTCCTGGAGGATAGCAGGATAAGAGATGACACGAGAGCCGATGCAGAAAAACGTCCCCGTAAGGTCGTTCTGGTTGTAGTACTGCAAGAGGTTGGGTGTGTACGGAGAGGGACCATCATCATGAGTGACACCCCAAGTGAGCTTGGTGGGGCAGGTCGTGATGTCAGTGCTAGCGGTGCAACCAGTACATGTCCACCAGCACAAAGTCTCGTTAGAAGCGAGCTCGAGGTTGGCGGGGCAGCCACCGGGCTGAGTGGGCTGGAAGTCAGGGATCGCAATACCAGAGTTCTGGACATCTTGAATCCATTGCTGAACCTGGGGCGAATCAGTCGGAGGGGTTTTATCCAACGCTGGGTAATTAGCGGGGGATAACGTCTGCCCTGCAAAGAAGCGTCAGGCAGCGCGCGAAGGAATTAGATGAATGGGACACGTACAGTTGGGCATGGGTGGGGCATTAGGGATGCCCGTTGGCGTGCTGCCGGCGGGGAAAGTCGTGGTTGCACCTAGCGTCGACTGAGTCGTGATAGTCCCAGGCACGATGTCTGACAGTGGGATCGCGGTCGGGTTGACGGAGGGGAGAGACCATGATACTGTGGGCAAGGTGCTGAAGCTGCTCGCGACGCTAACGCCTGGGGCGTATCCGGGAACGGAAAACGTGCTAGAGGTAGCTGCTGAGCCTGAAGAGGCAGGGCCCTGGCGGGGGAGATTGGGTTTGTGGGCAGCGATGGTAGGGAGGGCGGCGGCGGCGGCGGCTGCGAGGACGGGAAGCTTCATTGTGCGACTGTCGAACGTTGAACTTTTGCCGGTAAGGAGCGTTGGGGGAAGGGAAGGGAAAGCTGAGCCCCGTGAGAGCGAGCAAGCAATCTGTTCGAAGCGAGGGATTTATACAAGAGAACAAACAAGGAAGGCGCAGAAGACCGTCCCAAGCGGCAGCTCGGCACCGCGAGCGCTTAATCACTCTCTCGGGCGGCTCATATGACCAGCCAGGGCTAATCTTACGGGCGAATGGGCTCCGCTCATTTCTCTTCGGCCGCATGCCCAGAGTATGCCTAGGCAGAATACTCAGACAGGCAACACCGTCGGAGCAAGTACAACAGAGACCTATACTCAAACATGCAGCACCGTCGAAGCACTCGAATAGCCGCACTGCAAGTACATCGGAGACCTGCCACACTCACACCTTCCGCTTCTTCACCCGAGGCTTCTCGAGGTCGATCTCCGCATCCTCCTCGTCATCGTCCTCCTCGTCCTCCTCATCCTCAGAATCCACCTCTGCGCCACTCTTCTCCCCCAAAAAGTACTCGATCGCCTCGGGGTACACGTCGTGTGCAACATTCACGCCGAGCTGCGCGCCCGGGGATCAAAAACGTGAGTTGGCAACGCAAAAATAGGCAGACACCGCAACGCACATCGAACGGGTCGTCCGCGAACCCAAAGTAGTTGAAGAAGGAGCCGCCGTCTGACGGCATCTCGTCGTCGGCATCATCGACAACACGCGGGTAAAGTTTCGTCAGGTTGTGCGCGTCGTCCTTCCAGTCAATCTTGCATGCCTGCAAAGCGCGTCAAAGCTAGTCCTTGCCCCCTGAGCAACCGAATAGCGGACCTGGGGCTCAACGTCGCGCTCCCAAGAGAATTCGAACATCGCGTCCGTGATGCCATTCTCGTCGGGCTCGCCCTGCTTAGCACCCTCGGACTGCACATACTTGTACTCCTTCTTTAGCACCGTATTCGAGAAGAACGGATTCTCCTTGAAATGCTACATATCCCTCCCGTTTCAGCTCACGTTCTGGCACGGTGCCACCGGGCCACTCACGAACTCAATGGTGAAAGCCCGGAACTCCTTCGGGTTGCGCACAACCCAGAGATCCTCGAGGTACGCGAGCGCAACCTGGTCGAGGTTGTGTTGGCAGTGGATGGCGAACATCTCGTGGTTCATGAGTGCAACAGGCCAGAACTTTTGGATCGCTTTCACGACTGGGCGGCGCTTTTCGTACACAGGCTGCATCTTTTCTGCCGCCTGACGCTCTGTGCCGTGATCACCCCTTTTAGTTATTTTCTAGAGAAGTGCGAACAACGCAGGAGGAACGCACCAACGGCGAGCTCGACGCGATGGTAGCATTTCTGGAGCTCCTGAAGCTTGACGGCATCCTCGTCGGTGATATCGACATCGCCCAGAGGGTTCTTCTCCTCCTCGGCACCAGGAGAGGCACGCTTGACACCCTTTCCGCTCATCGTCTCTGGTGGGGGAACGAAAGATTTCTGGCGTGAGCAAAGGAAACTGGGGCAAACAATGCGAGAAAGTTGGGCGTTGGTGATGGAGAATGCCACGTGGGTGATGGCATCACGTGCATGACGCGTCTACTGATTCAAGAATAATAGCATTGCAGCATCTAGAGTACCCACGAACACAATCCACAACGAGAGGAAGAGCGCCCACAAACCAGAGACAACGAGCCTCAGTCAATCCTATGTTTCTCTCCCATCTCAATCTGCCCCAGCTTACTACCAGCCCGTTTGTGGTTCAGGAATGCTTTCTCGTTCGCGCGAGCAGGATCCAGCGACGGGATACCGAAGCCAATCCCGTGGCGTCCAGAGCGGAAGCCAGGGCCGTCATAATGCACAATGTCGGAGAGCGGTAGAAGACGGGGCCAGTTGACGTATTCGATACCGTGGATAACGATGAAGGCCAGTGAGATGGCGACAAGGATGAACCAGAGCAGGAAGTAGTAAAAGAGAGAGTAATCTGTAGAGGCTGCTGTCAGGTCAATGGCTCTGACTGCCCACAAGAGACGTACCAGAGGTGCGGGGTAGCGTGAGGCCTGCGAAGATCATGAAGATCGAGAACCACAACACGTACGGCATCTGGAACGAATGTCCAGAGGTTCGATAAATACCGTCGCAACGGCAATGTTATGGCGTGCTTACCGCGCGTGTTGCGAGCGGCCGGCGATCTGAAACCAGTGTTTGCGGAGACCAACCTCGACGGGGCGTCCAGGTGCCTGTCATGAGGTCGAACGCGTCCTACACATCAATTGCAATATAATGCTTGTCAGTCATACGATGTCCGTGCAGGGCAGCAGAGGTGCATACCTGACGCGCGCCGTCAAAGAAGTTGTTCTTTAAATAGCGCATGATGGATTTGTAGCCATCTTCCAACAGCCCGAGCTTCGTGCGCTTGCCGGTGCGGGTAAAGTCTGTCTTCAAGGCACCAGTACCGCTGTACGCGATAGAGATCTCGTTGGCATGGTCGGACCACACTGCGTAGACGCCATTAGTAATGGGGTCATTGTACATTTAGAGCACGTTTGCGGGACCCACTTTCACGGAAGTCCCTGATGAGTTCCTCATAGCTATCAATCGCCTCGTGTTCGTTCAGAATGCCGAGCTCTCTGAGCTGCCTGTTCAGAGTCCACTTCGCGAGCGCGGCTTGAGCAACATTCGTGCGATCGAGGTTGTCCATACAGTTCGTGCGGATGGTGCCCTTCTGGAGCTGAACAGGTTCAGGCTTCCTCGAATCCAGGTGGAAATAACTACGACATCCATTAGCATAACTGGAGGATTTTATTGGACATACTCACCCCTGTCGTTTGAGGTCTTCCTCCAATTGCTCGATGAGCACGCTGATGCGGTCCCACCGCATGTGCTTACACTCGCTATGGAAGTCGAAGTACTGATACCGCACTTGTGAAAGGTTGAGCTGCTGTATTGGGATTAGCCTTGTTGGGGGAAAATAATATTGCCGCATGATACCTCGCGTATCGTCTGTTCGTAAGCATCCTTCACCGGCTTCTCATAGCCCTGGTGGTTAACAAGGCTGACAAGGCTCGTCTCGCCGTACGTTGAGACCTGCTCTTCGAAGTGCTTCTTCGCAGCGTCTAACTGGTGATATGCTGTTAGTACCCTGTGAGGATACGAGAGTCACGCTACGTACCGTATCCTGCAGACTCATGATTTGTAAATCCGGCTTATACCGAAGGGTGTTGATCTCCGCCCAGAAGAGGGGGATACTGCCTCGAATTTGCACAAAGCTGAGTTGCGCGTTCACTTCATCGCTGCTATCTTGGCTGGGTTCATCCACAAGCACCATCTGCTCAGTCTCGACGAAATTGGCGACGTGTCCTTCATGGTCGATGCCGCGTCGGAAGTAGCGTGTGCCCGCACGGTAGCGCGAGCGGCGGCTCATGAGGCACAAGCGGATATGATGTCCGTTGACCCTTGCAGGGCGTATGTCGAAAGCTGTACGTGGTAGCCAGTAAGTTCTTACTTGTGGGACATCTGAGTCTTACTCACTGCCATAAATTACCGGGAGAATGTACGGGCTGAGCTGTGAGTATCGATGATTAAGCAGCTGGCAAGACATATCCATATCTTGCAGTACTCACGTTTTGGTCCCCGCTAGAGTATGTTACGTCTATCAGACGCGTTTGAAGGAACCTGTAGGCCGAGAAGACCATTCAGATTGGGCTTTATAATGCGGCGACCCCAACTGGCGTACTTGTTCCAGAAGAACCGATCATCCGCCTGAGTTATAAAGTAGGTTAGGTCTCTGACGCGCTGCGATAGAGTCAATATCCTCACAACTTCCCATAACGCTTTCCCAGCGTCATCGTCGAGAGTCTGCCATTGGGCTTGCAGTCTGCGGGTGAGGTCCCAGCCGTAGCTATACAGAAAGTAACCTCCGTAGAGATGCGAGCGAACAAGTGCCAGGAGGTGCGATTCGACTGCGGATGGGGGAGTCTGTACGGAGACGTCTGGGTTCAGCGGAAGAATGTCGTAGTCCGTGGCGCGGTAGACATTGTGTCCCATGAAGCGGCCACGTAATTCTCGGCCGGTGATGATGATGATGTACTCCGCTAGATACGCCGCTTAGGTAGACCCGACTGCGGAGGGACAGGGACGTACACATCACCAGTGTGACCATTCCGAGGATTCCATATATCGTCTTCCCAGAGCGTTCAGACGTCGCGGGAAGAGGGGTATTTGGAGCTAGCACACACATGAAATGTTGTGCTTGAGATAGACGAGCGAAACTCACAATTGAGGACGATATCACCCGAGTTCCTGTAGATTGTCAGCGAGCGTGCACCAACAGGCTCGGCTGGAACGAATGTATATGTTTCGTTTCCATTGGTGTATCTACAACCATATCAGGACATTCAGTTGGTGCATACTTTACGAGACATACAGGCTAAGTCTCTGGTGTAGAGTCTTCATAATGTCAGGCAGCAGGCAGGAGGTGGTTCGTGCTTGAGAGTGCGGTAGCGGCGCTTGAAGGACACGCCTGTTTCGTCCGCCATTCCATCACCTCAACCTGGAGGCATACGCCTGGCCGCGGACGGTCACAGCATAACCCAGCACGATGGTTAAGCTCACACCGGAGCTTATTCAGTCTGTAGACTCTACGCTAAACCCCGTCAAGGAGCGGCAACTCGATTTGCGAGGTACGTCGCGCCTCTACTCGACTGCACGTATTTGACGAAACGGCCCGAAGGGTACACCATATCTGCCATCGAAAATCTTGGTATCACCAAAGTGCGTCTGGTTCATGTGTATTCTAATCAACGGGCAGCGCTGAAGGCTCCATGTAGGACACCCATGACTGCATAGACTTCACCGACAACTCCATTCTCGTTCTGGGTAACATTCCCTTGCTCCGCAGGCTACGCACCTTGCTCCTCGCCAACAACCGGATAGCCTCCATCTCTCCCTCTCTACATCTCTCTGTTCCAAACCTGACGACTCTCGTGCTCACGAACAACAACCTCGCTGAGCTTGGCGACCTTGAACCACTCAAAGATGTCAAAGGGCTCCTATACCTCTCGCTGTTGGGGAACCCCGTACAAGAGAAGAAATGGTACCGCGGGTGGCTTGCCTGGCGTATCCCCAGTCTAAGAGTTTTGGATTTCCAGAGAATCCGACAGAAGGTTTGGCCCCAACCCTCTCCGTGCGAAGAGCAACATAACTCACTGTACCTCATAGGAGCGAGACGCGGCAAAGGCGCTGTTCCTCACCGCTGACGGACTGCCTACGCAACTTGCAACGACATTGTCGACAACAGTCTCAACACACACAAAGGCACCTGTGGCCATCGACGAACCGAAGCCCATGGTGGCACCAGGGAAAGCTGGTCGGCTAATGTCGAAGGAAGAGGCGCAGCGAGTGAAGGAGGCCATTGCAAAAGCGACGTCCATTGAGGAGATCAGGAGGTTGGAGAGGAGTTTGCGGGAAGGTTTCTTGCCAGACATGGACAGTGTCGGCGCGTAACATACCTGTTCACGCTCATCAGCGTTGTACTAGGGTTGTATATCTTAGTGCGCTCCATGTCACGCCACGTATATGTATTCGTGCTCATATGTTTTACATTTGCAAAGGAAATTTGCGCATGTGGGTTTGTTCATCAAGCCTAAGCTTATAGCTTGCCGAGACCCTTGGTACCGATCCATAGGCCATGGAAAAGGAGAGCGATGTTGGCAAATAGATTGAGTAACGAACTGATGCCATGCAACTGAGCGAACTTCGAGTTCAGAGCCTTCATCTCCGCAGAAACCTGTAGAAGGAGAGATTCAGATTTCAGTTCTATCTCATATCTGGTCACACGTACTCCGGCATCATTGTACGCCTTACCCTCATTCTTCTCCATTTTGTGGCGTTGGAACATCGTCCTAGGCGCAAGATCTGTCAATACATCTTTCGGCCACCGAAAAGACGACACGTTACACGTACTTGCTTGTCAGCGGACCTATGACAGCTTGGTTTACGAGCTGAGAGACCATGATGGTCCCAAGCGTGTACGCTTGCACAACGTCCGCGAGCTTGGGGTTCGTGAAGCTCGAGATGACGTGGGGATGTCCGCTCGTCCAGAGTAGCAGGAGACCGCTTGAGAGCAGGATAGAGATATTGAAGTACCATGGGAAACTGCGATGCTGGAGTGCTCCAAATTGCTGGCGGGCTGCGCACCGAATGAGAGGACGTCAGCGAGCTTGACAGGTCACGTACGCAAAGCCTTGAATGCAATGAAACCTCCTATGAAGGTCACCCAGATCGCTGTACACGACGTCTTTCAGCAAGAGGCAGTCTGTGACATATGCAACACTTACACATTCCCAGGAGCCATCCATACCCAAGGATGTAGAGTCCCCGAAGGCTGAGGACCTCGAGGAGCGAGTCGACACTCAATACCTCTGGTTTGTCAAACGCGGTTCCGGACATGATGGCCAAGTGGCGTGCCAAAAAGACCAAGTGAAACTAGCCTTATATATGCACCTGCTCTTGTGTACACAGAATCTCGACTGTCATCTGGATCACCTAACCGGGGCAGCCGGGACCCGGCGAGGTTGAAGTGACAACACAGCATTGCTTCTCGTGTGAGTTGGATGCCGAAGCCCATTCCGGCCTGCAGTTAGCAAGACATTTGATTCAGAGTGAATTTCAGAAGTGATTGGTCGACGTGGAGGCAGAATACAGGAGTGGTGGGTAATGGCACAGCAGCAGCGCAATATGGAGTCAACGCCTTAAAAACGAGTTTATGGTCTCAGAGCTGTGGTCGAGGCGCGATGTCAAGAGACAACGCCAACGCGGGTATTAGGTTCACCGCCAGTCGGCAAGAGAGCTCATCATACCCATCGGCCCGCCCATAAAGCCCATGCCGCCCATCGGTCCGTGGCCAGCACGGCCCATCCCCCTCCGTCGGCTGGACCCCATAGCACCGCGGTCCTCCCTGTTTGCAGTGAGGACGACATGACGATCGACAAGCTATTGGTGACATGTCAGGCAGATGATGAGATAGGGTGATAGATGTACTCGCATCGTTCAAAATGCTCGCCGACTTGGTGAGGGCCGATAGATAGGCTGTGAGTTGGACATCCTCATATTCCTGTAACGGGATGTACGTTAGTGATACGGATCGCAAGTTGATAACGTTCACGTACTGTGTCGAATTCCTTGCGGAATTCCCTGTTCTCGCTCGCAGGGAGCGATGCAATGAGGGCCGATAGTGAGCGTAGAGTTGCATGGTCCTTTTGGGCAGATCCTTGCATGACTTTTTAGCTCCTCCAGCGGAAGCATTTATGCCGCAGGTGCATACCTGCAATGACATCCGTGACATACTTCACCAGAAGCAAGATACGATCGTGAAGCATCTTCACGGCGGCTCTTTGTGCCTGAAGGTGAGATTCCACTAAGTTGTTTTCAGCCCATGGTTATTTATTGCCGAAAAGACGCACTGTCACTCACAGCTTGTTCCACCAGACCCTCCCTTAGCAGTCCAGTCCACGGCAATTCGTTCAGCTTCGCCAGTCTCCACAGTGTAGGGTGCTTCAATAAACACTGAACGAGTCTTGCGATCTCGAATTTCGATTGTTGGCTCATACGCTTTGAAGGGCAAGGACTGAGCATCCGAGATGAAGACTGACGATGGCTGCAGCATAAGTAGCAGTGGCGTCGAGCTGTACGCTGTGAACTAAGCAGGGGCTCGCATCAGAAATACAGCCGCGTGTGGAATAATATACACACTTGTTCATGAAGCACAATATGTTGTGCGGTGGGATGAGATGCAACGGTGTACCACCCAATGAACTCGAGGGATGGGAAGACTTGCTTGTCTATGTCGGACTCATCAGTTTAGCATACTTTACTTATAGAAGGTGGATCCACATTGTTCTTTCCGCGAGACCAAAAAGCCTGAATCAATGGTCTCTCCATCGCTCTCCATCGCGAGTTCGAAGCTGTTGACAATCTCGACTTCACGGCCAGTTTGAGTACCAAGAAGCGCTCCGACAACTGCGTAAGTCGCGCAATTGCACATCAATGACTTTGATCCTCCAGCACAGTCCTTGCTACGTACCAAAGGGTGAGTTGGACCTCGTCTGGAGCTTCATACGAGTAAGGTGCTCCGATATGTTCAAGATGGGCAAGGGATGTCTAATGGATTGGGACCTAATGAGACAGATAGAGAACTTAGATAGGTGCTCACAATGCCAATGAGAGACCGCTAGTTGTCGTTGAAGGGAGTACAACTGGAAGATCATCTGTGTCCATCTGTGCCGCCATGACTGATATAGAGAGCGAATACGGTAATATCAATCGCGAGGATGAAAGTATGTAACTAGCATTAGGTTGTGTTAGCATACTAGTTAATCCTGCACATATCTACACACCTAGGTCGAGTAAAGATGGTGTTACTGCAGACAGCAGCGTGGAGGAAGAGCGAGAGGCTGTTACAAGGAAGCGCGCTTGACGCGTTCTAATGGGCGCTTATTTGCACTGGAGATGACGTGAAGAGTAGACGTCTTATACTTATAAGTTATGAAGCTATGTGAAAGACTCATTGCACCAAACATAAGAAAAGCCTATGACTTGGTCAAGCCGCTGATTGAGAAACAGCAGAAAAAGAAGTAAAAAAAGACACAGCCACATACCCAACAACAATAGTAAAATTTTCCCATTAGCCGACTCGAACGACTGACCTCGTCATTACTAGTGACGCGCTCTACCAGCTGAGCTAAACGGGAGTTACCTAGGGCGGTATATTGAGAATTAACATCTTGCAGACCACGAACGCGCAACGGTCTGCCCTAAAGATACTCTACGCGCCGACGCGTTTCTCTTGGTCCCCACGTCTGCCCCTCGCTCCGTTCAAGTACAGCTACCTGCCCGACCATCTTTTTCACTCAGCGTCAATGTCGGGCTTTGACGCAGACAGGATCTATTCCATTGCCGTGCACGATGCACCTGACCCTGTCGCACCTGAAAAGCCTTCGGAGACCGAGAGGCTCTTTCTCGAGTTTTTGCTTCAGTATCGTGTCGGTAGCGAATTCATCTACAGGTGTGTGAACAGCTTTTCTACTTTGATTTAAACGTGCTGATTCGTGTATCAGAGACAACCTGCGCGCGAATCTGTTGTTGAAGCAACACCAGCTAGAAGTTGATTTGCGACATGTTGGCCTATTCAATGACGAGCTTGCGCATGCTATCCAGGAGAGACCAGCGGAGATTCTTCCATTAGTGCGTGCACTAAAGACCTTCTATTCGGCTTCTTTGACATTGGTCAATAGTTCGAGACTGCTGCGACCAAGGCAGCACGCATGATCCTATTCCCATTGGCTGGCGGATCGGATAACGCTGCCGAAGCCGCAACCCAATCCATCCCTAACATTCAAATTCTCATCAAGTCTGGCATGAACCTTCAACAATTTCGCGATCTGTCTGCGAATACCATGAACAAGCTTGTCCGCATCCCTGGTATCGTGATCGCCGCCTCTGTTCTCTCATCCAGAGCCACGAAGCTTCATCTTCAGTGTCGTGCATGTCGCTCAACGAGAATAATCAACCCGCCTGGGGGCCTGGGAGGTCTCGGCGGGGGATCGGATAGGGGCTTACCCCGTATTTGTGACGCACCGGAGCAAGAAGGACAGAGGAAAGACTGCCCCATGGACCCATATCTTATCATTCACTCCAAGTCCGCATTCACAGACCACCAAACGTTGAAGCTCCAAGAGGCACCGGACATGGTGCCCGTCGGAGAGCTACCAAGGCACATGATTTTGTCCGCCGACCGATATCTGACGGGACAGGTTGTCCCCGGTTCACGAGTTATTGCCACTGGCATTTATTCGACTTTTCAGTCGTCAAAGAATGTGAGTGCTTACGCTTCTTCATATCGGATATGATACTGACCGTCCTATCGTCTTCAGAAAGGTGCTAGTGCAGCAGCCCTTCGAACACCATACCTTCGTCTCGTCCACCTTGAGGTGTCTACACCATCTGCGGGCGGGACAGGTGCCCTCAATCCATTCGGTGTGCAGTTCACGCCAGAGGAGGAGGAAGAGTTCGGCGAGATGGCGCGAAGCGAGGGCTTCTATGAACGTTTTGCGAAGAGCGTCGCACCAAGTATCTTTGGCAGTCTGGGTGCGTTCTAATAATATCTGGGTTTCTGTCGTAATTCACACCCGAGGATAAAGACATAAAGAAGGCAATCACTTGCTTGCTGTTCGGTGGATCGAAGAAGGTGCTGCCGGACGGTATGCGGCTACGAGGTGATATCAATGTTCTCCTTCTCGGTGATCCAGGTACTGCCAAGTCACAGCTTTTGAAGTTCGTGGAGAAGGTATGAAATGGTGTGACTACGCAGAATGAACGACACAGGCCTAATATTCTGACAGGTCGCGCCTATAGCGGTTTACACTTCAGGCAAGGGTTCTAGTGCAGCGGGTCTGACAGCCTCGGTTCAGCGCGACTCTGTCTCGGTACGCCTTTCCTTTTCCAGTTTTATGTACTTGGCTGATGGCCATTTTACAGCGTGAGTTCTACCTTGAGGGTGGTGCTATGGTTCTTGCCGACACCGGTGTCGTTTGCATCGATGAGTTCGACAAGATGAGAGACGAGGACCGTGTCGCAATCCACGAGGCCATGGAGCAGCAAACCATCTCGATCGCGAAGGCCGGTATCACAACGGTTCTCAACTCGCGCACGAGTGTTCTTGCGGCGGCGAATCCGGTCTGGGGTCGCTACGACGAGGGGCGAAGTCCGGGCGAGAACATTGATTTCCAGACTACGATCCTATCTCGGTTCGACATGATCTTCATTGTAAAAGATGAACACAATGAACAGCGCGACCGGGTATGTTTCCTCTCATGTTCAAATAGCTGGTACTAACACCAATGCGTTCTAGATGATCGCGAAGCACGTGATGAATATTCATATGAACCGACCGAACCAGAGTGCCGATGAGAATGGCGACGCCGTGGGCGAGATCGACATCGACAAGATGAAGCGCTATATCTCCTACTGCAAAGCGTGAGCCCTTCGACCCGGACCGAGTAATGAAAACTAAATTGGTGGTCGCAGTAAATGTGCTCCGCGGCTGTCCGCTGAGGCCCAGGAGATGCTGAGCAGCCATTTCGTGTCTCTGCGCAAGCAGGTACAACAAGTCGAGCGAGACAATGACGAGAGAAGTTCGATCCCAATCACGATTCGGTAGGCCATTCCTTTGCCATTGTGATCTCGTGTATTGAATACCTTTGCAGTCAACTCGAAGCCATCATCCGCATCTCTGAATCTCTTGCCAAGCTTACCCTGTCCCCGGTAGTGCAGAACCACCACGTCGAAGAGGCTATTCGCCTGTTCAAATTTTCAACTATGAATGCCGTCGCTGCTGGCTCTGCAGATGGGCTCTCGCGAGGTGAGCTCAACGAAGAGATGCAGACCCTCGAGAAGGAGATCATAGATCGGTTACCCATGGGCTGGAGTACAAGCTATCAAGCCCTCGTCAAGGAGTTTACAACCAACAAAGGATTTTCTTTGCATGCCCTTGAGCGTACATTATACGTCATGGAAAAGCGGGAGCTCCTTAGATTCTCAGGACATGTAAGTCTCATCTCATCCACGATGTCGATACTGAAGCTGATGGCTTGCCACAGAAAAAAGTTGTACATCGTATCGGCGTTTGACTTTAGTGGCTTTCAATCTCCCTTCGTTGCTACTGTCGATAGATATATCTGCTTTCCGATTACATATGTTGTACTCATGGTCTATACTACCCTCGTTCTCATACGCTTAGAAGTGTTTGCGGTGATGAGCTGAACATATACGCTCAAAGTGCGGGACGAGTATCGCCCGCTTATACCTATCGTCCTCGCAGGCTAGCTAATGCCAGTGAGAGCTGGTCAGGTAGGAGCTATGTGCCTTTTATTCTGCACTTGCATGCGATTTGTATGCCGTACTTTGATTTTCAATGTCACTCCACGTAACATCCAAGCACACCATCCGTGACCATCTGATCCTTTGCGTGATTTCTGAAGCAGTAACTCTAGATCGGTGAATTGGCGTCTAACGCCACAAGGCCATCGGTGCCAAGCCTCGGCGGTTTCGCTCTGGGGTCGTCTCTTTCCCCAATCCTCTTGAGCCTTCAAGGCTTCACATGCAGAGGCAGCCCACGATAACACGAAGATGATCCACGCAGTACTCATCTGTCCGGCTCCTTCGCCTCTGTCTCTCGATAGTCGCTCATCGTTTTGCTTCTCGCCGCGTAGTTAACACCTCGGGCGTGCCCCGCCTCACCAAATTCTACACGCCGCTGCAGCAGTCTGCGCGGACACTCGTGGGCAAGATCTTCGGCCTTATCTCCGTGCGCCAGGCGAGCTTGTGCAACTTCCTGGACGCACCCGAGCTCGAGAGCTTCCTCAGTCAGAGCACGGAGGACGGCGAGAAGCTACGGGTCGTGTACCGAAACTATGCGACTCTGTACTTCGTGTTTCTCGTGGACTCGGCGGAAAGCGAACTAGGAATCTTGGATCTGATTCAGGTGCGCACCATATTGCGTACGTGTGCTACCCGTCGCTGACGGTATACACAGGTTCTCGTCGAGTCGCTCGACCGTGCCTTCGAGAACGTGTGTGAGCTTGATCTTGTCTTCCACTTCGACGAGGTGCGCGAGTTCCGTGCATTCGAGCGTGTTCTACCTCACACATGAAGTAAAGGTGCACCACATATTATCAGAGATCATTCAAGGCGGGCTCGTTTTGGAGACGAATGTAGAAGAAATCGACAATGCCGGTGCGTCTATACTCGTGAAGGTTGTACTACACACGATACAGATCCTCCTATCCCCACAGTACAAAATGCAGCAAAAGCAAGAAAGGAGTCATTTGCATCTTCAAACCCGCTGTCCCTTGGTTCTGGTGGTGTCGGGTCGCGTGGTGCAGGCCTGCAAACACCACTCGGTTGGCTCACGGGAAAGCTAACGGGCGTTGGCGCACGATAGTTGGGCTCACAAGTTCTATTCGCATCACTAGAGAGACATTCAACTACACTGAACTTGTACTCTGCTGCATCTCAAGCGTTCGAATGTCCACAAGGAGACGATATGTAGGCATCGAAGCTACATATCAGCGCCAGAAATACTGGCATTACTGGCCCACAAGGATTTTCCGGTACGCAGAAGACGATATTTGAATGTCTTACCACGAGTGTTTTGCCGACAATAGTAATACGATGCCGTACGCGAGGTAGCAGAAGCGTGGGAGAGGGTGTGGGGACCTCGCCGTCATGCCACATGCCGTCGAGATGCCGCACAGCTGCACTGGGAATTCGCGCTAGATATCTGGAAATACTGCCACGGATGCCTGGCAGCGAGGCTAGGTGACCACGATAGACCCGCCTGCACCATGAGAGATTATCGTTGACTAGGCACATTATCAGATAATGATACTTACGTTTCTCTTTCTTCTTTTTCTTGATACCTCCGGCGGATCCTTTCACGGATGATGTGTCCTGGGACGGTTTGGGGGTGCCATCATGCTGCGACGGTGCAGGCGTGGCAGAGGAACGTCCGGCAGTGGCTGATGCGGGGGTCTCAGGGACAGCACCGTCTGAGACGGCTGTCGGAAGAGTGAACGCTTTGTTGGCGTGCAGAGCAGTGGTCCGCATCGCATTCAACATCAGCATGTTGTTCTGTTTACGCTTCCCGCCTTGCACAGGAGTCTGGTGATTGGCCGGTTTAGATGAGGTATCGCTGAGGGCTTGTGACGCCTGAGTGTCGTCCCCTGCGTCCAATCCGCGTTTCCTGCTCGAGTCAGTCGTCGTGGGCTCCTTGATTGGCCAGATGAATCCCGTGCGAGGCGTGTACGCCGGTCGGTGTTGTCGGAGAGTGTCCAGAGACGTTTGAAGGGAATTCAACGAAGTGAGCTGAAAGTATAGACAAATTAGGACAGGCGGGTCCGGGAGCGAGATGCGATACGCACGAGACGATTAGAGACGAGGGTATATACGTCCGGGCTCTGGTATATCCGGTTGTTCATGATGAAATACGCCACGAGCGGGCGAACTTGGTCGCACAGATCATCAATCTAGAAGGTAACGCTTATGCGTCTATCAAACGCACCGTACCTTCGTCTGGCGATAATCGTTCTCGCTTGTGGATGATGAACAGAGATGGGGGCTGAGCGTGTATAACGGCGAACTCTATGCCTGTGAAACGTCTGCAGGAGAATGGTAGGCGAGTGCATAAGCGTCTTAGTCGCAGTTTACGGTTGAAGGCTCGCAGTGACGTCTCACCTGAGTTCTTCTGCCTCGTTAAGCAATGGCTGGCCAGTGTGCATGGTCTGCATGCGCAGGACTTGGTTGTTACTCTGCTTGTCGTAGAACATGCTAGACGCAAAATAGTCAAAGACATTCTCATTGGTCAAAGGCCCGTTGGCCTGGGTCAAAAGTGTGAACAAACCGAGCAAGGGGTAATTAGGTACACCTGACCTGTATCCATTCGTGCCATATGAAGAACCTGTGGCTATAGTCGTCAGGCGGGTGGAGGTCATTGAGATCCATGTCGTCGCAAAAGCCTGCCCTGCGCTGAATGCGACTGCCAAACCGAGTGTTGAGGTCGGCGTCGGGGGTAATGGACGCTCTCGGGAGAGGTCCGACAGCGTGGATGGATATGAGCGAGTTCCCACGGGTGCACTCAATTGGGCGCCTGTCATTTTCCGCAGGGTTTGGCTGCGACTGCCAGTTCGGTCCGCCTTGAGCTGCCATTTGGCCGAGCGAAGTGGGAACGACGCTCTGGGTCGACATAGAGACGATACCGTAGTTTTGTTTCCACCCGCTCTCCTGGTACCGACAAGTACCCTGCCAACATGCTCGCAGTCGCAGATGGCCCCCGACTCCCTAACCCCACTACCCACACATCATGCCCCCGCTCGCAGAGCAAACGTCTGCGGAGGGCGTGCAGGTCCCAGACCAGGGCACCGAAAACAAAAAATATGAGTCTCCGGTCGTCCGTAGCGCACGTGCAGTGTTTCGCCATGTCAAACACCATGTACGTTCTTCAGCCTGTACTTTTTGTAGACTGTTCTGAGTCCAATGTTTACGTAGGTGGGGGTCGGTATCGTCTGTTCCGTGGCGTACTTCGATCCGTAATGTTCCTGTCCCATGGTTATGTCGAGGGAAGCACTAACCCAAATGTATTGGCCAGGGGTAACTGGAGCGTTGATCTCCAGGCCGGATCTGAGTTTGGGTACAGACCTTTACTCTTCGTTGTCCTCTTGGCGGGACTTGGGGCCATTATCTTGCAGGTTTGTTCGCCGTTGGCATGTCTTTCCAACGGACGTCTGAAAATTTCCCAGTCCCTGGCCTGCAAACTGGGATGCGTAACGGGCGTCGATTTAGCCACACACTGCCGCCTGCTCCTTCACGACCGTCCCAAGCACCGAAGGCTAATCCGATATGCAGCGCTCTATCCGCTGTATATCCTCTGTGAGATTGCTATCGTTTGCACTGACTTGGCCGAATTGTTGGGATCTGCCATTGGTCTCTGCATGCTGTTCCCTACGCTCCCGCTATGGGCCGGCGTGCTTGTTACCGCGGGAGACGTCTTGATTTTCCTCGTTGTGGGAGGACCGTCACGATACGGCAAGCCAGCCAAGGTGTTCGAAGCCACGATCATGTTACTAGTAAGGAACTCTAAACACTACGTATGTTGTGGCTCACTTGTCTTCCAGGTCCTTGCGGTCTTCGCCTGTTTCGTCTTATTGCTAGTCAAGGTTCATCCCAACTGGCCTCAAGCGTTCCTTGGCTTCGTACCGTCGGCAGAGCTCTTCGATACGCACACTGATGCATTATATACAGGTACGACTGGAGACACACTAAACGTTGATGATGATCTCATGTACACGACAGCTGTGGGCATCCTAGGCGCAACAGTTATGCCTCATGCACTGTTCTTGGGTTCCTTCATGGCAACGCAAGATAGAGTGGGGATTGCCGCCCCTTCACTGCCTCCTCCAGCATTATCACCGGAGATGTCCAATCCGGACGTAAGAGCGCGATTCAAGAAATGGTTCGCTTCCCTGTTCGAAGTCTCGCGCGCAGAGCGCAAGGCTCTTTCGCGGGACTACCGGATGAAATATGACAGGGAAAACAATGGTGTCGACTTCATTCGAGCACACCTGAAACACGGTATCGTCGACATAGTCGCCAGTTTGCTGGGTGTTGCCGTCCCTATCAATGCAGCGTCAGTGCCCTGCTTAAATTCATGACGGGACAATGTCGGGGCTAATATTTCCATGACTCGCATAGGATACTCGTGGTAGCCGCCGCCGTATTCTTCGCGGGCGGCACAGGATCTATGGTCCCTGCAGGGCTGTTCGATGCTTACGACCTGATAGTACAGCGCGTCGGCCATGGTGCGTCCATTCTCATCCGTGCAAAGAGAATTCAGGCTGAGACGTCTCTCAAGCCGCTGGTATCATCTTTGCGCTGGCACTTCTCAGCTCGGGACAGTCGTCTAGCATCACGGCGACGCTTGCCGGCCAAGTGGTCTCCGAGGGCTTCATCGAATGGAGGATCTCAGTGAGCGCACTCCGACATTGACGCAATGCAGCGCGCTCACACCCATCCGAACAGCCATTCCTTCGGCGTCTCATTACGCGCCTCATAGGCCTCGTGCCCTCCATGGTCGTCGCCATCGCCGTCGGGCGGCCCGGCATCAACATGCTGTTGGTGGCATCACAGGTCGCGCTGTCTATCGTCCTGCCGTTCGTCGCCTTCCCGCTCATCTGGCTGACGTCCTCGAAATCTGTCATGCGCGTCAAGAAGCCGCGCCGGCGCGGGGAGGCAGGGCTTCCCCACTCGGACGTCTCGTCCGCGGTGGCGACCGCGCCTCGCGACGTGGAGCTCACGCTGGACGAGAGATTGTCGGTGGGTGAGGTGCGCAAACTCTATAACGCAAGCTGTGCCTTGTTCCTGAGCGCTGACGTCAATCTGGCTCCACAGATCCAGCAGGTCGATGCTGTTGCTCCAGAGGAGAAGGCAGAGGAGGTGCAGTTCGAAACCGCCGGCGTGTCTCACGACGAGGATGACTGCATCGATTTCAGCAACGGATGGCTGCTTACGACAGTAGCGTCTGTCGTATTTGTCATCGTCCTCGCCGCCAATTTGTACGTGATCGTCATTCTTGGATTAGGTAGAGAGTGATGCGTGAGGTCCCAGAACTAGACAACTCTCTGTACTTGTATCAGGCAAATTCTGTACCAGTTACGTCCCCTGTCTTTTACGAGCATTTCATCAGTATTGTTATGATGACGAGCTTGCATGAACTATCTTGCCTGCCTGCAGTTACCGATATTGCGGCAACAGAAATATAGCCATAACAAATGACGTGATGGTCACTGAATATGAAACGAAAGTGAGACCATGATCCACATGAACTAGGCAGTTTTTCAGAGATCCATAGAGCGATGAGCACCAACGAGTCTCAGAAAGCTAGAAATTAGATTAAACATACACTACGAGAGGAATATGTCCCCATCACTGACTTCCCTCCAATAGCAGACATCCCAGGAAAAAGAAGCCTGCAATGCGGCATGTCTACAGCGTCGATAAGCACTGCCCCTGCCTCACGCTAACGCACGCCTAACTCAGCCAAGATCCATCCGCGACTCACGCTAAGGCGGCCCGTTTACTACCACCGCATACGTCTTGTCCCGCGGCCGACGTTCGTAGTGGCGCAACGCCGACCCTCGAACAGTTCCCCACGGTGCAGGACCCTCGAACAGCATATCAAAGATGGTCGACGAGCCGTCGCGAAGGCGCTGAGAATGTGTAAATAGTGCGCCGTGGAGTCACTCCTCGCCCGTAATATTTATTGGCGACCGGCCAGCAGGCTTGCGTGCTGCCTGTGAAGAGGACACGCAGGTCTGGTAAATGAAACGAACGAACCGTTCCATTCTTCAAATTCAGCATGGTATGGAACGCATTGGAACGGACGGGGTCGCCACCTCCAGGCAGCAACTGCATGTCGGGAAACGGCGTGGCTTAGAGTTTACCGGCAGGTACGTTCCCCAAATGCTCCCCCTATCCATTCTTCGCGTTAACCCGAGTGAAGACAGCCCGTGAACGTGTTGTCGGCGCGGTCGCGAGCGGACGAGAAGCCGGGGTGGGCCCTCGGCGCGCTGCGTCATCTTGCGTGCACGAGGGGAGCCCCTGAAGGCCGCTGCCCGATATAATCAGCTGCCTCGCTGTGGCGAAAGCGGACAGGCTTTTGGGGCGCCGCAGACCTTGAACTTGTTCACGGCTCATCCACGGGCACTGCATCTTTGAACGCTGGCGAGACAGACCCATTTGGACGGGAGGTTCGGCTGAAGGCACTTCCGGACACGGGCAGCTCGGATGAACGAAACGGCAAGGAGGGCTGTGAAAACGAGTATGCGGCACGCAACATCGATGCAGGCGCCCCACACTTCTCTTCTACCTCGGACCTGCCTTGCCTTGGGGCTGGGCTCTCAAATCGAGGCGGCACTGCACGGCTTCCCGACGGGTCATGTTGTTTGGGTTGCAATGATGATTTAGGAAAAAATCCTATTAATGTACTGTGTACGTGGCTGAACCGAACAGGATGTTTTTTTTAGAGCGATGATAGACCCACGAGAGTTTGACGTTCGACGTTCGACCCTCGTGGCGGGCTAGTTATCTATTCAGAAGAACAAAAGACCCTGGCCCAGGTTGCACCCAGAGGACGCGTCGTTGCCTGGAGCAGCGCCTTGCTGACTAAAGACGATTAAAGTAAGACACGTAGACCCACCGACAATGCCGTCTGCAGGCGACGTGTCCGAGAAGGGGAGCAGCATGGCCGCGCGAACGATATATACTCCGCGAAGGACTGCGCGGCTGCGGATGGGATACTGGCACCCTGCGCAGTTACACGAAGACTGGGCTGCAGGGCGCTGTGGGATGCCCAGGACGTCTCGGCCAGGCCAATCCCGCAGTCGGTACACAAGGACCTACGAAGTTGAGACATTCTCGCAGCAGGAAGCCGTTGCTGCGGCCCTCGCTTCCGCCGTGTGAACGAGAGAAACGCTCGGTCCCGGGGGATTGAGTCACTGCGGAGCACCGCTGCACGGCTTGGCCCAACGGCCGCACATGCTCCTCTAGCTTTGATGTTGGAGAGGCCTGCTTACCCGCGAAGCGAGGAGTTGATAGTGAGTATATGGATTTTGGCGCTGGGGCGGTAATGTGCATCAGATGCTGGTAGATGCTGTGCGCATCGAGCGGCCAGCAGGGCCCGTCGAGGGGCACTGACTGAATGCAGAGGCTGGCGAGATATTCGAGATGGCGCGACCGGCAAAGGTTGTGTATGACGGAGCGACGCGGCTGCGGGCCACTTGGTGACTAGAGAGCTGTGGGATGTTTGATGGCGACACGTGTAGCACTGGCGACGCAGCTGCTGATTCTACCGCAGTTGGTCCGGGGCCGACAGCGTCCACAGGCTGCGCAGTAAACGCCACAAAGCCTTTCTGCGCAGCGGCGGCGGCATTCTGCAGGGGCCCTGACGCGGGCAGGCGTACTGGGACAGGGTTGTCCATGGTGTCTGACATGGACATCGCGGCACGCTGGCCAGCCCGAGGGGGCCTCGACATGTCGTATTTGGCACCGTGGGATTTGGAAATTGGTGGTGATCGTTTGGCAATGGCCAGGCGAGAGACTCGTGCGGAGTCAGCGGCGAGGTCGTAATCAAACTCGAAACCGATGCAACGGCAGCGCACAACGTCACCTGGTAGGGCTTAGCTCCCAGCATGGTCCGATCTGTCACGGACAGAGTACTGGGACGGTCGAGGTGACTCATGGGTGGTGTGCGCGCGTTGCCAGGCGAGAAGCCAGCGGGAGAACAAGAGGCTAGGAGCTGCACTAGTCTGCTTTTGCCGATGGAGATGGAAACATATGAGCGCAATGCTTGGGGCAGATTGAGTTAATGCCAGGGCCAACATGCTGAGGGGGCATGTCTCGCTGACTCGACGATGGGGCGCCCACGGTGATGTATGAGGAACGAGAATGGGATACGCGTGTGCGCGGCAGACATGCGCCCCTTGGAGAGCGTTGGAGAGAGCTTACTTTAGACGGGATCTGGGCTGACGACGGTGCGGGGGTGTTTATTATGGGACACGTATGGGCGCCCGAGGTCTCGGAATGGCGGCGGCGACGGACGAGGCATGGGCGACGGCGTGGACGACGGCGTGGACGGACGACGCTGTGAGCCACGCCACGCCGCGCCGCGCCGCGCCCTGCCCTGCAATGCCCCCGGGCAACTCGCCTCGCGAACAGCGGGGGCAATGCAGAGCCTGCCCGCGACGCGATGCGCCATCAGCGGAGGGCACCGCCATGGCAGCCATTCCGGGCAGGTGCTGTGGTTGCCCGGCGACAGGCACCGAGCGCCGCTCAGGGCACCGCCATTCCGAAAGGGGCGTGGGAGGCTCGGCATACGCATGCCGTGTGATGCCGAGAGTGCGAAACTCATGGTTCTCCGCAGCAATTGGCTTTTAGTAACCGTCTGGCTTCACAACAGCCCCCCTCATCCTTGCCCTCTTACAGTCACCCTACTCGTCCTCGCCGCATCCGCGCAGAGTCATATATTCAGACCCCCTCCCGCAGCTAAAAGCGAGCCATGTCAGAGTACTTCTACCACCCCATTGCGCCTCCGCAGTCCGCTGCGTACGACTACTCCCAGCTCTTTGACAACGCCGCCCCCGACTTCGCCCCTCCCCAGCCCAAGCAGTCCCTTCGCCAGCAGCCCCTCGACTTTGACTTCCAGCCCTTCGTCGCCACTGACGGCTACAACCCCCACATCCATACCGTCGAGGCCTTCGACAACGATCTCGACACCTCCCTTGCTACCTGGAACATTGACGCCGAGCTATCCCTCGTCCCCACCGACAACTCGGACCTCTTCCGCCGCATCCGCACAGGCACTCCCCGCGGCGGCCCTTCCACTATCCACTCCGAGTCCGCCTCGGGTTACGACACCAACTACGCAGAGTCCTCCTACGACCCCGCGTACGGCTCGACCTACGATTCCGTTTACAACCAGTCCGAAGTCAGCGCCCTCTCCGGCGACCTCGACATGAAGCTTCAGGCCTTCGGCCTCAGGGACGAGCGCGCATACGGCTCCTCTCCCATCTCACCCAACTCAAGTGTCTCGCTGAACCAGGCCGCGTACTCCCCTCCCTCTTATCATCGTGGGAGTTTCTCGGACTACGAGCCACAAACGGGTATGCGCGCTCCCGCCAGCTCCGCCTCGGACTATTACCCTCATTCCATGGGTGTCAAGTACCCGTCGTCTGTCGTCGTCCAGGCTACCGTGTCCCCCGCCAATGTCTCTGCTCAGCTCCCGTCCCACTCCACCCCCTCGCCCGTCGTCGCTAGTCAGCGGCTCGTGAAGCAGGAGAGCATGAGCAAGGATATGAACTCGAAGGACCCCAAGCGCAAATACCAGTGTCCCACCTGCCCTCGAGGTCAGTCGGCATTTCCCTTTCTATGTTGCGCCTTTGCTCATAAACGACCCTTTAGCTTTCGCTCGCGCTTTCAACCTGAAGACCCACATCCAGACCCACGACCCCAACCGCGCTAAGCCGTACACCTGTCACCACAAGACGTGTGGTCGTTCCTTCAGTCGCAAGCACGACTTGACGCGTCACCTCGTCTCCATTCATCGCAGCGAGGCTGAGGAGAACGTCAAGAACGGCAAGGCTATCGGTGTCGGTGCGGGCAGCCGCGTCCGCTGCGACATTTGCGGTACATCCTGGGCTGACAACGGCAAGAACAAGGGCTGTGAATGCGACGATGTCAAGTAAACGCATGACTACGTCTTCGGCTTCATGATATCAACGGTTTGCGTACGTCTCCGGTTCATCTGGTATCGGCCACTGTTCTCATCTGTTGTGTAGCTCGCGCAACGCCCGCGTCCGTCCGAGTGGTATATAGAAGCGTGTGTCAGGTCGCTATCTGCGACGTCCAGACTTGACACTTGCTCTCAGCCGCGACGACGTATATGGTCGACATTGTAATGCTATTCCGGTCTGGGCCCAGTACGTTTTCGACTGGCCTCGGACTGCATTCGTCGTCCGCTCCACAACCTCCTCTCCGTCTTCCTGATTATCTTTGCGCTCGCTTTGCCTTCCCAGTCGGCGTAGAATTCAGCAGCTATGACGTATTTGTTCTCGGGTATTCCTATGATTTCCTTATTTCGCTCGTTGAATAGCTCTGGGCTCCTGACATTAATTGACAAACAATATTCCATAATCCCATATCCCCTTTTCTCTATCCAGTTATATTTCTCTTGTTTCTGCTCGTTGTCAACAAACTATTTTCCCAAGACGAGTAGTGTTCAAACATTGTACATCTTGGATACAAACAGTTATTTAAGTGCTCTGTTACGTTGGATTGCCAGCGACGAGGACGATCGGATAGGAGTGCGTCGCGTCGCACGCGATATGACGTCGGCCTGTGGCCACTGGTCGGTGCAAAGTTACAGACGGCTCCAACCTCTCTCATGTACCTCCCTCTTGGTATTGTATATATATGCGCCCCAACCTATCGTTATGTCTCCTCAAGCTTCAAGATCCTCGCCCTCCGTCTTTGGACGCCTCTCGACCCTGCGCCACAAGTACTACTTAACACGCGAAACACATCATGAGCTTGACCGGTGCCCTCAAGGAAAAGGTCACTGCCGTCGCGCAGACGAAGAAAATCGCAGACTTGCAGAAAGATATCCTCAAGCAGGAGAACTACCTCAGCAACGACCATGGCGTGCTGGTCTCAGACACCGACAACTGGTAAATAAATCTCACGCCACACTGCGCGACGTCATGCGCTGACCGTGTCTGCGCAGGCTGAAGGCGTCAGACGGCACTCACACCGGACCGTCGCTGCTCGAGGACCAGATCGCCCGCGAGAAGATTCACCGGTTCGACCACGAGCGTATTCCTGGTAAAGCGGTTTATTGGCTTCGAGTCCGACGCTGCTGAGCGTGCCCTACTAGAGCGTGTCGTCCACGCCCGCGGCGCCGGTGCGCACGGGTATTTCAAGGTGTACAGTGATGCCGCGAAGAAGTACACCTATGCTTCCGTCCTCACCGATCCGTCGCGCACTACACCGACGTTCGTCCGCTTCAGTACTGTGCAGGGCTCCAAAGGCAGTGCTGTGAGTATCTCAAAAATTTTTGCGTGGGATTGCCTTGGTAGATCTTCAACAACATTATTCAGGATACTGTCCGAGATGTCCGAGGCTTTGCCACCAAATTTTACACTGACGAGGGCAACTGGGACATCGTCGGAAACGACAGTGAGTTCCATATTGCGCAATGTCCCCTAACAGTCATATTATTGACTTTCCTCGTAGTCCCTGTGTTCTTCATCCAGGATGCCATCAAGTTCCCCGACATCATTCACGCTGTCAAGCCTGAGCCCCATAACGAGGTTCCCCAAGGCCAGAGTGCGCACAATAACTTCTGGGACTTCGCCGGGCTCCAGCCCGAGACTGCACATATGGTTATGTGGGTTATGTCTGACCGCGGTATCCCTCGCTCGTACCGCATGATGCAGGGCTTCGGTGTCAACACCTACACTCTCGTCAATGCTTCTGGCGAACGCTTCTTCGTGAAGTTCCACTGGCTTCCCGAGCTTGGTGTCCACAGCCTGGTCTGGGACGAGGCCCTGAAGATCGCCGGCCAGGATCCTGGTAAGTTCCATTTAGAAGAAGCGACGTTCTGTTTTTTAACAATCATATGCAGACTTCCACCGCAAAGATCTCGAGGAGGCGATTACCAATGGAGCGTCCCCCAAGTGGCAGTTTGCCATCCAGGTCATCCCTGAAGCTAACGAGCACGACTTCGACTTTGACATTCTCGATGCGACCAAGGTCTGGCCCGAAGAGCTCGTTCCCCTCGAGGTCATTGGCGAGATGGTCCTCAACCGCAACGCCGACGAGTTCTTCCCCGAGGTTGAGCAGGTTGCCTTCTGCACCTCGCACGTTGTGCCAGGCATAGGCTTCAGCGACGACCCTCTCCTGCAGGGCCGCAACTTCTCTTACTTCGATACGCAGATCAGTCGTCTTGGTATCAATTGGGAGGAGCTTCCGATTAACAGGCCCGTCTGCCCTGTTATGAACTTTAACAGAGACGGCAAGATGAGGCACAAGATCTATCAAGGCACTCTCAACTATTGGCCGAACCGCGCTGGTCAGTTCAAACCCGTGCCTTGTGAGGAGGGCGGGTACTACGAGTAGGTTTTAGTGCACATTCATCATGCGAACGTTGATGCTTAACGTGGCCTGCAGCTATAACCAAAAGGTTGCCGGAATGAAGGCCCGCGTGCGTGGAGCCAAGTTCCAGGAGCACTTTAACCAGGCGCAGCTGTTCTACAACTCGCTCACCGACTACGAGAAGCAGCATCTCATCAGCGCCATCTCGTTTGAGCTGTCGCACTGCGACGATCCGGTCGTGTACGAGACCTACACCAAGCTGCTCAACAACATCGACTTCAACCTCGCGAAGCAAGTCGCGATCAACGTCGGCGGCGTCGTTCCTGAGGAGCCCGCGCGCGCGAATCATGGCAAGGCGACGCCGACGCTCTCGCAGCTGTACTACGCGCCCAAGGAGCCCACGATCAAGTCGCGCCGCATCGCGATCCTCGTCGCGGACGGCTTCGACCTCGCGCTCGTCGAGGGCCTCCGCGCGGCGATCAAGGCGGGCATGGCCACCTCCTGGATCATCGGCCCCCGCCGCGGCTGGGTGTACCCCGACGGCGCGGAGGTCGGCTCCGGCAAGGGTGGCGTGTGGGCGGACCACCACCTTGAGGGGCAGCGCAGCACGCTCTTTGACGCGTTCATTGTTCCGAGCGGTCGCAAGAGTGCTGAGGCGCTCGCGGGGAACGGACGTGCTATCCATTGGATTCGGGAGGCCTTTGGCCACTGCAAGGCCATTGGAGCCATTGGTGAGGGTAAGCGACTTTTCGGTGGATGAGTATTGTATGAGGCGTTAACGCACTCCCAGGCGTCCTGTTCTTGCGCGAGGCGGTTATGCTCCCTGGAGTCGAGTACAACACCGACTTGAACAGTGACGATGTTGTCTCCTCGTTGGGCGTCGTCACCGTCGGCAAGGTCAGCACCTCGACGATCGCAGCCGACACGCTCAAGATCGCACAAGACAAGAAGGGCTTCGTCTCCAGCTTTGCGCACGAAGTCAGCAAGCACCGGTGCTACGAGCGGGAGCTCATGGGATTGACCACCAAGGTCGCTTATTAAACACGTTGCCCATCGGACTTGGAAGCAATGGATGAAGCGGACCTGTGCTGACCGGAAATGCAAGTAGTTTATGCGTGTAAAATATTAACACTATCGCATGTATCATAGCGAATATAATATGTAACTTTATCCGAGAATCGATATTTGGTCTGTTGACACACTTGGTATGGCCGGTCCGCGGCATTACACCACTGAAGCCAATTGACGAGCAATCAAGGCACGTATTATAGACCTATACACTAATTGCCGAAGTCTTTCAGCTTCTCAGCTACAGATTTTTTGAGCTGAATCACGAAATGTGAGCGCGCGTGTCATCGTTGAATATGAGGTGAACATACCGGCGGACTAAGCCCATCTCCCTCAAAGTACGCAAGGAAGAACTCGTGCGCCAGCCAGTCGCTCTGCACCGAACCGAGGTCACGAACGATAAGGCTCCGTTGCTGGCTGAACTCCGGCGGTGCGAGCAGGATATCGAGCGCCTGGCCCTTGGGGAGCGGTGTGCCTGGGAACATGGACTTGAACTTGCGCAGCGGAGACTGCACCGCGAGCTCTTCGTCTGCGGTGATACTGTTGCGCTGCTTTGCGAGGACGAGACGCGCCTGGAGGGCGCGCATGAAACCGTCGCGGAGGTGCGAGAAGGACGTCGAGCGGGTTGGGACTAGTCTCACACGCACTGCTGAGCATGTGGAGGGTGTAGTGAGAGGTGGAGGCGCGTACCGATGCGGAGAACGCAGACAGAGTTCCTGATGATGTGTTCGATTTTCTCCTCAGGCGTGGCAGACTTGGATATCTGTGCTTCTGGAGGTTAGTCACTGAGAGCGCAGGAAGGACGAGAATACGCACATTGAGTTTGGGGCCGTTCAGGTCGGCATAGAGTCCGACGGAGTAGACCTTAATGCCCAGGAAAGAGACTGTCCGAACGCCAACACCGACGAGCTCAAATGTCGGCAGCGGCTGCTTCGACTGGACCTTCAGGGTGTTCGGGAACGCGATTCCAGACGCGGGATCGACTGCACGACACGGGTGTTAGCACATGAGGCTTGTAGATGGAGAAGCTACAATGCACACTTGTCTCTTCAGCCTGAACAGGCTCTGCATCGAGCTGGATAGTCGAGCTGGACTGCCATGCGAGCAACCCAGTAGCAGCAAGGGCAGTGGTCCATAGGAGAGGCTTCAGCTTCGACGAAGTGGCATTGCCGCCCTGCAAAACGCGTTTGGCGGCGGTGCTCGAGAATGAGCGAATGCCGGAGGACAATGTCCGACAGACGGCGGGCTGGAGGAGTTGGAACATCGTGTTCAACAGTGAGCACTGGTCGCGGTCGTCGCGCGCTCGCACCCGGAACAGCAGAAGCGCCACGCAGTCGGGGTTCCTGGATAGGAAATTCGGCGGGAGCCACGTGAGCGGCCCGAGTGACGATCTGATCTGGAGCGTCCTCTCTCAGCACAAGACTTGGAGTGTCTACGCGTCGCCCGCAGCGCGCATCTTTCTCCCGTACGGCTTGCGTGGCCTCGATATTTGTAACAGGCCGGCGTCACCGAAGAACTCGTAAGCTCCCAGGAGCTCATATATATCACAAGGTAAGCCCAGTCCTCAAACCACACCTCCGATGGATTACACCGATCCGCTCAGCTCCGTCATAAATAGTCTACTTTCCAACGCCTCCAAGAACGAGATGGATGACGACGAAATGTCAGTGCCCGACTCTCCTCTCGAGTCGGGCGAGATGTCTCCCCGGCAATCTGCCACTTACGACCGACAAAGAGCCACTCTGCAGAGTTACCTTGATTCCCTGCCATACGAGTGCGAGTCCGTAGAAGACATGCAGGCCCATCTGGAATACATCGTTGGCAAGATCGCCATCTGCGCCAAGAGCAAGAATTGGCTCGTACTCACTACATGGGACGGAGCGTTGCAGTGGTACGTGGCTATATGCGCTCGGGCGCGCCGAATTCGACTGAGGCGCGTGCAGTTGGCTCTTGATGCGCTACCCTATCCCGAAGACCACGCGAGCAAAGCTCGCTCGCCTGTATTATGAACTGTGTCTCGTGCCAGGGCTAGAGCCCCGTGTTATTCGTAGCTGGGCCGACATGCTCTCTCGGCTGCTCTCCACCAAGCCCGACCAGAAGCGCAAGCTCGAAGCGAAGGACCTGCAGCTTCCGTGGCAACCCTTGTGGCGCGCCTTGCAGAAGGAGCTGTGGCCAAAGCGCAGGCTGCACGACCCAAAGTGAGTCGCGCCACAGCACATAAACATTCTGAGAGCTAACGCCATGTATGCTAGCCGGAATGTCGTGAACGTCCTTCTCTTCGTTGCAGAAGTGTGTCGCAGACACTACCCCGCCTCTGAGATACCTAATATGCTGTCCGAGTTCACACCTTTAATCACTCAGGAAGTAAGAACCGTCAGCATTCGTTTGAGGTTCACGAAGTTAATGGTCATATTTACAGAATATCCTGACCATGATACCTGTTATGACTAATTTCCTTCCCCCCACACACGTTCACCTTTACATGCCTCTCATGTTCAAGCTCTGGGAGGCCTTCAACTCCAGCGTCATTGACGACCGGCTCCTCGAACTGTGTGGAGAGCTGTCTGAGGAGCACGTCGCTGGTAAACTCGGTGATGCGGGGGAAGAAGGAGGTGCAGAGTGGCAAGATGTCGGTATATGGTCAAATGCCGAGTGGACTGTGCTCATCGGAAAGGCTTTGGGTGCAATGAGTACGTATAACAAACCCTGGAAACGAGTCTTATTAACACTAAATTGTTCAGATGTTCCGGTTGGGTCTATTAGAGTGAGTTAGCAGCGCATGATGTGTGGCGCATTCTCACGTATTATAGGGTGCAAGCACTACCGCCGCACATGCCGATAGCATGGCCGACAAAGGTTCAATGAGAATTAAGAAGCCTATCGTCAGATTCAGTAAGCGAAAATCGCTTGCTACGTGATAACTCATTGATAATATGTATTTACAGACGCGCTTGCAAAGTTTTTCGTGTACTCTATGTCCACCGACGGGCCAATCCGACACCGGAGCGACTCTCCCACAGATGCCACAAGTAACGCTGAGACCGGTTATCTCGCTGGGTCAAGGGCTCTAGACTCTCTAGATAAGCTCATAACCAGCACGGAGACGTATTTTCATCCGTCCAACCACGGCCATTGGACTCTGGCTGTGAGCATTTCTCGTTCGAGATTTATCAAAGACGGTAACAAACCTCTCTCATCAGCTGACAAGCTTCATCCAACGACTATCCGCCGAGTTCTGCAAGCGATGGAAGGAAGAGCAGCAGTCAGCATGCAAGACACCGGTCGTAAGTGCACTAATAAATTTCCTTTTGCGACTGCGCCTCAATTGTCCTTCCCAGACTCGCCGACTTACCGCGACGATTCGGCGTGCGTTCGTCAAGACTCTGCGTACACCAGCACTGCTTGCTATGTTCGCAAAAGACCCTGTGTCCGCGACCTACGCCCAAGGCGCGCTGCGTGCACTCGCAATGCTAGACCCAAATCTCATCATGCCTGAGATTTTGGAGCGCGCATATAGCGGGCTGGAAGTGGTCAATGAGACGCACCGGACGACTGCCGTACTAACAGCCCTGTCTGGAGTGGCATTACCACTTGTATCCGAGAAGATTTGGCTTGGCGGGCAGAAGCATATCGCCCCACTATTGGAGCTGTGTATCCCTGGTATCGATCTGGTAGGTTGTTACCCACTCACCAATCAATTTAGGCTAACATTGCTTCAGAACGATCCCATGAAGACTCTCTGTACATCCATGTTCATCGTTTCAGTCGTCCAACACATGAAGATAGGAGACCTGTCTATCCAGCAGGGCGGCGTTCCGCTTTCTAGCACACCTGCGGAGGGAATGATGGAGATAGACGCACAGCCGAATGATATCCACCTTCCTGATGGCACAGAACCGGGTGAGAAACCGACCCTGAGCCGTGAAGAGGAACGTACGCTTGCACGCGAGAGTACGGCCGGTTTTGCAGGTACGTGTAGCCGTTAATCAGCCTGAGGCAGGACTTACAGATCGACTTTCATGGCACAGATTGGGTCACAGCTCTCATTCGCAGGATCCTCGCTCTCTTCGAGAATCTGCCAGAGGAAGGCGGGAAGAAGAACACGACAGGCGGCAAGATGGAAGAAGCAGTGCTTAAGTCTACCAAGGGTGCGCTCGACATCTTGTGCCTGCAGCTCTCCGACCCCTTGTTCGACCTGGTTCTGCGCCTTGTGTTCGATTATGGCACGACAAATGCCCGCTCGAACGCCGTCCGTGCGTTCGGGCAGCTTGTTGCCTGCCTCGCGCGCGTACAGCCCGAGAAAGTGATCGCGAAGTTCCTGCCGTTTTGCATTGGTCAAATCAAGGAGGAACTTAAGCACGGCGCATCGAGTATCAGAAATACGTCGACCCATACAGCGGTACCGTCTGATACCACTCTGCATTGGAGTATGTCAACCCTTCCTGGTGACAAGGTGTTACAGTGTGACTGATCAACGATAGACATGTCCATCTTGCGAGGATGTCTCGGGTACGGTGGTCCTGCGGTGGGTATGTCTCCCAAGACCAGGATCCTCGTAACTGATACCTCTTGCCACTAGCTTCTCAAGCACAAGGAGGATGTCATAGAACTTGTGCAACTTCTGATCGAGAAGACGAAGAGTGAGCGTGGGTACAGTGGTACAGGTCGGTTGATCCACCGGATCCTACATACTGTTGGTGCAGTATACCCAATGAACGCACGCTTCGTGAACAGTGACGAGTGGGATGACCCAGGTGTGTCCACAAGTCTGCGTGTCACTTGATGTCAGAGAGCTTATATGCGGTTAGAGTTCGATAGGAATCACAATCTGCACTGGGGCCGGCTCATGAATCCCGAAGACGTGAAGCTTGAATGGCATGGTACGCAAAGTACCCCTTCTTCTGACATGGTATCATCAACGTGCCTCTAGTTCCGTCCGTGGAGGAGGTTGACTTCGTCATCGAGATCCTGGACAGGATCGGCGCACCGTCACTGGATAAAATTGAACGCCTGCTCGAGTCAGCAGGTCACTGGAATAGCATTGATCGCAACGACTTTTGTCGGTAGGTAACGCCGACTTCTCTTCCTCTCCACTGCAGTCTCACATTGCGTACAGCTACCTCCACTCGATACGATCTATCTGGGGTGGGCTGCCAACCATCCTGCTAGAAGGTTCAAAGGAGGTTAAGAACCCCTGCTTCTACGCTGAGACCGAGGTCGAAGGTCTCCTGGTCACGCCTCTCAATGTCAGGGCCGGTTTTGTACTTGAGAATTCTGCCGATCCACGCTATCAAAAAGTACTGGCTCATCGCACGCGCTTCGGCAAGGTTATCCATCGCGCCGCCTTCGCTTTGAGGCAGAAGGCCGAAGGCGAAGACCACATTGACGCCGTCATCAGTGTCTCAAAGGCGATTGACGTATACCTACTGGAATATGCTATCACGAGGAGTACTTTCGATGGACTGCAGAAGGCATATACAGTGTCAAGAGAGTACGTCCAATCGTCCGCGTATCTGACAGGGTAGGGCTAAAACATTGCTTCTCAGCCTGAACCGAATGTGGCCACGGCAAAGAGAGAACTCGCGTCAAGCCTTCATCAAGCGTGCTCAGGCTTACCACGCCGGGCGCGTTTACTTGCACTCCCTCTACCGCCGCCGTGCAGAACTCGATGACCTTCTGCTGGAAGATCTTGTCGAATTGTCTCTCTCCCCGTACACTAGGGTAAGACGGTAAGTGTGTCCGCTCGTCCCGGCATGAACTGCAGACCAACTCGATTCTAGACACTCTCAAGCTGTACTGCACAATGCATGCGGAGTAAGTCGGATATCGCTGTTACATTACTCCAGATGCTGAAGCCCGGACAGTACTATCTCCGTTCGACTCGGTACTGCTTGCCCAGGCTCTTTCAAGCGCTTGGCAAGGGCGAGGATGCTGACCAGATGAAAGGCGCGCTGTATCTCTTGTGGAGCAAAGGCATTAGTGAGATTTTTTCATTTTTCTTTCTGTGTGAACCGCTGATCTGATTCCGCAAAAGCGTCTTATGCACTCGCCGGTGAGTTTTATCTCGCCATGTTTCTCACTGTTCTCATCAATTGGTTTGGTAGACCCCCACTTCCATGGACAATATATGATCTCGTTGCTAGAATGCCAGCACCAGGAGAAGGTTGGTTCAGAAATTTTCGCTGCGTTATCCACGCTGAAGGAAGAGTTTTAGCCTTCAATACAGAAGCTGGTTGGCACTGTGGCACAGGATGCTCTTTCGTTTATGACAGAGGAGGCGCTTCACACTGACGCGTTCACGGACGATGCTGGTCGCGTGGAAGCCGCCTTAGAAGAGCTTGCACAGGAGTTCTCGCCTAACCTAATAGACCCAGATCTATCGCAGAACGCTCTAACCAAGGCCGCTGCACGAGGACAGCTGAAGACGCGGAGGTTCAGAGAAGACGTGAGCCAGTTTTTCCAAATACTCAGCTGCTGAAGAGTCTCATTGGGATGCAGGTGACAGCGGTCCTTAATGTTGCACAGAGGCCTACAACTCATGTGAGTGTCCTCGGTGCTATAATAGCGAAGTATTCCGACCTCTATCACAGTGGCGTTACATCCAAATAGCGGCCAAATTCCTTGCGAACTTACTTCGAAGGGATTCCGTGCCTCCCCCATCAGTCGCGAAATTCTTCACCGAACATTCTGTCAGCCCTCACTTGACGATTCGCTCTACTGCTCAAAAGTGTGTAGATTATAGTGACAGGTACTGTCGCATACTGACCATGAGCTGCCAGAGCGATTGTCAAGTTGACGTCCCACGTCAAGATCCGAACATACGCGAGAACGAGCGATGAGCTCTGGCTGGATGAATGGCGAAGTCCGCTACGAACGGACGTTCCTGTCGGTGATCCTTCAACCTTCTTTTCTAGGCTCCGGGAACCTGTAAGGCTCGATGACTCTGGTTCCTGTTACGTCGACAAGCTCGTCACCGGCTTCCTCGTCTGGAAGGACTCTGTGAAGGGCTACCGCGCTGTTGGTCCAGGTACCTCGCCTTTCCTCTGGGAGTCCGCGTCTCAGCCATTGTTGCAAGCGATGCGTGAGGTCGTTATAGGCGGCACGTTCTTCAGTCAGCTCGCGGCGCTTTTGGGACAAGAGTCGAGCAAAAATCCGACAACGTTGAAGCTACGCACGGAAAACACTGCCTTCGTCAAGTCGTTGGGTACGTTGGAGAAAATCGTCGGGATGCATTGACCCAATACTGACAGTAACATTTAAGCGAAAATGTTTGAGCACGAGATCCTCGACGAGATGCTGGCTGTCCTAGAACCACTTCTGACCGACAATGATCGGTATCAACAGCGTGCTGGCGCAGAAATGCTCGCCGGTCTTCTCCGAGGTCAGTCACTGCGAGACGAGGAGGAACAGCTCGTACTAATTCCCTAGCTCAGGTGCCAAGCATTGGCCTCAGCAGCACTACGAACGGCTCTGGGAGTGGCTCATGGCTCGCTGGGCACATATCTACGCCCAAATAAAGCCCGACACGCTCAACTTTTGGGAAGGCGTGATCAATGCATGTCACTTTCGTTCCATTCTCCGTAGCCTTTGTTAACTCGCACACAGGAACAGCTATTGGATCATGACTACCGGCGAGTTGAGCGGATGGTCAGATGGGTGCTGTCCTTGCAGCTGGATTTCCATGGCGACTCCGCATTTGCGAGTACGTGGTCCAGCACGTTTGTGTCTTAGTAACTGAATATGCTGGCAGTGACCAAGGCGCTAACATTCTTTGGCATTGTTGTGGATTGCTGTTGGCCATGCTTTGAACCGTTGTGCGACGACTACATGAACCTCTTCCTAGATAATGCGAACACTGGCTATGCAGAAGTGAGCATCGACTCCTTTTCAACCTGTCTAACACTAACGGTTTGCCCGGCAGATGCGGCAGCACATAGCGCACAATCTCTCGGCCATTACTTCAGAGCAGTGGCGACCATCATACCCTAATGCGGAAGCCCTACTTGCGAGCTGTAGGAACAGTCCAGACCCGTTTGGTATCAGGTATTTTTAACCATTGCTTTTGGTTTAACTGGCCGTTCATCATCTACAGGAACGCGCGATACGTTCACAAGGTCCAGGCGATCGCAGAGAACTTCCCGAAGTGGCGAGAAGAACGATTGCCGCCTCCCCGGGTCAGCCAGTCGCAATACGACAAGGTTGGGCTTACTAGTGAGTCTCCCCAAGACCTCCGTAACTGGATTCAAGTCTCATTAGCTTTTATACAGCCCTGCAATGGATATGGACGTCTGCACATGGCCCGCACCCCTTTCTTGTCCTTCCATATGTACTCACCTTGCTGTGAGTTTTGGAATTTACGGTTTTCCGGCAACAGCTCACTTGGGATATCCGCTCTAGCCCCGAAATTTTGCGGATGTCCGAGCTTAATGACAGCTCCGACCTGCAAAAATATAGCTCCGCTGTGCTTTACGTGCTCTCCGCGGTTGATGCCCCGACGGACGATGTGCATGTCGTTGCCAACCATTTCCTCGATACTATCAAGTCGTCAGATGTAAGCCATCTTCACAAATACCACCGTCACATAGCTCTCTGACACTCTAAGCAGTCATGGCGAGTCCGACTGAATGCGCTCCCCACCTTACTGGTCTTCTTCTACCGCAACCTCATGTGCATTTCAGGCGATGTGGTGACAAGAATGATGGACGTCCTCCTCGAATGCCTCTCGGATGAGAATGTAGAGGTACGCGAAATGGCTTCGCAGATGTTGACCGGCGTGGTCAGGTGCTCGCAGAGACAGAGCATTATCCCCCTCAGGGTACGCTCTCGTGCATCTTCTCCGTCACACGTGCTCACTTTCCATATCCATAGGACCGCTTCATTGCACTCGCGCGGAGGACGAAGCTTCCCACTCGGCGGGACCCTGCATACCAAGAAAAGCTCCGCACGCTGCACTCGGCGATCCTAGGTCTCTGCGCTCTGGTTGCAAGCTTCCCGTATTCGGTCGAGCCCTGGATACCTCCTTTGACCGATAGTACGCACTCTTCATTACGCTTGCGTCACAGCGCTCAGGCTAATATCCTGTGCCTGCGCCTAGTCCTCGCGGCCCATGCAACGGACCCAATACCGGTGTCGACAACGATACGCAAGTGCGCATCGGAATTCAAGAAGGTCGGTCATGCCCCCATTGATCTAAGCTGTAGTACTCACGCTTGTCATGTCGTATCTCTTCTCCCATACAGACACACCAGGTACGCCGGATGTGTGACCATGGCAGCGGTGGACGCAACTAACAAAACTTTCGCAGGACACTTGGCACAAGGATCAGCTGGTCTTTGACGAAGATCAACTGCAGAACTTGTCTACCATGCTGGTGGGCACGTCGTACTGTAAGTTAACTCTAATGCAGCCGTACCGGCGAGAGTGCTGATCTTTTGTCAGATGCGTGACGCTTCGCGCAAAGTGCTCCGTACAGGCCGCTTAAGTGTAAGTCAATCTACTCACACGAGCGGCGCGCCGTTTGAGCGTTGGTGCAACATGTATATTACCCGTGACCCAGAGATCGATGCAGTTAACGATCAGAATTAACCTTTGTATAAGTTGCATGTCCAATTCATAATGTTCTACTTACTACAATGTCGAATGTATATACACGTCGAGGTTGTGACAGGCTAAGCGCAGGCATCCTTCCGAAAGACCGTAACCCACCACCATGGACATGTAATTTTGTCCCCAGCGCTCTACGGCCTCACCGAGGGCAGGAGCCCGACCTCGTTGATGCAAGCGCAATCCACAGGGAAGCTTCGGGGCACGGCCCATGTGAAAGTTCGAGGGCCATCTATGAATGAGATAGGCACCGCTAGCCGCACCCCGAGCGAACCCGAGGCTCCTCGCGCCGCACAAGCGAGCGAGGCGTTACAAGGGTGGGACGCGGTGTGTTGGCGGAAGCCGTTCGACGGGGTGTCCGTCGCCCTGTCCCCGAGCGTGTCCCCAGGCAGTAGTCCCGGCGCGCACGGCGGCGTACGCTCGTTCGTGCGACGAGCCGCCAAGGGACGCGTCTTACGTTGGCTCTGCGAAGCCTGTCCCGAGTGCTTGGAAGCTTTCACAGAGTGCGATGGAGAATGCAGGGCGTGTCTGAGCTTGTTGGATCGATCTCTTTATTACTTGGTCGTAGAATATTCTATGCCGACTGCAATCTATCAGAGTACCTTCCCTATCGGCGGTACCTAGGGGTTAATGGTACTGCCGCGAAGTAGAGCAGTCCTGGCGATGGACACGAGAAGCGTAAGCGAGTGGAGTGAGGAAGAGACGGATAACTTGCCTGACTGGGTTCTCATGATAACCTACTAAGCGCGGTGAGACAGAATCGAGGGAGGTCAGCAGTGCTGGCAGAGATTAAATTGGGGTTGAGAAGAGAGTACGAGACCTGGCTGGGTCGATGCGAGCGCCGTTATCAGAGCGACCTGTGGCCGAACCGACGGCGAGCAGGTGGGAGCAGGAGACGCATTTGCCAGAGGGATCTCTTCTGAGAAGCGCCATGCCGAAAGGCGATACTCGTCATCGATTTGGCCACAAGGTGTGGAGGGACACGAGGCAATCTGAATTCAATAGGCGTTGGTCATGATCGCCTCTTTGGTGCGTCGATAATTCTGAAGAAGGAACTGACGGCTCGTGCGGGTGGAATCTTCGTCCGGGCCCGCTTCGCCTGCATTTCCGCCCCAGTGCTCTAAAAGAGAGAAGAAAAGAATCCATCGCCGCGACTGCGCACAGCATAGAATGGACACGTTCATTTGTGTTACGGCAAGCCGCCTATTCCGAGGTGGTGATTTACACTACGCTCCGGTACACAGCGCCAGATGGTAGGAGTGCTCCATCGCAACGTTCACGGAGATTTTATGATCGGGCTTGCTGTTGATGTTGTCCTCCAAGTGGTCGATAGAGAGGCCTAGGTAGCGGATTTTTCAGAGAAATAAAGGACGCAGAGGACAAGCGCAAACGCCGCCGCAAAATTGAACTGTGCGAAGCATGGAATGAGGATTCTCGGACAGAGACGACGCTCCCAATGTTCGCGGGAATTGGTCCTGGAGTGTTGGCCTGTGTCCGCGAAGTTGTTAGAAATAATTAAGATGTATACTGGCCGGCGGCCGGGAGAGCAAAAGATGAGACAAACCAGTGTGTAACTCGAATACTGCCGCCAAGAAAGGCAAGAGCGCGCATCGGGATGACGGGATCTGCCTCCGCGAGAAGCGAGACTCGCGCGGAACACGTGTGGACGGAAATTGACGCTGCGGGGGAGCCCTCGTCCTGCCCGGAGTGTCTCCTGGGGGCGCGGAGATTTTTTTGTTGCAGAGGCAGCTGCGGAGCGCGAGGCTTGCTGTGTTTCGAGAGTGAGATGGCTCGCTGCAGAGCGAAATTTTTAAAAGTACGCAGAGGCGGCGGACGGGCGAGCGTCCTGTTTGAACGCCGATCGCGGACGCCCATCAAGAATGTGGGAAAACATCCGCTTTTGTGTGGCGCGCAGAGGAGACGGGCAGCGACGGGGCTGATGTCGAGGACGAGCAGAGGCGATCTGGAGGGTGCGGCGGACGAGCGAGAGACGTACAGATGGAGTCGAGATACACGACGAACGAGCATGTCTTGAGGCCGACATCGTGCTGGAGCCTGGATGAGGAGATGGCGTCGTAAAATATCAGTTCCGCGACGCAGGCACGTTGCAATCAAACCCTGACTTATTCCGTAAGGCAGCCGCAAGGCTCCCTCTCGCACTCTCCTTCGCCCTTTCTCTCTCTCTTCAACACACCAACAAAGCGCAGCTCGTCGTCAGTCTCAGTTGGGTCCACCCAGTGTCGTTCTCCATCTAACACGCATCGCTCTAGTCCATCATCTCACGACCGCATCGCGCGCCCGGTCTCGAGTGCTGATTCACCGCCCTCCTCGTCTCGAGTCCTCGGGCACCGACCAGCTCCACGCTTTGCTCCTTAGACTACACGAGAGCTTTCGGCCAGCGGCTTGTCTGCATCTCGTCTTCCTGTGCTCACGACCTCCAGCCATCTTTCCAACCTGTGCACACATCGTTGATTATTCTCTAACATCACACAACACGCAATTTTTATCATCTCAACCTCTATCGGACCCGCTCACGACGACATTATCTTTATCTGGTGAGTCGCCTTGCCCTTGCCGAGCCGCGTGCTTGTGCTCAAGTCCAACATCGCTGCGCGTGCTCCACCAGGTTAAAATGATGCACGAATCCGTCACGAAATCGCCCTCTCCCGCCAACTTCTACCCACACAAACCTGAAGACCTCCTGTCCAGCAACCAAGCAAAAACGAGCATGTCATCCAGAGACATCTTACCGGCGTCAGGCGGCGCATCACGGAGGCCGCAGTCGGTAGGGTTACAAAAACGTGCGCGTGCCGTGTCATTCGTCCTGTGCTTGAAATTCATATTCTCATTTTTTTTCCAGCTGAGCGATCTGGGAGGCCGATCGCAACCAACACGAACGGGGGCGGTAGGTGGAGGATCAGCAGCTCAGGCCAACTCGTTGACCCGGTCTTGGCAGAGTGGGATATTGCAGATGATATGGTGAAGCTGCAGATTACTGAGGATCCTCCCGAACACAAATCTCATTTGCGTACCCCGCCTCATCTCCGGGGCCATTTGGGTGTTGTCGGCATCGAGACCAGCCCCCTCGAGACGTCTTCAGAGACCAGCCTTGGCTCAGAGTCTCCGAACGCGTTCGATCAGCCTGGCACCCTCGGCTCACACTCTCGCGGCTCCTCAGCCGACACCACCGCCTCCTCCCACACACCATCCTACTCTGGCGGACAGACGCTGCATGCGGGACCGTACACACCGTTGAAAGTTGGTGGTATGGGCGAATCCAGGAATCGCCCGCATTCTTATAGCGGAGGATTATCCTCAGCGGACCTCTTGCGCTTGCAACAAGCTGGCGGGAGTCCGGGCGTTCCCGAGACATGGTCGAGTCCAAACGGCACTCCAGAGCGACAGGCGCCAGCTGAGCAACCAACTTATCCATCGCTGGTTGGCCAAGGCTCCCGATCTCAAGAGGCACTCCTTGGAACTCGCTCAGACGAGACCCAAGGAAGCTACGAAGCGCCTCCTCGCCAGCAGTATGGCTCTCTCGCTCAAGGCCCTACTGCGCACGCTGCCAGTTCTGCTGCACCGTCCGCTCCCTACGCTGCTGCCAATCGTCCGACTGGCATTGCAGCCTCGGGCGCCCAATTCCGCCAACGCGCCTTCTCGCCTCCGCAGCCGGTCCCGACGGTCATGCAGAGTCCACCGAATTTTGGCTATCCTGGCCCGTTGCCCTTGACAGTGGCAGGTGGACAGCAATTGTACGATATGATGCTGCCTACACCGCCTCTTGAGAACCCCGCGATGGCACGGCTCCAGCAACAGACGCCGTATCGCGGTGTCCACCAGCACTCCGCCTCCGACCCAGCATCTCTCCGCGACCCTGCCGTGCTCGCGTTACTCAACACCAACATGCAAGCTGCGTTCGCTGCCGGCCAAATATACGGTCCCGCCGCCATGGTCCCGCCCAATATGGCGATGTTCAACCAGTTCTATGCTGGCCCCGAGGGCTACCCCAGTCCTGATCTCGCCATGATGGCAAGGCTCCAACCTCAGTTTACTGGCCAGTACGGCATCCCGTCCGCGCAAAGTGCTACAGCCGTTGGATCTAACAGGCAGCAGGCCACACAGTCTCCTGAAAGCAGCTCCGGGCTTGGCCCGAACGCGAACAACCGGAAGCTGGGCTTGTACAAGACGGAATTGTGCAGGAGCTGGGAGGAGAAGGGAAGCTGTCGCTATGGAGCCAAGTGTCAGTTCGCACACGGAGAAGAGGAGCTGAGACTGGTGCAGCGGCACCCCAAGGTGTGTATATGTGTCTCGTGTAGCATGGAAAGTACTCAACGATCGTTCTAGTACAAAACGGAGATCTGCAGGGTGAGTTTTTCTTGCGAGCGGTTTCTCAGCCCTGAGCTGATCCGTCTGGTCGCAGACTTTCTGGGTCTCTGGCTCTTGCCCTTACGGCAAGCGTTGCTGCTTCATCCACACGGAGCTGCCAGGTGCTGCAAACCAAGGCGGCGGCCAAGATAACGCTGCCTCACATGGCGCGGGCGAACAACGCCCACGTTCTGACAGCGACCCCAATGAAGGATCAACTTCTCTCCTTGCTCGCATCTCTGCGAAGCGCCAAGAACCTCTGGGTGCGAACAAGCCTGGAAGCGTGAGCACGACGCCTCCAGCTACCGGCTTCGGCGGACGTCCGGGGTCGCTGCGGGTCGACACCTCGGTGCTGGACCCGAATGCAGGGAAGCAGAACAAGTCTGCGTTCCCCACCTTCACCCACAATGGCATTCTTGTTTCGTCAAACGACGAAGCTCCGGCCATGTCTCCCGGTCCCGTGACCGCCGCGCCAGACTTTGGGAGACATGCCGCTGCACGGATGGACATTGTCGGCGCACAGGTGAGATGCGATGTTGACGCCGTCACACCTCGCGTTCTCCACGCTAACGCATAATCCCTTTAGCCGCGCGTCCGCAAAACTACCGACGTGAACCCCAACCTTCGCCATTCATTCAACGGCGGCGAGATCCAGTTCGATCTGAGCGCGACCACGCCGACCGCCCCGAACCAGGGGCAGTTCAGTGTGGCCACAGACATGCAGTCCCAGCGCGCCGCGCGCATGAACGGACACGTCCGCTCGGGCAGCGCAGGCAACTGGGGCTCCGCGACGCGCGCGGCGGGGCACCTGAGCGCGTACCCGCTTTCGTCTATACCCGGTGGCGAGCTCAAGGGAAACATGCCCTGGGCAGAGTACCCTGCGTCTCGGCGTGCCGAGAACAACTGGGCCTAAATTAGGGCGCACCATGCGGCCCCGTACATGAGTATGATTGCGAAGGACAAGTCACTTCGAAAGTGCTCTTGATGTGACCCTTTCTTTACTGGAGGACACTTGTAATCATCCTTTCTTTTCTAGAGTCTGTGGCTCGTTGTGTGGTTTACTGTCTGTCTCACTGTCCTGTCCCACCCGTTACCTGTGTGCATACTAATTCTCTCCCATCTGACTTCTTGTGTTCCAAACTCGCTATCCAATATCCTCTCTCATCATGCCTATCGTCTTCATTTCATCCATCGTTGTTTCTGCAGATCTTGACTTGTTCCCCCGAACATTTCGGATAGCTTGCTACAATCACTCACGCTGCACATATGTTTATTCCAATAAATGATTTCATTTATCCGTCGATTCAAACGATGGTCGTGTGTGTCCGGAATGTGTTGAACATTAAATCCGAGGAGCATAGCTAATTACAATAACTTGCGGGTATTAATACGGGTGGTATGCCACATAGTCGTCAGGACGTAAAGGCCCGTAACTGGGCCGTGAGCATGCACAGAACGCGTCAGACAAACAAGGTTCGCAACTCCCGCCGGAATCCTTCCATGCGACACAGCGCGTAGCTAACATAGTCGAACTCGGGCTCGCCGTCTGTCCCGTCCAACGCCTCGCGAGCCTGCACAAGACCCCACAGCGCCCACATACCGTGCGACGCAGGGCTCCAGGCCCCTACCTGCGCCTCGAGACGCTCTTCCTGAACCTCCAGCGGGTCTGGGCTCACGATGGACGGCTTGTAGTGCGTCAGGTACGCTCGGTAAAAGTTAAAACGCTGCTCCCGGGTAGGGTAACGCGACGGGTCGAGGATGTGTGGAGTCTCGCCGTGGTAATCGGCGGTCCACTCGTGGAAGTGGTTTGCGATATCGAAGGCAGCCGGGTTGGGTGACGCGTATTCGAAATCGACGACAATAATCTAGGAAAGGATGTGTATAAGCGATGCGACGGATGTGATTGCAGACACGAAGCGTACCTGGTGATGTTCGAGAGAACCTGGAGCACAACTGTTCAGCCTGAGCAGGTTGCCGTATTGTGTATCATTGTGTGCAAACACGGCCGGGCTGGCGCCGTGTTTTCCCTCCCACTCCTTCAACCAAGTCACGTACCGCGTCCACTCAACTTCAAACTCGTCGAGTGCAAACGATTTGCGAAGTTCGTCAGAGACAGCAGGCAATGACAGTACTTCTTGGGCGGATGACAGCCACGACTTCACATTCTTCTCGACCCCAAGCTGCCACGGGTGGGGAGCGTCAGTGGGATGCGAGCATGCGAGTGGTTCCTGCAGCTCGACAGCATTGACGTCTACCTGGTGGAGCTCCGCCATTCGGGCACCAATCCAGGTACTGATTTGAGCATTACGCAGATCATCCGCTGCTAATGCGCTCGAGTCGAAGTATTCTTCTACACGGCCGTTTTCAAAGGTACCGTACACCCTCGGACCAATGTGATATCGAGAAGAAAGTGAATGAAGAGTGTGGAGTTCTCGTGGACGAGAAATGAGTGTGCCAGATGAAGAACCGTAGATTCTGAGGAGTAGAATGGAGGTATGTGGGACAGAAGGGCACGATACGAAGAAGACAGCATTGGTGAGCGACCCAGAAACCTTCTGAATCTTTACTGTCTCCGCCGTGATGCCGCGGTGGGTCCACGTGGGGATGCACAGCTTCAGAAGAATCGTGAGCAGCTGCTCCACGAACACAGAGGTCTTGTATCGCCTAGAACGAATGAATGAATGAGTCTGAGTATTTCAGGACTAAGGCTCTATTTCAGACCAAGCCACGACATGCTGAACTTCCGTGCACAGATGCGGTCGGTGGAGCTGACGGCGGCGTGAGCCAAGATAGGCCAAAAGGTGACTCACCGAGCTTCCAGTCTGCCCTCTGCATGTCGCACACCTTCTACGCGCACGACGTCGACTTCATCATCATCGAAAGGTATCGAAAGCGATGAGGAGGATCGGCTTATTGTCCGGATGGAAGGGCTACTACCCCCCACAGCCACCGAAGAGACCGGGACTGAATAGGGCGACAATCGTTCTCCGTAACCGAGGGAAAGCGCTATAGGCTGGAGATCCGGTCCTACAGCAGGGAACATAGAGGTACTCTGCGGCTCAAATGAGGTAAAAATGCGGCCGAGCGAGCGGAGGATGCTACCCAATTGCTTTGGGAGGTGGTTAATTTTTGAAAGACGTAAATCCTGCATGCAGACGGAGAGTAGGCTGTGTCTATCACTTTAGAACGGAGAGTAGAGGACTCAATGTGGTCAGAAACAAGGAGCGAGGGCGGTCACACGACAGTCGCACGCACAAATCTCCAACAGACGCCCGCGGTTTGCGTTTAATGCCGCTTTCATACTCTGACCCTGGCGCTCCACGGCGCTTTCGAGTGCGCGCTATAGCTTTCGATAACTCTTAGATGTTAAATGCTTGTTTCTCAAGCGTGGACTCCATTCTTGAGTGTTAGCATTTGTAGAAAGTATTTTGCTTCCTGCTTTCGAAAATGCAGACAGTTTCGGGGGTGCGTAAGGATGTAGTCTCAGCCCACAGCTAGCGGCTTCACCGGAGACTCTCATTCTCATTATCCCCTTGTGCCATCGTTACAGATGACAAGCGCTTCGCGTTCATTCCTCGGGGCTTGGATGCTCGGATCCGTCTTATCCTCCGTGTAGCTTTGTAGGCCTCATGTGGGCGGCCTCACGCCGAGCATAGACTCAAGAACCCATGTCCGCGGTCGACCTCGGTGCTGGTTCATGGACTGGTGCACCGAGACCGTCGCTAACGTTTTCCTTCTCTTTACAACCGCCCAAGCTCCAAGGTTTGCCTTCAAAGGTGGTCCTGGGTAGCGTGCGGAGTTGAGGTACGCGAACAGCAGTCTTCAACCATGCTTGTGGGAATAACCCAGATCCTTACGCGAACAGGAATACACCTTCGAATACAACAGAGCTTGCGCAAGCCTTGACTTATAACGCGCGAGCGTGTCGTGGACTCATTGTGACCTCATCTCTTGCAGGTTCTCCCGCGATGCTCCAATAATCCACGTTAGGCCAGTCCCCGTTAAATTGCTTGAAGTCTAGGTCTTAAGCAACGCCGTGCTAATCCTGCTAATCCGCAGCAGAAGACTCAGTATATCCACCAGGATGCAGGCGTCTTTACCTTTTTGTTGGCCTCTACGCGAGCGTATGGCACGGACATCCGATGCTTCTGTCCGCAAGAAGATGTTCCATTGCCGTACGTAACGATGAGCCTATCGGGGCCTTTATATTATACGACGACGATGCACATCAGCCGGTCCGAGGTCTAGACAATGACTATAGATCACTAGAGAAGAAGGCGGAGTAGCGTTCTGTGGTTTACACGCAATCGCCTGGATCTGTCTTTCAATCATCCGACATCATTTTGTACACTCACATTATGACACAGCTACCTCTTGCAGCCCTTATCGTGGTGGTATAGGACGTACATGAGCCAAACTATGCATCTTGGTACTGGCCATTGTATCTGGCATGGACAGTAACGAAAGTACGTCTCGCCAATCATGAAAGTGCGTCCTGTCGGAGGATTGGCCTGTGCCTCCAGCCCTCCGACATTGCCATTTACTGCATCTGTAGACACTGCCGTCATATGATACTCACGTTCACATGCCCCTTCGAATTTTCTCAGCGCAAAGTTTCCGTACGCGCAAACTTTGTACGCAGCATATTGATCACCCGGTGGAAGCCAGCGTCCAATAGAGCGGTCTCAGTATGCAACGTTGATGACTACGTCTGTAGCTTCTGTTCTCGCCGTGTCCCTACACGTTGTTCTTACCCTGCACGGCATTGATAAAAGGCTCCAGACTCCAAGGGGTACACTCTCAGAAAGGAACATGACCGCCGAGGGGATCACCAACCTTCCTCGTATCTGCGGTTCTGGCTAAACTGCTCTATGAGTTTCAGCGGGCTCTGGACCATTTGATGCGCGGAATAACGGCAGCATCTACAAGTGAATCTAGAGTTTATTCTTCCGTTTTGACCCTGAACAGCATGCTGACAGTACCATACGTACACTGCAGGCACTTTTAAAACTTTCCTGCCCCGATCCAAGTGGCTCTGAGCGTTTATTTCCCCCTCCTCTCACAGCAGAATATTCTATTACGCGCTCAGGGTAGATAGTACAGTCTTTTGCGGTAGTTTACACGTGTTGCCACAACAGGGTATCCAGAGCATATAGTACGAAAGTAGACTACAGTGTACAACTGTTCAGTAGAAAATTGCAGTGAGTTATAATTCGAGCTCAGGGTCCGAAACAGAAGACGTTACACGAAGAAAGTCATTACACGTGTAGCTCACCGGCGACCGACAAGGTTGACGGCACGACATCAGTGGATTTTTCGTCAGATTCGGTGGTTAGTCGGTTGTCTTCTTTGAAGGCTAACCTTCTCAGGAAGAGTGAAATCTGATCAAAGGGTGTTAAATCGAATAACTAGCGAACGCGTTAGTAAAACTACCGACCAGAAACGCCACGCCCAAGCAAGGGCAGCATATCGCCCATATGGTCTGACAATTATGTTAACACGAGATCACCTGATAGTGAGAATGTCGCCCACTTGGATCGACACGGATACTGCGTGTACCACTTCGAGTTGTAAAGCCAGGGGAGTGATGAGGTTAAGTTGGTTAAGATTGAAATCAGAAGGGGATCCGATGCCGTTTGGCAACAATTGCGACAGGCGAGAATTGAATACCGCCCCTGCAACAGACTGCGAACCTTGAGTGATATACACCGGTGGTCTGACACACAACGTACGAGGCCAACGGTGGCGCCTGTGAAGCGGACTAGAAAGAATGCACTCGTTCCAGATGCGAGCTCCTTAGGACGGAGGGTCTTGGTGAAAATCTGATATGGTGCGTGGAAAAGCATGCCGAGTCCGAGGCCGCAGAGCAAGGGGAAAACGCTCTGGATAATGCGAGAAGACAAGTCGTTAAGTGTGATCATCAGACCTGAGTTGGATTAGTCGCATTGCATACCACCATGAGTGCAGGAGACCCACCAAATCCCAGCGCTGCCAGACATAAACCGGTGCTTATCATAAGCTTTTGCGCGCTGATGCCGCCTGTCCTCTTCTGCTGCCATGAGATGTACCAGGCGACTAATTACACCAACCATGAGTCAATATATCGGAAGATAAAGGGCGGACAGACCTGGGAGAGAAGCAACAGATGACCCCAGTGAATACGGCAACATGTGCAAACCAGCGATGACCGGCTTCAGGCTCTCAACAGACTGGCAGAAGGCAGCTAACTGTCAATTTCAAAGCGGGAGCACGAGGGCATAACCCACCTGGAAATAAAGCGCTAGATAGAACGTTCCAGCATTGAAGCATAAGTTGTGCAAGAAGTTTATAGCGAGGATGATGACTGGAATACAGTTAATAGCCGATCTCTGTGCGGTTTGAGAAGACTCACTTGTTGTGCGATCAACAAAAGCGGTTCGCGGGAATAGCGCATCACGTTTTGTTCGGACTTCGTAGCATCCTCCGAGAATGAGAACGGCTACCCCAGATATGATCAAAATCAATGTTCCGGGGTTGTCCCCTAAGGGAGTTGCCATAAGCGACTACGGGAGGTAAATCTATAGGCGATATCAGACTTACATCCCAGACTCCCGGAAAAGCTGAAGCCAATGATGATGCAGCTGCTTCCGCACATGAATAATGACCTGCGCAGCGACATGAGTCTAAGGGTAGCCAGTCGGCTTGAGCGGCACTCACAAGCCGAGGAAGTCGAAGGTATGTGCAAACGTATGCCATGACGTCTGTCGAGACACACCCACGTCTACTCCGCGGAGTGCGAGAAGAAGCACCACAAGAGCAACAAGACAAACAGGGAGGTTGAGGTAAACTAAGGGGGGTATCCATTCAAGGGGTCTGTCCCGTGGGATAATGTGAGGACTCACATGCACATCTCCAACTCAAGAAGCCCTTGCTGTCTAGGGTCCTTTCAGCCCAGATTGTCTCGGGTAGAAGCTCGGCACTTACTGCTGAAGGCACCGCCTAGGAGAGGACCAGCTATCGCCGAGCAGCTCCAGGTGATGCTGAGGGCCTGAGACCACTTCGCACGGGACCGCTCTTCCACAATTTCGGAGGTGATCGTCCACACCAGGCTGACGATCCCTCCCCCGCCGATTCCTGCGAGCGCTCGGGCTATGATAAGCCAGAGCATGCTCTGAGAACCGCCGCACAGAATGGAACCCGTCACGAAGACAACCATGCTGCTGTAGAGAACAGTCTGCGGCAATCAAGCTTTAGAGGTATGATATACAACAGCCATCAGGAAGGGCCTACCTTCCTCCCTAGAAGATCGGATATTTTCCCGTACAAGGGCTGGAAAGCCGTCTGCGTGAGCATGTACGCCACGCCGACCCATGTGTACTCCAACTGTGACGCGTTGAGGTCGCTAGATATCGTTGGCAGGATCGTAGACACGATTGTCTTCACATCCAGAAGGTCAGACGATTAGCATTTAATGTGAGCAGAAGAGAAGGCAAGGGTCTTACAGCGTCAGTTGTGGCTAGGAACAGAGTAATTGCGGCGCTAGAACACTTCGTCAACTCATGTTTGAAGAAGACTGTGTCTTGGGTACCAACCCAAGGTGCGCCAGAAATAGCCGAAAGGTCGACAATGGAGGCGGCTTCGCCGGTTCGTAGTCTCCGACAAGAGTAGAAGTCGATGACGCTTTCGAATTGGTAGGAGAGAACGGCGCGTTAGGCTTATAGCCCGGCAAAGACTTTGCCTCAGGAGCAGAAGCTGGTGCTTTCGCTGCCGGGCTAGTGGGACTGTCGTCAAGCTTCATAATGAAGTTTTTTGGGCGACGCGAAACGTGTAATGTTGAGCGAATAGACAACGGCCGAGAGCTGGTGGATACATACTCGCTATACGTTGGCGTACTTATACGTCCCATGGTGCAGCATATGCCGACCTGCCCACCTCAACGACAACGTCATGAATAGCCCAGATGTGCAAGAGAATGCTACATAGTTTCTCGAACGGTGTCTCCACCGAGGGAGCTCAGATCTTCAAGACTCGATTCAAATGACCGAGTTGTGGACACGGGTCACTCGACAAACGATAGCCTTTGTGCCCTCTTTCGACCGGAATTACGAGCCCGAAGATCAAAGAAGGCATTTACGGACACCCCATGTCAAGGATTATGTGGTGGTCGAGGAGAGACGTGCATGCAGAAGGTGAGACTCAGGAGAGGTCCCGCCGCATTTGGCACGGGACAGATCCAGTCTCCCTGCCACAAGGAGCGCGCTGCAGGCTACAGGTACCGCAATAATTCTAGGGTTACCTCTTCCCAGAGGCCTCGACCACAGCAGCATTTTCGTGGATGTTTCCACGCGGCGATAGGCTTTGAATAAACTCAGCAAATCACTGACCGAGAGCAAGTTTGAATTCGCCGGCGCCGTATCTCCCTTACCGCATTCCGTGACGGACAGTACAAGCTTCGAGAGAAAACAGATCGTCAACGTTATCTGGCCGCGTAGAACGCCCTGAGGCCTTCTGACCAAGTGAAACAGAACGTGCGCTCCTCTCTCCCGCATGGAACGGCAGTGATGATGCCACTTATCCACGCCTTACGGCCCATGGCTGCCCTCAGCGGATGAGCGGCTTACCACTACTGCTCGGGTAGATAGCTATTTTCTAGTACCAGCAAAACTTCTAATACCGTGAGCGGAGCATGTGGAGGTATTCATTACTGCGGAACTATTACTATAAGAAATTCTAGAGCGATTCGACAGCCGGCCCTTGTAAGAGTTCGTGATCTTGACCAGTCTACAGCGCAGCGGCTCTCTTCCTTCGGTCACGTTCCCCCTCTGTCCGGTCTGAATCAGATGGCGATCCGTCTTGCGTTGGTTCCTCTGCACGTTGCAGTCATGAGAATCCGGATGCAAAAAATGGTGATCATCAATAAACGGCGTGGGCGGGTAAAGCGGATTGTTATATGGAGGGTTAAAGGCCGATGAGCTCTTTCAGCCTATGCCAAGTACGGGACACCCAACCACTTTTGTGCGTAGTTGGGTACGTAAAGGAAGAGAAAGAAGCCGTACCATTAGCGTCTGTGTTATCTGCATTTGCTGCTTCTTGACTTGGGCTTGACGAGCTTGCTCGACTTTTGTCGTCGCTTGACTTCGCTGGCGCGCGCCCTTCGACGTCATCTGCGTACATTTGCAGAATTTCTCGTTGTCGCTTATTAAGTGTCCTGCTCCTGTGGTCAGCTGGGCGCAGGGATTGAGTAAAAAGAGCGCACCTCGGGATCTGGACGGAGAACATGACAAAAAGATCACCCTTGTTGCCGCTGTACACAGATTGGATGCCTCGTCCCTTCAAAACCATTTCCTCTCCAGGCTGTGTTCCGCCAGGAACGCGTACATCCACCTCGCCATCAAGGGTGGGAACGCGTACGCGGCCGCCCAAGATTGCAGTGTGGAACGGCACGCGGACCTCATGATAGAGGTTGGTACCTTGTCGCCGGAACATCTTGGAGCTCGCGACGCCGACACGGACAAGGAGGTCACCTGGTTGACCCTTGCCAGAAAGGGGAGCATCACCCGTGTTCGGGATCCTGATGGTCATGCCGTCCTCGACACCTGGAGACCAGTCTCAAAAGACGGCGTCGCTAAATGAATAATAAAGTTCGCTCACCCGCAGGGATTTCAACCTTAACTGTCTTCTTGGTCCTGACTTGCGAGACGCCGCCACAGTCGCCGCACTGACTTCCGCGAGGGATCGTGCTACCAGTGCCCTGGCAAGATGGACAGGTGCTAGCCATCTGGAAGCCACTGTCTAAAACGAAGGTTCGGGTTCCGGAGCCACCACAAGAGGTACATGTCGAGCGTTTAGCACCCGCTTTCAGACCTGTACCGGAGCATGTCGGACAGTTGACAATCGGATGAATGGTGATGGTACGTGAAGTGCCTTTGCAGGCCTCCATAAACGAGACACCGATAGAGGCTTCTATATCGCCCCCGCGCATATTCTGTCGTGCTGAAGGTCCAGCTCCTCCGAAAGAGCCAAACAGGGTTTCGAATAAATCTGCCTGCGAACCGCGTGCCCCTGCTCGCCCTCCACCAAATAGCGAAGAAAGATCCTGGAAGTGGAAGCCTCCCGCAGCACCGCCGAAACCACCGGCGAAGGCATTCGGATCGAATCCCGGCTGTTGAGCAGCAGACCCGTATTGATCGTATGCGGCCCTCTTCTTTTCATCTTTTAGAAGCTACGGAGAATTTGTGAGTTGCGTAAAGGGGACGTCTTGCAGTTATGGCTTACATCGTAAGCCTCCTGAATCTCTACGAACTTCTCCTTCGCATCCTTGTCTGGGTTGGTGTCTGGATGGTGTTTGCGCGCAAGCTACGCAGGTGGATCAGATCTGCGAATCATCGAAGTTCCACCAGGAGCCCGAACTTACCGCAAAGTATGATTTCTTGATGTCAGCCTGTGAAGCGTCTTTGGAAACACCCAGCACCTGGTATGGGTTCTTCGGTGCGGCTCGGGACGCGGTAGCATGAAAAGCCCTCTAATAACACAGTCAGCACATGAACAGAAATTTTGAATGCGCTTGCCCACATGTTTCCCAGCGTGCAATGCCAGTGGTACCCGAGAGGTGGCCTTCGACCTCAGTTGCTTGCTCGCGCGTAGGCATGTCGCGATACCTCTAGACGAGCCGGAGCGTGTCTGCGAGCAAGAGTAGAAGGAGATAAACGAACGAATGCGCTGAGCAGAGAGTCGTGACTGCATGAAGACGAAAAGCGAATGAGAGGCCGTGAAGCACACCTCCAATTGCAGTTCGGAAGGCGGAGGCGCTTTGAAATTTATTTCCCACGGTCAGCCACGTTCCAGATCTTTCTAACCTCTCCGCGCCACAAATAAGGCAAGTCTCTAGGAACGCCACGCTCGCCTACGGTCCAGGGCAAACGGTGCAATACTAGTAAAAACAGCAGAATATACTTTGTTCCGCTTGAAGTCCTGGTCGGGGGAAATTGTGGTAGATTGATGCTGAATCTTGCGCGAGAATCACGGTATACTGTCCTATTCACTCGTCGTCTCGCCGGCAGCCGAGCGAGCCTGCCAAAAGCCCTTTCCATACGATACAAGGATCTCCTGTCCTCTCTTGATCTCGTCCTTACCGCTCCATACAGCCATGCAAAGCTCTCCCATGCCGTTCCTGCGCTCCTCGAAGAAAGCATTTGGCCTGGCTGCCACCCCTCTGTAGTCGTTGATAAATCTGGCCTCATTGCCCATATGGCTCGCGTCCACTCCAACGCTGACGCCGCCAGTGTTGTGATACAATGAGATGTCATAATTTGAGCTCGGTCTGTCGTCAACGTGGACCTCGCCGACATAGTCGATGATGTGTGAGCGGGGCGGTATCTTGCGCGCGGCAAACAGGCCGTGCTGGCCTTTTGCGGGATGGCCATCCACGGCGATGGGTTTTATCACCACTGGCAGAGACTCCGTAATACTCCCTGCGCCACCATCTATCCGCGTCTTCGGACAGAGATATGCGCGGATGTCTCGAGGAACGGAGGCATGGAACCGCTGAGAGCGCGCGTACTGCACCTCCTGAGGCCAGCGTGCGGGCAGTTTCGGGGACATTTCGCCGCCAAGTAAGAACTGGCGTGCAAAAATTAATGATCTTTTCTTCGAAGTGAACAAATGGCGAGCTGAGGTGGATTAGAGTCTGGGTACTTACGGTCGTCAGAGTTGTAGCATAGCGTGCGAAACTTGACACGCGGCTACGGCTCTGTGATGGCTCTCAGTTGTGGCTCAACGAGGCACGGTGGAGGTGAATCGCAACGGCCTCGTCCCCGTCTCCAACCTCCACTCTCGTCGCAGCGGTTATGGGAAGGTCGCAGACAAAGTCCGTCGCTCGTGTCTACGCAGATGTTAACGCCAAACTGGGGCCGTCCTGGTACGAATACGGTGCGTTAGAGAGTCGTTGTATACGATCATTTGCCTGTGTTTAAACGCTATATCAGACAACCTGCAGGTACAGTGGGGCACTCAAGATCATTATGAGATAGTTAGGAAGGTCGGAAGGGGCAAGTACTCCGAGGTCTGTCCACGCAGAAACCCGTATGATTCATGGCTAAACTCTCATCATTTTGCCTAGGTCTTTGAGGGTGTCAACATTGTCAACGAAGAGAGGTGTATCATCAAGGTTCTCAAGCCCGTGAAGAAGAAGAAAATAAAGCGAGAAATCAAAATTCTCCAGAACCTTGCTGGTGGACCGAACATCATCGCACTCCTCGACGTCGTTCGAGATCCATCATCCAAAATCCCCGCACTCATCACGGAATACATCCACAATGTCGACTTCAAGGTTCTCTACCCCAGGTTCAACGATTTTGACATCCGATTCTACATGTTCGAGTTACTCAAGGTATGTGTGGCGCTGCACAATGCTCGCAACGTGTCTGAGCATGCTGTTAGGCTCTGGATTTCTGTCACTCCAAGGGCATTATGCATCGCGACGTGAAGCCTCACAACGTCATGATTGACCACGAACGTAGGACTGTAAGAACCATTCTATGAAAGCTAGACTTGTCATGTGCTAATGCTCTCGTCAGCTTCGTCTAATTGATTGGGGTCTCGCCGAATTTTACCACCCCAAGACAGAGTACAACGTCCGCGTTGCGTCGCGTTACTTCAAGGGGCCTGAGCTACTTGTAGACTTTCAGGAGTATGATTACAGTCTTGATATGTGGAGCTATGGATGCATGTTCGCTTCCATGGTAAGTGCCGCGCTATTACAGTCAAGGCTACAGTCAACGAGCATCGACACTCTTGTCCTAGATATTCCGCAAGGAGCCCTTCTTCCATGGACACGACAACTACGACCAACTGGTCAAGATTGCGAAGGTTCTCGGCACTGAAGGCCTATATCAATACATCGAGAAGTACGACATCGCTCTCGATCCTCAATATGACGACTTGATCTCGAAGTAAGCGGAGCCTTTACCTATTTGCCCTGTCCTTCTCAAGCTACTTTCAGCTGGCCGAGGAAGCCCTGGACTCGCTTCGTCACCTCAGAGAACTCGAGGCTCGTCTCCAATGAGGCCATCGATTTCCTGGACAAGCTGCTGCGATACGACCACCAAGAACGTCTTACTGCCCGGGAGGCGCAGACACACCCATACTTCGGTATGCTCTATTATTGTCGCAGATGTAGCATGCGATGCTCATACGTGTTCTCTGATGCAGACATGGTGAGGCGGGATGCAGCACGCGTTGTTGATAGCGACGGGTCGGGCGCGTGACACTGTACCGCAGTGATGTCCTTGTGCTATTCCATAACTACTTTTCGTAATGCGCTCACCAGTCCTAATAGCTGTATTACCACATTAGATTGTCAGAATACGATCTATTGTATACCTCGCTGATCCCTCGGGAGCTCGGTCAGGTTGCCAATTCGGGACACGTGGTCTATTCCTCCGAAAGCGCGACGAAGCTACGAACAACCCTACTTCTCCTCGGAACGTCTTCCATGGCATGCTCTGTTCTATCGCTGTGAGGAGAGCATGGGATGTTATCTTGTGCGTCCTTGCAGCATGAACTTCCTTGCACGCCGTCGCTATCGCAATGTGGTCTGCCTTCGGCAGCCATTCTCACCGCATGTGTCTACAGCTTCCACGGCAGCCTGCAGATCCATACCATGCTATTCTAACCCGAGTCAGGCAGCAGAGCTGAGTGAGCTTACTACTCATGCATGCGGTCGCAGCGCACACATGAGCGATAGCAGACCGTGCCACGCTTGGAAGTCGTCAAATTGGACACTAGGCTAGTAAAAACCTCGGTATGTCGTACATGTATAAAGCGCGGGATTATGTGACTTTCGCGCTTCGGTGGCCTACGCTGCAGCCCCATTCCTGCCTGGGACCTGAAGACCGATGGCTCCGTCTCTCGTGTCTCTCGCGTTAGCACTTGCCCTCGTCGGCGCTCAGGTCTTCCTTGTTAGCGCGTTCGACAACACCCTGTATGACAACGTGAGCCTAGGCCCGTTCGTCCCTGCAACGTTCCGTCAGTTGATCGTGTCGTCTTTGTGCTTCTTCACAGGTCGCAGTGTGAGGATCTGATATCATACATGGCCTACGTCCGGTCGATGCACATGCTGATGAGAGCGCCACAGCTACTGGGGCCAGAACTCGTACGGTGCCGTGAACAGCGCCGACACCGCGAACTGGCAGAAGTCTCTGGCTTTCTATTGCCAAGTACGTCTATATGACATTCGCGTGCCCTGGGATATATGAGAGAATTGATGCCTTCCGCATGTCAGGACGACGCCATTGATGTCTTCCCGATGGCCTTCCTGAATGTTTTCTTTGGTCCAGGCGGTGAACCCTCGCTGAACCTCGCGAACGTGAGCTTTAACGTTCTGAGCATGCCGGCATACCTCTCACGCGACCACATGGATGCAGACTTGCAACCCCACCGACAACGCAACTTTCTCTGGGACAAACTTACCGATCTGCACATCCGTTGGCACGGACATCCAGACATGCCAAGCTAAAGGCAAGATTATAACTCTAAGTCTCGGCGGTGCAACGGGATCTGTTGGGTTCTCGAGCGACAGTCAGGCGGAAGACTTTGCAGATACCATATGGAATTTGTTCCTCGGAGGAAGCAGCTCCACGCGTCCTTTCGGAGACGCCGTTCTCGATGGGTGAGCGACTAGCTTGCATTGGTACTCGACCCCTTCTCACTCGACTTCGTGCAGGGTTGACCTCGATATTGAGGGTGGCTCTTCGACCGGTTACGCGGCCTTCATCAACCGCATTCAATCGAACGCTGCTGGGGCTAGCAAAAAGTGAGTTTCTTTGTTAAAGCTCACGCGCACAGAAATTTTCATAGCACTTGAACCTTGACAGATACTATATCACCGGCGCGCCGCAGTGCGTGTATCCGGACGCGTCTCTCGGCGGTGTCCTGAACACTGCGAGTTTCGACGCCATCTACGTTCAATTCTGTACGTCATAAAACTTTCCACCTCGTTTGGGACTCACAGATCTCCACGCAAATGTCAGATAACAACCCTTGTGGTCTCCAGAACTTCAACGAAGCCTCCAACTGGGACTTCGGCATATGGTGCAGCCGGTCTTATCTTCGCACGGTGGCGCTCTCATACTGATGACATCGGCAGGGACAACTGGGCACGCACCATCAGTCCTAATCCCAATGTCAAGGTCTACATTGGTGCACCCGCGTCGAGCAGTGCGGCAGGCACCGGCTACGTGCCAATCAGCACGTTGCAAAACATTGCGACCCAGATGCGCAAGGCCTTCCCGTCCTTTGGTGGCGTGATGCTCTGGGACGCGTCCCAAGCCTATGGTCGGTGCCGTCAACGATTCACTATCGCTGACACCGACAGCTCACGATTGCCTTGCAGCAAACGACCGTTACGATCTCGCGATCAAGAACGCGCTTGTGGCAGCCGGCGGTACTGGGTTCACCTTCCCTGCATGCTCTGCGCCAGCGTTCGTCTCTGGCTCGGCCTACAACGCCGGCTCTCAAGTGTCGTACCAAGGGTATGCACCTTGCCCTTCCTGCCAAGCTGCGTCTATGCTCACACCTCATTTTTCGCATGATTCTTGCACTAGCTACATCTGGGAGGTCTGTAACCCTGAATTCTTTCTCGAAAGTCGCGCCTCCTCCTGACTGCCCACATGCACGCAGGCCAAGTGGTGGTCCTCCTCCACACCCAGCTCCAACGAGAACGGCGACTGGAGTGCCAGTGAGTCATCATCTTGCTTCGCTTGCCGCCCTCGCACCCTGACCACCGTGCCCCAGTTAGCGCATGTGCAGGTGGCGCCACCGCGCCTAGCAGCAGCGTGCCAAGCGGGCCCTCGTCCAGCAGCAGCAGCAGCACCGCGCCAAGCAGCTCCCCGTCGAGCGGCGGCAGCTGCAGCGGCGTCGCGGCGTGGTCCAGCACGGTCGCGTACACAGGGGGCCAGCAGGTATCTTACGGGTAAGCACCGCTTTCACGGCCAGTCTTGTGTCAGCTGCGAACGGTTCGCGCAAAACCTTGCGCCGCGCGGCGCGCCGGACACGACGCGCACGTCACACCTTACGTCCAGACCGTGCTGACGACCGAAACTTGCGTCCTGCAGCGGACACCTGTGGACCGCCAACTGGTGGACCGAGGGCGACACACCCGGAGGTGAGTCTTCCATCTCCCGTCAGCCCTGCGTTTCGAGTGGAATGGAGAGCTAAGCCCTGTCCCCCCTGCTGCCTCGCCAGGATCGGCCGGCTCCTGGGCGGACGACGGCGCCTGCGGTGTCTCAAAGCGGGGAGTCGAGGCCAGCGGCGAGCAGGAGCTGCCCGCGCCGCTCCCTTCTCGCTCAAGGGTGGCGTCGAGGTTCTTCCGGCTGTGAAAGAGGCCACCGGCGGGCGCGTGGACGCGACGCAACACACGCCCATGCACACGCGCGCCGCCTGTCGCAGGCTTCCATGGCGTGGCGCGAGTTGACCTTGCGATGGCGTGCCGGAGGCGCGGTGCTGAGACGAAAGGGAAATCGTTGCGCAGAAATTCTAGAACGAGCTTGGGGGGGGTTGTGCCCAAAAAACGGGCTGTGTATTCTATTGTCGCTGTCTTACAGAAACGAGCGAACGAAACTGCCGTCGGCCTTTCAGCGCGCTCACGGGTGGCCATTGCGCGGACTGGGAGTTAATATTGGCTCTTGGAGCACAGCCACGTCTTTGACCGAGCTGTGACATAACTTACGCCATGTCATTTCCTGTGCCCTGCATGGAAAGTCATATTTAGCATCCTGTGTCGGCTTCGGCATCTCGGATACGCTCTTCGTGCAACTGGCAGGCTTCGTACACGGGACCGCGAACATACGAAATAGCCAGAAAATCCTTCGCAGAAAATTTCAGGGAGACGTACCCGCAGGTCGTGCGCTGGCGCATGATTACAATTACGGCCTGCTTACAGCATGCGTACACGCTGGCACATTACATGGAACTTGCCAAGTGGCAAGACGAAAACCGCTTACGATTGCAGCTTCGCGCGGGAAGCTTGGCAGTGTTGACACACGGACACGTATTTCCGACGGGATACGGTAATAAGAAACGTGATAGTAGTTTTGAGTACAGCTGACAGACACCCATGCAGTAAATAAAGAAAACTAAAATGCTTTGACGACGATGGTAAAAACTACAACAAAACAACAGTGAATCCCAACGCAGACTGAGGGAGAAGAGAACAACGGCAGGACGCCGCTAGTGTGACGAAAGAGGGCTGCCAGCTTGCCGATCTGCTTCTTGATATTCCGCTCCCCTCGATGACAGTAGCGAGCCAATAGTCATGGCTTCTCGTGATCTTGGAGAGCCACCACTGTGGTGTGATGACGATTGTGATGAGTAGGGAGACGTAGAGTAATGCGGGGCGTCGAGTTGCGAGGGCACCGCCCGCTCGTAGTAAGCACGGGAGCGGTAGTCCCCGTAATCTGACCGATTCGGCGACCGCGACCGGCGGCGTTTACGCAAGTGCGGCGAGGAGAGATGCTCGTCTGATGAGCGTGATGATATCGACGAAGCACGTCTGCGCGATACTGGTGACTGGGTGTGGACAGTCGGAGACTGCTGGTAGAGCGACGTCGGGGGCGAAGGTAGCGGGTACTGTGGCATCACATGGTGCTGGACAGCATATGCTGATGACGAAGTCTGCGGTTGTGTCCTGTAGAGCTCGAGCAGCGTGCGCCGCAGGTTACGGTCCGCAGCCATTCGCTGCGTAGGACGACGAGTAAGCAGATGATCCGGACACGTTAAAGAAAGCTAGCTCACGTTGTCTTCCGCTGTCTTTGCGTTCAAGAGAGCAAAGAGCATGTCACGGTCGCCGTCGCCCTTGGCGGTATACGCGGCGAGGATGTCGTGCATGGTTGGTGCGGCACGCTGTGGCGGAAGGGTCAGAAACGACATAGCTGCGGGCTGGGTAGAACAACATACCTGGTCCAAGACACGAAGCGTGGACGCGAGGAGAGCGTCTGTGTCAGTGTCGAGGGCCCTCGAGTAGGAGCAGGGAGAGTTGGAGTAGGACGAGGCAGGAGGCGATGGTGCGGAGGACATGGTGTACGGCGAGAAGGGGGACGTGGAGGAAAAAGCTGAGGGAGAGACGATCCGCACCGGAGGGCTTTTTGAGTGAGAGCCAAGTCGAGAGTCTATCTTTGACACTCTGAGCTGGATACAAGTAAATATAGATGCCAAGCCTCTGCACACTCAATGGTCCCTGGACAGATCGCGGGTTCCCTCCGACGATGGGAGGCGGCCTGCGGGATCGCACAGGCGTGGCTGCCCACCGCCGCCGTGTTCTCGAGCATGGCGGACGACGCGGGCGGGGGGGCGGGTACGTTGGGCGGAGGTGTGGGGACGAGGAAGCGTGCGCGCCTACCGAAGGCGACGATGGTGTTGCAGCCCGATTTGGAGAGACGGAGACTAAATATACAGACTTTGGCTTGGCATCGGTCCTATTTTAGCGCATCGAACCGTGTCCAGGTGTGTCACCGCTGGAACACCCATTCACCGCCCGCCACCGCTCACGGATTCTCCAGCGACTTCACCCGTCGAAAAAAAAACGCAAAGGCAGAAAAAAAATTGCTGCAGCTGCGCGGTGGCCGCCGTCGCAAAAAGTGGCCGAAAGCCGACCCGCTGATGCCATGCCAGGCACGGCGCACGCCAAGCCATCAGCCTCGCCTCCTGATACCGAGTCACACACAGTCACGTCGCGCCGTTTATAGCCAACGCGGTTCACGACTGCTCTCACTACCACCTGCTCCAAATCTATTCCCATCGCTTCTTTCTCATTGCTCCGTCTGCCTCAAGCGTCCTCTCGTGCCTCAAGAGCCCGAGATAAAAACCATGCCAATCTTTGACCAGCTTCCGCAAGACGTCCTCGACGGAATATTGCTCAGTCTGCCCGATTTTACAACACTCTCGGCAGTACTCAGGACATCCAAAAGTCATCTGTATAATACATTTCAGGCCCATCCCAAGTCAACCGCGCTCTCAATCGCATACAATTTGGTCGGACCTGCTTTGCCTCAGGCCGTGAGAGTCGTGTTCAACGCCGACCCGAAGCTGTGTGACGAAGATACGATTCTCGCGGACCGCGTTCTGGATCGTGATGCCTGTGAATTGCTCCAGCAGAATGCGGCGATCGTGCAGCGGCTAGAAGACCTGTTCAGCTTCAGGTATGCTGGCCACCCAGCCACGACATGCGCCACAAAGCTGACAAGAGCCCAGAAACAAGGACCGCTCCTCGGCGGCGAGCAAACTCACGTCCGAAGAGTCTCTGCGTTTTCACAGGGCGGCATACCGGTTCTGGCTGTATTGTAAACGTGTCCAGGCCGAACTGGAAGAAAACGACACCGGATATGAGCAGATCCTCGATTCCTGGCCCACCGACGGATTATTGGAAATAGACCGTGTGGCCTCCTTCCTCCAAGACGTCTTGTCCTGGACCTTCGTTCTTGGCACTGAATGGTCAGACGGGTGGGATAGCAGTCTGTCTCTACCCGCACCATCTCCAGGCCTCTGCTGACAGCACCGCCAGGTCCGCCGGCTGTGCTTTTCATGGGAGGTCCGGATACCGCCTTGTCGTACTGGGAAAGCGCGGAACTGCCGGAGACCCTGTGGGTGTGGCATCTCACATTCAACTTTGATGAGCAACTCCGCACGACACTTGCACGAAGGAATATCAAAGCGGACGCCCAGGTGACTGAGCGAGCAAAAGCTATTATTGACACAGCATACGGGAGCCAGGATGACTGTTGGTAATTTCGCGCGGCAGCCCTCGAGCCTTCGCTAAGCGTTCCCGTCAATGTAGGCTATCGTTGTCATGAGCCGAAGGGTTTAGATCTGTGGGGCCGGCCAAGTGAGTTTGCAACTGAATTGTGCACCGCTCCAGGCTAAATTTTGGCTGCTTGATCAGACTGGCAATTGCTACGTGGCATCATTTCCGTGCGCAGGTTGATTCAGACCCTGGAGGGCAACCTTTCGAGGAACAGTCACGAGATGTCGCAGCTTGCTGATCACATCCAGGCCCGAGACGATGACCTCAGGCTGACATTCGACTGGGCTAAATTTATCGAGGAGCTCTGTGACATGGACGGTGATGCGGAAGGGCCTTGGGACAAGGACCAGTGGTATTGCCTCGACTGTTTACTCGCCCTCGTCCGGTTGCGCCTGCGCGAGTGGTGGACGGCCACGAAAGTCAAGGGTATGTCTCCTTTTAGGCTGCCGCAGCCGATTCCTCGCTTATGACTTCATTGGTGGCCACGCAGAAGGCATGCAATTCAAGCCTGACTGCTGGTACGGCTACAACTGCCGTACGCAGGTCCACAGAGCCCAACATGCAACTAAACTGAACGTAGGCATGCCCTGGCATGAACTAGCTTACCGAGGCTTACGGTAAATCTATCATAGCACCTGTGCACCCCCACCAGAGGCGATCCTGCGTGATATCAAGACCATTGAGTGAACCGAGATATCTAGAATGCAACGCCTGTGTCGGGATTGCCGCGAACGTGTCCCGATTTAGGATCAAGCCACAAGTCCGCTTTTTGTCCACTTCTTGTACTTCTTCCTCGTTTTTATGAAGCTGTGTGATGTGAAGCTCTCCGTCATTGTAAATATACCTGGCCTGTCTCGACGTTCCCTGCCGCGAACTGCCCGACGCGAGGCGCATCCAGACGCCCATTAATGACCGACAAGCGCCGTTTGAGCGTCAGTATTAGTCGCCGCCGCCTGGAGCCGCCGGAAGTGAGCCTGCGTCCCAACATGATGTCCGCCAGGGTACAGAGCATCTGCACCCGCTCTACGGCCAGGTTGTGCCACAGGTCATTCGCCAGAGGACAGACAACGCGCAGCAGAAGCACAGCGCTGCTCCGCCGCTCTTTCGCAACACACCGAGACCCGCTCCCGAGCTCTTCGCTCCTTTCGAGTGCGCTCGACCAGAAGCGTGCCAGGGCGGGGCGCGATGACTCCATGGGCCCGTTTCGTCTCGGTCTCGTTCCTCCAACACCGAACGACCAGGGCGAGGTGAAGAAATGGTCCGAGCTGAGCATGAGCGGGAAAGGTGCGCAAACATGAACCACTCGGGCTCGCTCGAACTCATCGGTACATCGGTGCAGTCGGCCGCGCGACGGCCAGGACCACCAACCTGTTCGTCATCCTCTTCGGGGCGGGCTTTTCGGCCATGCTTGTCTACGCCCTGACCTCAGAGCTATTCTCGAAGAACTCGTCGACAGTTCTGTACGGCCAGGCGTGCGAGCTGATCAAGTCTTCGGACAAGGTGCGTCCTCTGTACCATGCCGCTTTTCATCCCTGAGACTCTTTAACAGGTTAGCCAATACCTGCGAGGGCCGTTCGTGTTCCATAATAACCCGCCGTCCGCCGTGCGGCCGCGACATCGCAACGATCGCGTCGCGTCCCAGATAGCCCGAGACTCGTCAGGACGCGAGCACATGCTGCTCAACTTTTTCGTGCAGGGACAGCCGCACAACGCGGCGACGATACCACCCGACCAGTCGGCATTCCAAGCGGCCGTCGAGCGGGCGAAAAACTCGGCCTCTGCGCTGTCGGACATGTCGGCGGACGAGCTCGTGGAGTCGACGAAGAGCTACGCGTCCGACAAGTGGGAATCCTGCAAAAGGCTGTTCAGGTTCCTCAGTGGTGACCCGCTGCCGTCCTCGCCGTCGCCACCGATGCCGTCCGTTGAGCCGAAACAGGCAAAAGCCGGTCGGCGGCTGGAAGCAGGGTCTGACGGGACTCTTTGCCGGTCTGCGACCTAGCAGTCCAGAGTCCGCTGGCACGACGGCAAGTACACCGGAAGAAGGTTTTGTAGATGGCGAGGTGCATGCTGACTTGGCCATGGTGCGTGCATCCGGACTGTGCGGTTCGGGACGAGTGCGCTGATCCTCAAATCTAGAACGACCACGGTCAGTTTGAGTTCCGGTACCTAAGGGTGGATATTCCGGGTATGTTTCAAGTTTATCCATTCTCTATGGCAGCATCCCTGACCGAAAGGATTCCTGTGTTGAAACAGATTCATCAGCACCTCGGCCGATACGAGTGTTCGTTATTGGCGGTGGGCCCAACAGCGGCGGACGGCGGAAATAGCGTCCAGATCGCACAAAGCCTATAGCTTCCTCCGTGTAAAAATAGCTCGCTTTCGTTGCACATCTGCCCATGCTATCGTTCTTCCGCTCGATGTCGATCACGGGGACATTTTAATATTGTATTAATACGCGGTACATGTACACATCCGCCGTAGTCCGATGCACGAGCGCATGTCCATGCGAGACATTCTTAGTCACCGAAAAGCTTTTGCACGCGCTTGAGTATGGAGTCTTTAGAGGGATCTGCAGGGGCGCCACAACAGCACAGCCGAGACAAGTCGGTCGGTACAGTGGAAGCAAAGGCGCGGGACGAGGGACGCACCGTATGGATGATCCTTGGAGGGTATCTCGAGCAAGGCGGGAAAGGCTTGGGTGTACTTGTCTACAGTAGGCCTGATCTTCTCCGCGACCTGCTCATGACGTGAGATGGTGCGACAATGAAAACGGGCGTGGACGCGTACATGCTGGTTAATGAGAAGGATGGCAATGTCTTTCCGCTCGGTGTACTCTTGGAAGGTGGCTTCAATGGCAGATACTTGTGTTTCTATACGCAGTCAGATCCGAAAATGCGGTGCATGCGCAGGCGACGCTTACTGGAGTCTACGACCAGGAAGTTCTTCTTGCCCCGCTCGACATGGCCGATGCCAGCCAAGAGAAGACCTGTAATAGTGTCCTGCAGTGACGTGATTTGTGAGAATTACTACGGTAAGTGAGGATATCTCACACCTCGTCCCCAATCACTGCCAACAAATTGCGATCCTTGAATGCGGTGGTCATCGTCGAGGACGACTTGGCATGGGCCGCGGAGGCGTCACTCCTGCCATGCAAGCGCCCTAGGCATGATCACGACCATGACCGCATCGATCAGGCGCCCATTATTGGATTGCATCTTGCGTAGGGCACATGCTCAGTGCACACAGCTTTTTCTTGTATGTATCCTAAGCTGTCTATGCTTGCATTGTATGTAATACGTTTAATTCCCTACACAGGAAACGCAGGGAAGTTCGTGAAGATGGAGAGAGCCGAAAACATCTTCAATCGCCCGCCCGCTGTGTCTGAGGACACCGTACAATATGTGCTCTACCCGCCCAAGGAGCAATCAGACAAGGCCTCGGTCACCACGCTTGCGGTGCTGATGCAGAACCACACAGACTCTCTGCTGCCCGACATGCAGTGGCACCGGGACGGCTTCCAGCTGAAGGTCATCTCGCATCCCCTTGGAAGAGGTTTCATTCTGGAGGGAAGGATGAGGGTCGGAGACTCGATTGACGACGAGTGGTGTGCGGTGTGGCTGCTTCGCGAGATCACCGCAAAGTGGGACGTTGCTGTCAGGTGCGTGACTACTCTTGCAAGCGTCTTGCGCTTCTGACACGATATCATCAGAGTTTTCGATACAGACGGAGAGTTCCTGCTTATCGAGGCGGCGGACGACCTTCCCTCCTGGATTACACCAGCAAATTCAGAGAACAGAGTACGCACGAACGATCATCTCCGTGTTTACGTGTATGTTGACGGGAAGTTAGATATGGATCTACCAAACCCACCTACATATCGTCTCGATTGACCACACGGACGCGAGAACAACTAACGTACGTAGAAGGGGATATCCTGGCACTCGCGAGGATGACGAAGCCGATCCTATGGAAGATGATAGTAGCTTTATAACCGAGCAACATGCTGTCGACCTTGTGCGCAACTCTGTGGCCGGCTCACAGGCCTCAGCGAAGATAGAAGAGGCTGTGTGGCGAAGAGTATCTGGGTGTGTTATGATTTCATTACTCCGTTCAGCGTCGCTCATGTTGTCTTTTAGCTATCCAGCCAGGGCTAGGGCGCATATACACTATGCGAGGGCTTGTCTACCGGTAGACATTACCAAAGCGCTCACGATCGATCCTTCGCTCGTTCAGAAGGCAGTTGAAACCTTCTACACGAGAGATGCGCTACAGCTGCGGGTATGTACGCTCACATCTGTTGACTCACGTCATCTAATCGATCAATCCGTAGGCCGCTCATCGTATGGCTCGGTTCCCACCGGAACCGTCGGTCGAAATGACAGTGAGGCTCACTCGTACCGCCTACGCTCAGATGGTTGGCCAAAAGTTCTACCCACCGAAGATATTTGGACGTTGGACGGAACTCGAGGATTCTCCCGAGCACAAGGTGAAAGACCTGGGGATGAAGATTGTACGGAAATTATCCTCGTCTCCATGTTGCGAAACTCACACCATTATTAGGCTTGTGGATTTGAAATGCTCTATCAAGAGAGCAAAAACCGCAAGCTCCCCACTGATGCAATCACGGTGCGTCGTCCTGACACTGATCATTTCACACAAGTCTGACGCTACCAAGCCCGAAGCCCGCAAGGATGCGCTCAAGCAAAACAGCGACTATCGACAATTCCTCGAAAATTTGAAGTCAGCAGGCTACTTCAAGAGTAATCTCGAAGGCTCTCAGACTTGGAACGAGTTAGAAGACAAAGCTGTGAAGGCGTTCCTAGAAGCGCGACGTGACGAGTATGGAGTCATGGGCATCACTGCAGTTTCGGGGATACTGATTTTCTATTCGTGTAGTGATGCATCCCGGACACCATTCGCCTCGCTTGCAGACATGGCCATCTCAAGTGTTGGCAGCGTGCCTTCCATTCCTGACTTTCCCCCAGACCCAGACGATTGGTTGAACGCAGAGTCGTTCGATGCTCTACTCGAAGGATCATTTAGACCGCCCACGGAGAAGGTTGCAAACGACGGGCCCGTGGCGAGTGAAGCACAGCAGAGCGATGCGACTGCGCAACAGGAGGACGAATTGGGTAGGGAACAGGCTTCTCGACTGCGAGATCTGGCTCAGCAGGTGGAGGAATTTGTCGAAGGTAAAGGCGATCTCGAAGGCGCTCTATTTGAGGAGTAAGTGCGATGAAGGTTTTACAGCGTCTCTGGTCTCAAGCTTCTTCTCGCAGCGAGAAGCCATCGTCAGGCGATGACGACTCTGATGACGAGTCTTCTCAGTCTTCCGATTACGAAACGCGTATGGACGTCGACGCGAAGCCCGCTATGTGGGATTCTGAACGACAGGCAGCAATGGAAAAGCTCGTTCCAGGTATCGACCCGTCCGAATACGGCATGATGCCCTCGTCCTACTACAGCAACTCTCAGCGCGTCGCTAAAACCACGATCGAGACCGAAACGCGAGATGAGGTGCCCGACCCCGCCAACCAGACTATCGGCTCAGCTTCCGCGCGGATGCGCCCCATCCGTCCGCCCATCCTTCCACGAGACAAGTACGAGGGCGTCGATTCGGACGATGAGACAGACGAAGAGGACGATGGGGACGAGGAGTCTGAGGAAGAGAAGCCACAGGTAGAGGGCGAGATTGAGATTGACATGGAGCAGGAACAAGAGGAATTCTTAGAGTTCGCTCGCCAGGCTCTCGGGATATCAGAAGACCAGTGGCGTGACATTGTGAAAGAGCGCAAGGATCAAGGCGGTGAGTTCTTGAGCCCCACAGCCATATACGTAGGACTGACAGTTCCCAACCAGCATTTGTTCCGGATCTCAAGCCTGTGTCTCCTCGACGAGAAGCTGCCTTGACCCCGAAAAAAGGGTCTCGGAAGGCACCAGAAACCAGCACAGGGCGTTCTGACGCAAACTCGGAGCTGGACTCTTTTGAATCTCTTATGCAAGCCATGGATGCCGAGCTGGCTCGATCACGATCACGCGGTGCGCGAGGGTCCTCCGGGAACTCCGACAAGGGAAAGGGCAAGGCGAGGGCAGAGTCCCCTGATGATGGCGACATCGAGGCCGCCATGGAGTCAGAGCTACAGACGATGCTGGAAAGGGGGCAGCAGGACGATGAGGGCTTGGAACTTGCTGACGAATCACAGCATGCAGAGTATAACCTCATTAAGAACTTCTTGGAGAGCTTCAAGAGCCAGGCTGGGCTGTCTGGACCAGTCGGCAACCTTGCTGGACGGCTGCAACCAGGGTGGCAAATCCCCAGGGATGAGACATAGGATCCAGGATCTACTGTATGAGTTTGAATGGGAGCAACGTCACGCGTCACAGGCCTCAGACTCGGACTCGTATACTATGATGGCACCCTGGTTTATAAAAATTGAGCAAATCTGCTTCTTGTAGCTTACCACAACCCCTCTTCGTGAGCGGTTTTGCATAAATCGATGTGCGCACACCTTGACTATGTATTCGCATTTTTGTTGTATTTTATTGAGGTCTTGCAAGAGCTGCGGATCGATTCCGGTGCGCAAAATGGGACCTGCTCCCTCGTTTATTAATTTCGTCACACTAGTGTCACACCAGATGCCGTCGAGCCGTGCTGCTGCCGTGTTTAGATGCGTAGATGAGCGGTAATGCCTTCTTCTGTCCATTAGGAACAGGTCCGGAGGGGACCTGGGGCCTGCCAGGTCCTCCCCGGTTTCCCATGCGCATTACTGACAGCCTCCAGTGGCACTGTGCTGAGCGTAGGATCGTTGCGACTTGCTGTCGAGAGCCCCTCGTTGCCTGCCGTGTCTGAGATCAGGCGGAGTGACAATTTCATCACACCTTGCCCGTTCATTGTAACGCTCCACAACTGTTCCTTCTCTGTGCATGTACTTAGCACTTTTAAAACAAAATATATCAGCCTACCAGGCTCAGTGCAAGTGCACAAGTTCATAAATGTGGTCGCAAGAATATTTGGTGAGCGAGATCTGGTTGGATCTAGCCATCAGTAGCATGTTTCAGCCAGTTTTAGACTGCTTCTGAGCATCTACAAAAATACCATACCGTCTTTCACCTTATGTCTGTCATAATATGGGTATCATATTATAGCATGAATACAGAGCTATCTCAAAAAATATTCCCAGCACCTCCGGAGGCAGATTGAAGTAGCAAAAGCAAATTGATAAAGCAGGGAACACTTATAAACGAGGGTGCCATCATAGTAGTGTGTAGGTGGGCGCCGCCGAATTGTTATTCGTGTTTAAAGTATCTTTACACTGATCTAATTGCGCCGTGTTTGCCCGGGATGTGCACACTCGGACAGCGTCTGGGTTATCACCCGCAGCGCGGGAAATGTCCAGCGGACACCCAACCGGAAGAGGTCTTGGTCATGCTGCCACTGACGTGAGTGGCGAACGGCATGCACCGAGTGGGACCCCTCTTCGAGGAGTACGCAGAACCCGGGACAGCTAGGGGTGCAGCGCACTCTCTCACCTTTGCTACTCTTAGGTTGGTTTCTCGGCACAGCGTGCACCTTCTCGTTTCTCACCTTTGCTCACTCTTAGGTTCATTTTGTCTGCCCTCCGTCCCTCCCTTTTACTTGTGTCTCTGTCTGTCTGTCTGTCTGTCTGTCTGTCTGTGTCTGTCTGTTCTGTGGCCTCTGTCTCTGCAGTACGTACGGGTCTGCTGTATACGGGTCGGTTTCGTCGCACGCAGGCGCTCAAGCGTCTCTAATCTCATTTCGAGGCCATCCTTCCGGGGATGGCCGGATTATGCGTAACCAGCTGGATTTCACGCTTGCAGCGCAAGTTCCTTCGCATCACCAGGTGAGACAAGCGCGATTAGAACATCATTTGTTGTCATCTCGACTCCGTGCGCGTGTGTCAGCAGGACCCCTGATAATTGGGCCAGATGCCTATCCGGAATCCGGACGTTTTTGGCCAAATTTTGGACCCTATGCCAGATTTTGTCCGAACGTTTTGACCTCAGCCCTCGCCGAGGCCGGGTTACGGCTGCCGAGCAGGCTCAGGTCAAATTCCCAAAACCCAAGTCAGAAACCCAAATCTGATACCATCAGCGCTCGGATAACCGCCGTACACCACCAACCTCCGAGTGCACTGGCGCCTCTTACTCTGAACATTTGAGTATTTTCAGCATAAATAGTCGATTAATATTGCATGTATACGAGGTTAGAAGTCAAATGAAGCATGTCAATCATCGTTTGCAGGGCAGGCGGTGGGGTGAACAGCGATGGCGGCGTTAGGCGCCCATTTTCCATAGAAGCAGCGCGTCGGGGCTTGGGCCCCCCTTGCCGTCGGAGTCGTTGCAGGTGTGCTTGACCTTGCCCTCCTGTGTAGCTATCTTACTAAATGTATATATTATCAGCTGCTAACCTAGTTATGATCAATATCACCTAGTGAGAACAAGTCATGCCGTACTCGCTAGATTGTGCTACCGACTTAGGGTTAGGTTCTAGATAAGATAATCGAAGCTTTGGGCGCTTGATTACCGCTTCGATAAGTTTGGGTCAGATAATGGTCCTCGGCCCGCTACTACCTTTATTGACCTCAGAGTATACAGATACAGCACCTTACATGTTTTCGTAACATCCAAAAGGCCCAAAAGTGCCATACATAACCCAGACTAATGTTTGTGTGCGGAAAGGTGCTCGGGCGCTCATTATGCGGTTGGCCATCAGCTTTGTGATCCGGACTTGGGTTTTGGGGATTTGACCTGAGCCTGCTCGGCAACCGTACGGGTGGGTGGTCCGGACGTCGGACCTTCGACAAAGGCGGGCCTGATTTTTGTCCGGACGTCAGCGGGGGTAGGCGCTTGGCCGACCAACCACATGATATCAACCTATGTCGGCCCGCCCGACGCTAAAAAGGGCAACACTGAGATAAGATCGACGGACAGCATGGCTTGGATATTTCAATATTTGCTTGTCTTACTTAGATTAGAGATGTAACCTTGTGGAATAAGAGAGATTGCACAATCTAAAGTCACAATTGTTACAGCTGATAGCTGGCTCGTTGCACAAGTGAAATTTGCATCGGTTAACATTGCCACCCCCTCGCACTCAGGACGAGGTCAGTATTATTCCCTATTCAAGGAATGGTTCTAACATAGCTTCTCTGTGCAGTGCTCATGCTCTATTGCCGTGGCGGCAGAAAGAATGGTACGCACGCGTGGATGCCAAATGAAGACAAACTTGATGCGGTATCCTACATCATTGTGCAGCTGTACGAGCATGCAGTTCAGAACGAGTTCTGCGGTATCCTTTGACAGTTCTCTGCATACCAGGTATTTGATTTGCCCACTTGTCCTCCGACTGCTTTCTAGAGCTACTACCCGGTAACGTGACCTTGTCGAATAATGGCCGCAAACTCACTCTCGGTCAGGAAGCACTCAGCATCTTCCGCTCACTCCAGTCGACACCTATTGCTCAAAAAGTTACTGAAGCGGTCAAAGAA